ATTATGTCTTCCTGTGCCATCCGTCTGTATCATCTTCGATCCAATATTTATCTTAGTCCAATGAGAGAGACTGGCATCTGAAACTGCAAGATAATTATATAGGCCAAGAGAAGATATTTGTTTTTATGTCTTAAATGTGATTTTTATAGATTCTGGCAAGCTGATCCAATAAATCGCTGTAGACTTAAAAGTGCGAGGCATTAAAAACTCCCAAGTATTAAATTAATCTCTGTTAGTCTCTAATTCAAGTGTGGGCTCACACCCTGTTTCGCCCCCGGAGAGTGCCAAGTGTAAGATCATGCTAAATTGCTCTTGTCATGTGTTTAAGACACTTGGCATTCTTAGCCCAGTGTTTTTCGCTGGGATCCGTGCGGCTCGTGTCCAACACAGCCCAACTTGTTGACAGAAATAGCACTTTTCTGACTACTTTTCCTAAGGTTGTGACATCTCCTCAGCCCAGAATCAGCCCGCTGTGAGAGGGGAAAGAATAGTCCCATCTCAGCGCTGGCGCTCAGTTTTCTCCCATCCATCAGCCGGTGTTTAGAAATTACCAGACTCCTTTCCATCAGCCATCTCGGGTGGCTAACAATAGTCTTCCCATTAAAAGCATTCCCAGACCTGTCAGTGAGCCCTGCCAATAATAAACTCCAATAAAAGCTGGAACGCATTATTCCCAAAAGCAGGAAGGAAGCAGAAGCAACAGTTGGTACACTATGCTCACATTGACATAATCTTGCTTTATAGGCCAACTGAGGGCCTTTGTTAGAGCAGTAACAGGGGACGAGCTGGGGCTGCAGATAGGAAGCGCTCCCCAATGCTTGGCATTCAGGATAACCAGGGGGTGAACGTGAAGCTGAGGAGGCTTGCTTTTCCGAAACCCTCCCGATGGTTTTGCGCTCCCCGTTCACAATGGGTGCTGTCATGATTTCCACAATGTCTCACAATTCCTAACCTTGTTTAAAAAAGAAAAGATAATAATGATGTTTTTACACCACGACAGATCCTTTTTTTTTGTTTTGTTTTTTCAGATCCTGACAAAATGTGCATATCTGTAAAAATGTTTCCTTTTTCTTTTCCGATAATTTTTAGGACAAATTTTTTTCTTCATTAAAAATTGATTCATGGAGAATTTTCTGTGGCCTCTAACTGCGTTGTTAGGTTCACTCTTGTTTATGGTCTTCTTTTGATAGTTGATGGCAAAAATAAAAAACTGTTAACATTTTTTTTTTTATTAAAAAAAAAAAAAAACTCTACCATGCAAATAATTCCATCTAACATTTCAGGAGTCACACTTTTAAACTAATCTTTATTATTAATTTCTATCTGTATTGGTGTTTATATTTGGCTCATCTATATGAATCGTGTTTATTTTCCGTTTCTGGCAATGTATAAAGAGATGTGGGGGAGTTTCGAGTCTCACAGTACTGTAAATCCAAAATGTGGCCACAGTATAGCCGTGCTGTTTGGTTTTGAAACCCAATCCAGAAGGCCAATGTCAACAGAGAGCCATCAAGATGCAAGAGGAGATAAACAGTTGGTGGTGCAGCTGCAGACGGGCACAACAAAATGACAATATTTAAACTAAATCATTCAAACTTCAAACAGTTGGGGGGGGAGAAAAAGAAATTCATTTTTTGCTGACGTTCGCATGCACAAAAGCCAGTGGGAACTAATCAATTCAAAACTGGGTGCTCGGGCAAAAGCAGGAAAGGAAGGCCTGTTAGCCCAACAGATGGTTACATACAGTTTTGAAATTCTGCAGTTTGATGGACGTTGTAACCTTTCAACTTCCTCAGTTAATTTGGCAGACATGCGCCGTGATAACGGAGAGATCAAAGCCCCACAGACGGATCCACAATGCCTCCACTTTGCCTCTCCTCTTTCTCCAGGCTGGATGAGTGAGAACACGTCGAGGTCATGTGTACTGAGGCCCACTGAGGTTAAATCCAAGACTCGGGAAAAGGCAAAAAAAAAAAAAAAAAAAAAAAAAACCCTGCAGAAAGCACGGGAACTCCCCACATGTTAAGTGTCTGCACACATCTTTGGGCAAGTTGAGACCAGAAAAATGATGCATTACACGCACGGAGAGGGGGTGAGTAACAGGGGAAAAAAAAAAAAATCAGATGCAATTAGATATAAAGGATGCAGTCTGTGTAAATAGAATAATCATTTCATCTCGACCCTTTTGGGTGCATCTATAAACAGCAGGATGGACGATAAGTAGGAAAGCACCTAAAAGTGGGCAGCAGTTACAGATCGTGTCAGTGCTATGCTATGTCTGGAGACAGGAGGGGGACGTTCTGTCCCACCGCGGGTCGTCTGGCCTCTGCTGACGTTCCTGCTGTCCCCGCGGCCGGACTGGAGCCGGAGAGCTGTTTATACCGGTAACTGCCAGCCCACCTGCAATCCGCATGATTTACGGCGACCGGGCAGGAGCACGGAAAACCTGCATGGCCCTTTTATGGTTTCGCATGTTGCAATGTTGCTACTGCAACAGCCATAACTCACAGAGCACGTGGGCGTGTTTGGTAAGCGTGTGCGACACATTATGGAGGGCTGTGGCTAACAAAATAAGGATGGATTCAAAATTACAGAACAGTGGGCTAGAATCGCCAAGTGGGCACTTTTTTTTTTTTCCCAAATGAAGCAGAGTGTGCCAACTTTATCAGATGTAGAAGTTCTACTTAGTCAGAAGCCAATTCAGAAATTTTCCTTAATATTAAAGAACGCCGTCATCACTTACTGCAAGAAGCCATGTGGTGCAACTTCATCTGCGTAATGATTTGGAAGTTGCATTGCTCTTCGCCTTCCCTCCCTTCCTGTCTCTGTCCTTTGTCATTTCCTCCCCTCGGGTCAATTTTCCCGGCAAGTCGGGGGCCGGCTTGGCCTTTTGTGTTCCTGTCAAAAAGTTTGGTGAACACATCTCTTTCCACGCCGACTCCTCCTCACCAGACCGAGGTTCACAGGCTGGAGTCGGGCGTGCTGACCTCGACTACCGGCAGCCTGGGAACTGCCCAAAACCTCTGAGAGAATCTGGTGGTGAATCCGTTTTCATGCTTTCTTGGTGAGAGCATGATGTCAAAAACTTTTAATTGAAGCAGATCAGATGTCTGTGTTACAACAAGCAAAAGCCATGGAGCATTTTCACATCCACACTTACAGAGGGGACAAAAATAAAAAAAAGACTTCTGCTGACACATGTGAGCACATGCCACTAGCCTCCAGTGGATGGAAGTAACACTGGTCATTTTATCAATATGAAGACATTTTAGACACCGGTTTCTAATCATTAAAATAACTCAAAGGTGATGACGTGTTATTAACAGTTGAACCACCAATATGACATTTTTGTCATATGTATTCCCTCAGCTGTTAATCAGGTGAATGAGGATTATTAGTTATGCAACTATGATCAAGACCATCTAAAATGTCTGCAATTAACCAATTTCGTCATTATTAGTTTCTGGGGAAAAACAATTAAACAGTTCAAATAAAGAAAAAAAAAACTAGGGGAATTAATCGTCCTTTATAAAACAAACGAATGGGATACAATGCAATCACTGTTTTGTGTAACTGAGACAGACATTTTTCAGACTGTAGAAAATGTTATCTACCCGATTTTTTTATTTTATTTTTTTTTTACATTAGAACTGGGCCAGAATCGACGTGGACAGTTGGGCTCCACATCCATTCATTCATCAGTCCATCTTTAGACTTGTAGAAGCACTCTATTAATCTTTATTTTCAAACCATTTGTCCGGATTAATCTTGACTTTATGTCAAAATACTGCAAGGAGACTCAACTTTTGAGGAACCGCTGTGTTCAGTTGGCATCACATCTAAAAATAATCCCTCTTCAGCGCCTGTCCAACCAATGTGACCTACATGGCCTGTTTTTGTTGTTGTTGTTTTTCTGGAACTGGCTGCGACCCATCAGCTTTCCACCTCTGAGTGACACCAATTAACCAAGTCAGAGGTGATGTTTTATTTGAAAAGAAGAAAAAAAAGCCTAAAATGTAACAAATGCGTCGGACTGAATTGGTATCGATTAAAGAAAGCTTTCTGTATCCTAAAATAAACGTTGTCCTGTTATACAGCATCATAAAGCCACTACACTGGATAGACTGGCTGACTTTAGTAGAGCTCTGTTGGCGTGAGGGTTGGCATGAGTGACCAGCTCTAAAGACGCCTCTCACAATGAGATACAAAGCACTCTGGGGTGGGGCTCAGCCCTGGTGGCCAATTATCCACAGTCTGGATCCTGTTTAGCCCTCGCTTGCTGCTCCCTTGCAACAATGCAACAGTGTACCTCAATAAATCTGAGGCAGGCCCCGCTCATATTCCACGGCTCATGGAAATATTCTGCAATAAAGGGTTTATTTGTGGGACGTGAGGCCTCTCATCTTCCAGTTGGTGTGCGTAAGCCTCCTTTATTCCTCTTGGTATTGTGGTTTGAATGTTGAAAGGACGTCTCTCAATAATCACAGAGGTTCCAGGAGTTAGTTATTGTTGCTGCCTCGGGAGTTTGAGGTACCAGGGTGACAGTGACGCGAAAGTTTCGGGAGGTCCCCGACTGCTTTTTTCTCTTCAAAGTGGGTGAAAAAAATTAAGTTGGAACTGCTTTCGGGTTGTTAAAAATGGCATCACTGACATTTAAAACAACAGTTTCATGATCAGAGTTGGCTCCGATTGTAGTTAAAATGGCTAAATCTGCTGGAAATTCAAACCAGAGATTCTGATATGCTGATAAATTTGAGGTTCCACTTTTTATATTGATAAGTCTAACTTAGGGATTTCTGATGATGTTAAAAACCTAAATACATACAAATAAAAATGTATTAGCTAAAATATTCTCAGGGAGGCAAACTCCATTTAAAAGCCACAGATTTATAAAGATTTGCATTTATAGAATTAAATCAAAGCTTATCAGTGTTCCAAAATTTGAAATCAATTTACGGCTTCAGAGTGTCCCGTTTCTAAAGGGCCGAGGCCTCCGTCTTTTAGGACGCGGCAGCAGCGGCCATTTTGTTGGCAGAACAACCCGAAGCATTCGCCGAACGCATGAAGATTTTCTTCCCGTCGTCTTTGATGGAGATACAGCGCCAGACGGCTGCAACCCGATCGTCTGCCGGTGCCGTCAGACACTGAACTACTGCACAGACGAGGACAGATCAAAGGCTTCGGGATTGTCAATACTAGGGCTTTGGAAAAATAACGAGGCGAGTATTTACCACTTGTACAGTGTTTGTGTACAGAGATATCCATCACTGTGGAACTTGTGTTACTCCAGCTTTGTTTCAAGTTTCCTTTTGAAGGGATTTCTTTTTCCTTTTGGAAATGATGCCGCGTGGACACAAAGGTCTAGTAGTAAAACAGTCGATTATGGAAAAGATAAAGAACTGTTGACTCTTTGTGTTTTCATGTCTTAGCCAGGAGTCCAATTCCCCCGAAGGAGAACTCTTTTTGTCAAAAGCTTTTTTGTTCAGAGTCTGACCAGCACTCGTGTCGTGCACACCATGTTTCATCTTGCCTCTTCTGTGCAACAATGATACAGTTCTCCGTTTAAACAGAAACATGGATAACAAACCATGTAAAGGCCTGGTGACAGCAGGGAAAAACACAAGCCTAAACAGAGAAGCTAATGATAGCCTTGGCTGGCTGTAAACAAGAGCAATATGTTGCTGAGACGTCAAGAATTCCACCAGTCCCTGACAGCGGGCCTAAAATTAGCCTAATGTTTAGCCCCGCTGGATAAGGCCAGAAACACACTGGTGGTGGGTTCTTCTGGATTAGGGGTCATCCAGGCTAAGAGTTTTACTCATCATTAAGCGGCTGATTCTTATTTCACACAAGTAAATGAATGCTTTGGCGTGCGAGTGGTCCGCTGGCTTTGGGGCTTTTTCTACATTCACACAGTCAGTGTCGCTTGTAAAAAAGCTCCCGGGAGGCAAGGCAGGAAATTTTAGGAATTGCTTGGAATTCAGACTCTTTATTTTTGTAATAGCGAGAGGAGGACGTCCTTACTGAAAATCTACAGGAAAAAAGGGAGGGAGGAGTGGGAGAGGAAGATCTCGGGGCCCAGAGATTATGAAAGCACACGAGTGCAAAAACGCAGCGAGAAAATAAGTGAGAAAATAAACAAGCGACGGGCTGCCGAGCACTGGCTCAGCGGAGGTACTTCCCCTTATGTGCACAGCTGGATTTATGAGACGGTGAGCAATTCTACCCTCTCGGCTCCCAGACTCTGACACAAGCAGGGGAATTTAGCCTCACCATGTTGGTCTGCTTTAAAAATAACTCGGGACAACAGGGTACACAGAGCACGACTTCAGCTTTAAAGTGCTCGGCCAGCTAATTTCCAACGACACGCTAAACCTTGAAGCCGAAGTCACAGAGGCGACAGAAGAAATTGAAGCACAAGTTCAAGATTTTCAGGGAAAAACTAATCATTACCATTGTTGCAATGGCTAGAAGAAGGTCTTTTAATGAGCTATTCATTCAGCCAAACCTTCCAGCTATTATTTTCCTTGTAATGGTAATGATTTGTCGATGAACTTAGGTTTTTTTTTCACACTGACTGAGCAACGTGAACAGATTCAGGTTCATCCTGCAGCTTTTGAACTAAGTTTATCGATTTTTGACCAAAAACAGCTTCATAATCTGTGGACAATTGAAGCTGGATTTGTGAGGCTATTTTTAAAACACTTTTATTGTGAAAAAGATAAGACCACCTCAAATGAGCTAACCCGGTTCTCCTATGAGCTTCTCCTGAAAGCGAATCCAACATGAAAGCAGCTTATCAGAGTCCTTTGTAACCTCCGCTGGATCAATAAACATCAACTGATTCTTACAGCTGCTCGCATCCACACAACATTGTGATTTACTGACTTACACGAGTTATGGCAATAAACATGCTCTAATCGCACGCTTGCTAGCTTTGTCCAATCTTGTACGAGAGGTGAACGTTGTGTGCACGTTGCTGGCACTGCGTCAGTTGTGGCTGCGTCCGCATGAAGCTGCGAGGGCCTTCAACTATCTGGATGAGGCCATTAATGCCTCAGATATCCTGTGTGAGAAGGCTGGGATGAAATGAAGCTCAGTTGCAGAGTTGTCTTGACCCCGGTTCGGCCCACTTCTGCCTCTCTGCACCATTAATGTAGCACGTCAGGCCGTCTGTAGTAAGTCTGCTTCCATTAAAACAAAGGCCCGGTTCATATTTGGCCCAATTGTATAATCCCGTAGTTGCTAGAACTCTCTCGGTGGATCGAGGACACGTTCGGATCAATTGCCCGGGCGGTATTTGGAGGGGGTCCTGGGTACATTTATCTACATTTGTTTAGCGGTCCGGGACCACCCACGCAAGTAATTATGCATTTGTTCACATTACAATGAAATCCCCATGTAAAACTGTTCACATCCAGCTTCAGGCTGATGTGAAATTAATCAACAGCAAGCTGTGAAAGCTCAAACGAGAGCCGGCAGCGATACGTGAGCTCCACCAGGACTCAAACACAGAGCAGGAAACCCAGATCCGATCACAAGTGGCCGCTCAAAACACATGCTGAGACACATTTAAACACACCAACAATCCCCAAAACACTGTGCATACAGGGTAAAGTCCACATCCAGCTCAGTCCACTGTTTTCACTGCTCTTTTGGTTTATGTTGGAAAAAAAAAAAACACTTGGAATGGAAATGGCTTATTGGACCATGAATTTTACAAAAGGTGATAATGTTCATGGTTAAAGATTGCATCATGACCAAGTAAAGGCATGACATTTTCAAGGTACATTGTCTTTGAGACAATCAATTAAGAGCAGCTTAGGGCACAAATAGTGATAATCATCTGCCCCCTTTTTTTGTTTTTCTTTTTTAAAGTCTCATAACTGTTTGTTATCGTTCTATTTAGACTAAGTCCTCCAGTGAATCACAGTTTCGCAGTTGATGGATTGAGTCGAGTTGAGTTGATGGAACTTACAGATAAGCAAGTCAAAACAAGGTTTACAGAGATAAAAAAGGAAAAAAATAAAATAAAAAAGGGGTGCAGACTTGCTGCCACAATGCCTGATACCTGGATGCCCACACAGAAAGTATAGTTTTCCTTTTCAAGTGTGTAAAGTAATGTGCTAAAATAAACCAACCATGTCCTTTCACTGTAAAAACACTCCCATACCGTCTGCGATGGGATTTAGATTAAAACTGAATACTCACAGGCAGCTCAGAGGGTTCAGGGAGAAACTCTGCATCTTCACCAAAAATAAAGTCTGGAGGCAGCTCTGGATACCGTGCATTGAAGATGATATCCCCTAAGAAAGCAGAAGAATTATCAGAATTTTTCAGATTAATGTGACATTTGTAAAAACGTTCAAAATGTTTGACAGTAAAAAAAAAAAAAAAAAAATGTAAAAACTTTACAGTACATTTCTTTGCATTAGTTCCTAAACCTGTTCTGAACGTAGAACAAACAGGGCTGGAAAAATCTGGCTTTATTTTAAGCTCAAAGTGCTGAAAGTGACTTGCACAGACTTGTAAAGGCAGCTGTGTCCTTCAGCGCCTGCATTAAACTCATAACGTGCACCTAAGCTCTGAGCGCTTTTAGTAAAAACATCTTAAATATTAAGGCAACTCTGAGTTCAGTGTGGCAGACAGGTTTGGCCTGTCGATGACCTGCATTTCCAACATTGCTGCATAGAAATGTTTGTTAGGAGTCGAGAGTTTAGCAAAGATTGCATCATTTATTATTCACAAAACCAGCCAACATTTATTCTGGCTGCAGTTACAGCTCGACTGAACCATTAAACGCACGACTGTGCTCCTCACTACTTTATTGAACATACAGGGAGTGATCAGTCACAGTTCAGTTCTCTTTGTGCTAACAAACTCAGCTAATCCACTGAAGAGGATGTGTGGTGGGAGTTGTGAAAGTGCCGCTCCCCGTACATAAATAAAAGCCATTCAAAGCCTGTTGACAAAGTATCAATGTTTGAAAAGACAAAGAAAAAAAAAGAAAAAGGCTGATGATCCATCTCAGCAACGTCGACAACATTTGTAGAAGAATTATGGATTCACACAAAGCTTAAAATGCCAGAAAAATGGTTTTTAAAGAGCCAAGTATTCGACAATCTACAAATGGCGAGTTCAGGGCTCCTCTCAGTAGGAGAAGGTGTCCCGCAAGGAAACGACACTGTGCAATCCTGAGAGAAAAAAGAAAAAAAAAAACGTAATTTTTTTTCTAAAAATCCCCTTCAGAATAGATGCTGTGATCAGCTAAAATGATCCAACTGTGGTGCCGTTTGGTGGCCAAAATAAGTGCACACATGCAGCTTTCCTAAATGCAGCTGGGCGTCGCTTCTAAGGACGAAGAAGCAGCATCTAATTTCTGACCGGTCAACTTTTAAATAAAAAAAAAAAAGTTTAATCTGACAGCTTTGATCGGAGTAACAAAGACAGATCTACCAACCAATGTGAGCATCGATACAATGAAGCCATGGCGAGCCTGTTAATAGGCATTTTCGGTCCACGGGAAGCAAAAATAACAACCGAAGGGCAATTTCCTCTCACTGTCTGCGTCGCAGGAAGTGCGCTCGGTTTCAGAGAAATGCTTCAATACATATTTCATAGTCCTCTGATGTGGGCCAGAGCGTGAAAGTATACGATGGTTGCCTGTGTAACGGTGTATTAAAAGTACAACACTTTGTGTAACAGTGGGCATTAAGAAAAAAAAAAAAAAAAAAAAGTAGGAATGGAAATAATTAGGGAAAAAAAAAAAACTCAAAACAAAAAGCGAGTCACCAAGATTCTACCACATTGTCTTTAAAAGTTCCATGTCCAACAACAGGCACAACATTAACTTCCCACTTAGGAGTTATGCGTCACGGCTGACTGTAAATGATAAATATTAAAACCTGCACTGGTGCTGGAATGACAGTTGCATCCTTTCCACTGGTGACAGATCTGGCCTTGTTCAGTGTGAATGATGTGAGAAACGGGGGGGAAAAAAAATACTTTTTAAGGACATGTTCTGTTGACACAACCATAAAACTGTGCAATTATACAACAAATGAAGGAACTGTGTACAAACATACTTAGCCGTGAACCACTGCGGAGGGAGTATCATAGTTTGAGTGCTACATCAGGAGCTTGATGACATGTAGTCACTGAGAATATAAGATTGACATTAATCTATGATTTTACGTCGCTAAATGTGGCTGGTAAACTTAATGCTGTTTAAGGCACAACCTTTGAACCTTTGTTGTAAAGACTATGTGACGCAACACATGTCAGAGTTTGTTTAGTTTGGAGACAGCTTGTGTGGAGTTTTACGACATAAGGAGTGACGTCAAGTCGCTGCGTCCCAAAAATGTTGGTGAACAAAACAGTTTTGTGGGAGGGATGGGTCCAAAATTCCTCGGCACTGTTGTGCAACCCTCATAAGCAGCTACCGGAAAGATGCAGGGTGTTGCTGCTAAATGAGTCTCTGCTTGTGCATAGCCCAAAGCTTCACCTCTTCTCACTTTAGAAGAATGAACATAGTTGGTTATTGCAAAAAAAAAAAAAGAAGATCTGAATAAAATGAACTAGGTGTTGATCATGTAATACTTTTTAAATGTTCAAAAAAGGGAAACACACACACAGAAAGGACAAGGCTCTCGCTCAGATGTTCTCAAAAATGCCGCTTTGAGCCGGTTCACCGTGTTCTGATTTTTTGTTACACAATTCTATTTTCGTGCCGCAACACTGTGCTGTTCTGCTTTTTTTCGTTGTTCCAGCAACAGCCTGACAAAAGGCGCACATATGGTTGTGTTTTTCCAGCGGAGAAGGAGTCAAACGAGGAAACGAGAAGATGTGTTGTAAATCTGCCGCGAACCGCTGGAAGCCCGTCAGAAAACTCCTGGCGTGGCTCCAGAGGGAAAGCGGAGGTCTTCGAAGTCCAAACTTTGCAGGTTAGAACGGAGGCTTTTTTTTGCACGCCGCTTTGTTCCAACGCCCCGAGACGAGGAGCGAGGGGACCTCTGAGAGGGGAGCAGTCTAGGTGCAGCATGGCACGGCTTCTGAAAAACTCCCCCCTTGTTTTTCATCCAGACGTTTTACTCAAGTCATAAGGGCATAATGGGCACAACAACAAAGGCCAAAATTGTTGTTTGCAGCCACGGTGGTGAAGCGGCGGGGGGCGGGGGGGGGGGGGGGGATAAAAGCACAAGGCGGGGGGAAGAGTGCACGGAGCTTTTGCACGCCATCAGGAGGCATGTCCGCAGAACAACCTGCAGCTCCTCTTCCTTCATGTAACAGACCCGTTTCCTCAGGCCGAAGCAAAGGAAAGCTGCGCCAGGCCAGAATAACAGAGCCGCAGTTTTCCTTGTGCTTTTCTCTTTCCGTTGCTCCTGCCTTGAGCTGAATGTGTCTGTCAAGTTCAACAAAAATCCTGGGCTTAATAGCCTCTCTAAGTATTGAAAAGAAAAGCCTAGGTCTACATCAGTCTACATAGAATGTACAGTTCTAACAAGCTGTATATTTATATTTGGTCAGAATCTCAGCCAGCCTGAACCAGTCAGAGAAGCTTTCCGTGGGTAATCTTCAGCTTCTTGAAGGACATCCTAAAGCTCCTCTCTGGATGTTGGCTGCCTTTTGTTCTGTTCTCCCTCAGATGATCCCACACTGCTTCAATCATTTTGAGGTCTGGGCTCTTTTTCCAAGACCGGTTGCTGCTCATTTTCAGTCCATTTGTTTCATTTAGCATTACTCAGTCTTTCTTCCACATTCGCCTTCCTTAAGAACATCCTCTTCTATCGAGGCCATTAGGCCAGATACATCTCTCACCTCTCAGCCAACACTTCTTCTTTTGTCCCTCCACTTGTTGAGTTTCCTCAGATGTTTCAAGGACACACTGCACACGTTGTTGTGTGTCCATGTAAGTTTTCAACTAATAGCTCTTTGGGAATCACTTTACTGGTGAAAATAACTATTTTGTCTTTGAATATGGATCTTTGTAACAGTCTTTCACTATGACAGTAAAGGACGGCTTGCATAATGCAGAATATCCCCAAATGTAGAGATACAAACTTCATTATAAAAGAGCTTACAGTTAAAAACTATTAAATAGTCACATGTATTACATACATTACTGCGACATGTCAACAGATCATTTGTGAACACTGAATTACAGATGTTTTTCTTTCACTGTGAAAAACAAGATTCTGTAAAAAGGACTCAAGTGAGTTCAGTGTTTGAGGAAGCAGCAGAATCGTTCCTGCTGCTCAGATGACTGTTTATGGAGCTTTTCTTTGTGTTACGGCTCATTCTGAGAGACATGCAGAGCGTTCGCTTCATCCGTGGCGAGAAACAAATATAGACATTTTAAACTAATCGCAGCCAATATTTGTCTCAGCGTGTCCCATCTCTGAGTTGCAGTTACAGAGAATCTATCGAAACCAACACCAGGGAAACCTCTCCCTCTAGTCCAGGTCTGTATGGATCACAGCAAACATCCACAGGGTACAGAAGATAAGAAAAAGTGTGTAAACCTTAAGCTAAGGACGTCAGCCAAGGAGTGATGGCCTCAGGGTCCAGCAAACCTGTAATTAAGAGCCGTTTGACCGCCACCGAACAATCACAGAATGGTCTCCTGCTGAACCCGTCGTAAACCTGGGGCAATTCAAATCCTTCTGATTACTTGTTGACATGTTTTGTTGATTTGGATGATGCGGAAAAGATGATTCTTGGGCCGTCGTTGACCTGTAATCTGACTTGAAGGGGCCAAACACTGGGGAATGTCCAGCCTCATGCCATCATACAATAACTGTGACTTAACATTGTGATTTTCAAAGATAACTGGGTTCATGCCTGCATGATAAAGATCTGACACGCATCAGAAGGAATGGAAACAAATTTGGGAGTCGCGTTTGGGCTGTAAAGACTGAAATAATCCGACTCCACATCTGTTCTGAGCCATAAACTTGGAAGACTGACGGCATGTTTGCAAACATGATCTCATGTCCCGAATTTATCCACGAAGATTACAGAAATTCATGAAGACTTCCAGTTAGTCCTTTTTTCGGATTTCCTTTCTCTTCATGCTGAGCAGCAAACACCAGTAAGCATGCTGAGATTATCATACCACTTATCAGCAAACATGTGTCCGGTTCATACTTCTTTTTCACACTGGTAAGCATGAAATCTGGCGAATGATGCAGTAGACCGATGAGCAATTTTCTGGGGAGGGAGAGGAGGGGGCGAATGCTGCCAGAAGAGTTGCTGATTTGAATCCAGTCATCGGCTCATTCAGAGTTTCTGGATGGTTCTCTGTTGCTGAAGTAAATGCGTTTGTGCTCGTGTGAGACCACACATAGCCGACTAATGCCCACAGCAGCTCATTTTTGTGGCTTTTGTACATCTTGCTGTGCCCCCGTTTGGTTTAAGGCTGCAGAAGTCTCCTGACGGTTCACGATTATTGCAGCGTGCGAAACTTTAAAGCAGAGTTTTCAGGGGATCCATGCGTTCCTCGAGTCTAGCCACAACTTCCTGATGTGGGTCGCAACGGGCGCGATTTTGTGCAATCTCTGCACCGTAAGCAAAGCCAACTTCCTCTGTGATGCCGTAGGGGTTCTTCCCAAAGCAGGGCCAAATTTGGCCCAAACGTAAACAGAAGGAACATTTAGTCTCTTCCTCTAGAGGCCTGAACGCTGAAGACTGCATGTAGGCACCTCTTTAAAGATTGTAGAAATTATCAGCAACCAAAACCAGCCCCCCCACCCACCTTTAATAATAATTCTGTGGAAAAAATGAAGATCTGGGCTGCAGATTCTGCAGAAAGACTATCAATTCATTCAAGAAGCCCTGTTCAAGTTTCTGTTAGTCTTCATTCACAAACTTACAACTTGACTGGTGGCAAATACTTAGAGGGAAACTTACAGAGATGCCATAACCTGTGAGTCACTGTAATTCCAGCCAGATCAAAATAAATCAATATGATGATTATCGTCACTCTGAGTGGTATCCTCCATTGCACACTTAATGAGGCGCACCGAGGACATTTGTGGGGATTTTGATCATAAAGAGAGACCATTCCAGGAACAGTTTTAGCAGAAAAAAAACAAAACAGGAAGTGGAGGTATATTGTTTCATAGATTCAGCATCACCACCAAGAGAGAGAAGCTCATTTTGTTTTGGTTGTAAACATGTTCCTGTGGGTGTTTTCTGTGGAACTGCTCGATTTGGAGCTGCAGCTTCAAAACATCAAATCAATGATCATTAAAGCGAGATGCTGATAGTTAATGTGCCAATTCACATCAACAACCTTTCCTTTTCTGCGTTTAGCCTCTGATCACTGCGTGCTCCGAATAAATTACCGATGTGCTTCCACATATCCATCAGGTGACCTCAAACCACTCTAAACTGGCCAACGGTGACATCAAAATTAATCAAAGCTGGACTGAAACATCTGAGATTAAATTAATTCTGCGATTTTCGCACTGCAGAGCCATTTCTTTAGACAATGATTTAATTAGACTGAGCGCGGTTGGTTACCGTGCCAACTGAAATCCCACCAGAGCTCACATTTCATAGCACAAAGAGCTGACAAATGGATGTAAAAGCTGGAATCAAAAACGCACCACGCTGCGCAATCAGCATGATTAGCCTTCAAAGTGTTCAGCCTTCATTTCAATCTGCTGCCGATTAATTAAAAAACTAAAGTGCTGCAAAAATGGAACTGAAATGCCTGATTCGAACACCTTTGAGGGCCTTTGCTGACCCCTCATATCATAACTGCACCCACTATCACTCTTTGGATTGATATAGAAAAGAAATGCTTGGCGAAAGTCGCCTTCCCAAAAGGCTGATAAACGATTACTTACATTTAAGGGTCTCGCCAGCATACGGGATGTGGAGTTTGAAGCGATCACAGCAGGGGCCTGGAGTCAGAGACGTGCATCTGGATGCCAGAGAGTTGACAGAAATCGCAAGAAAATCATCAGTTGTGATCATAAATTATTCAGAGTACAAATCTGGAATGGTTCCCATTAAAGGTAAGCAAAAACCTGCATCAAGGGGGAGGACACTGTTTCAATAAGCACCAGTAAAAGGTGTTTTCCTATCTTTAGACAATATTGATTACATAATTCATATGGTTTTCGAAGCCTGAATTGAATCTATAATTAGTGGCAGCTTGGACAAGCAGCAACAGTCATTTACATTACTTTGTGGACTTTTGGAGTAATTACAGTCACCAAAAAGCTAAGAACGCAAGCCTTCAGTAATTACCCGACTACCATGTCATCCCTTCTTTTGTTTTACTTGTTGACGTATTTGCTCAGTGATGGTGAAGAAGAAAAAAAAACTAAGACTAAGATTTAATAATAGTAACTGAATAACAAGTGGCATTTTTATTACAATTTGTCAGAAAATTCAAACCCGTGCCAGATAAAAATAAATCAAATAGCAGAAGAAATAACCCCCAAAAAAGTAAATTTGTGTCAAAAATAAAAAGCAGCATTAGAATAGAGCTATCAACTATGACAAACATGACCAAAAAAATAACATATTCAAACTTTAACAGTCCACTTTGACTTTGATAGATAAATATGTTGAAAATCCTCAAAATACTGTTACTACAGCAACAAACTAAAACTGAAATGCAGCTCCGGTTAATTTCAGCATCAGAAAGCATAACAAATATCTAAAGAAGGAGGCACCTCTCCAATCATCAGCGTAATACTGAATATATGTGAGAAATGATTGCCACGCTCGACAAAAAAATAATGTTTGGCACAGCACAACCTCCTTGAAATAATGCTAAAGTAAATATTTGCTGTAATTAAAGCTAAAAGGTATCCATAGGTAGACACTGTATATAAATATTCTGAATTTAGAAATAATTTAAGATCTCTTAAATGTCAAATAAAGTGGGCAATATAAGGAATATGTGGCAGAGCCTGTGAACATTTTTTTTTTCCCATTTATATTAAATAAAATAGATACATTTTGTTTTTTTAAAACAGCCTATGACTGATCCTTTTTGGATGACAAAAATAGAGCCAATAACCAGTTGCCTTTACACCAATGTGTTGTTTAGGAGTTTAATAATGCACCTGTTCCATTCTGCATAGTGAAGTTTAGTCAAAAACTAATTAACTTTAGATTTATTGATGAAAATTAAATAGTTTTTACATGAAAAGCCTTTAATTTAAGTGAGGCATTTTGTGAGCAACACATGTAAGCTACTATGTCTAAAAACTACTACAACCTCACATGTCCAGGTTCAGACTGATCTCATTAAATTGATGATGGCTAAAATCATAAATTAGTAAACACAGAAGAAAAAACAAAAGAAGTGAGGCTTGTTTTCATGAGATGTTTTCCGGGGGTTTTGTGTCACCCATCAGTGAAGCTTCTCAGTGATACAGGAAAGGATGTGGTGGGTCTTGTGGAACAAAACGTGGTCTCACCCAGTTTTGAGGTCTGTCACGCGGAGGCAGTTGGTGGAGTCGAGCCCCACGCGGCCGTTCCTCACCACGCTGCACAGCAGGGGCCTCAGCTCCGGGGAGATCCGGTGCAGCGCGACCTCCGGCGACATGTTGTTCATCATCCCGGCACCGACAGGTCTGTCAGGACAACATTTACAGTGAAGACGAGTGCTGCCTGTTATCTGAGAGGACGTCAAGTGCCACACTAAATGTGACGAGCCTATTTTGTTTTCCCAAACTGTCATCAAAATGTTCGTACACCTCCAGATCAGCCCCATCGTGCATGATTTTAGGTGTGAGACCAAATTATCAGTCAAAACATTGTTTTACCAAAACAATATCCGCAGTAATAAATAAGCGAAGATATAACATGCCTGTTTTCATATTGTAAAAACACATAATAGCATCATAGCAGTGAAAGGACACATCTTAGAAACAAAATGATTAAGTTGAATCAAGTTACCGTAATTTCTAACTCAAGCTTTCAGTCATTAGCCAATGTTAGCTTAGCGCAGATCGGAGAACGATTTTAATCAAATAGAAACACTTATTCTACTAAATATACAAATGTATAAATACTATCCATCAAGAAACACAATGTAGTGAATGTCACATATACCTTATTGAGCTGGAAAGTCAGTTAATTTAAGCGTTAACTTCAATATTTACTTCTTGCTCCTAAAGTTTCCGGTATGCATTGTTTGGGTCCTTTAGACAGTCGTCTTAAATAACGCCTGTTTCTGGACGGAATTGTATTTCTACATTTCAAGTTTTGATATTTAACGACATATACGTTGGGCAACCTTTTCAATTTTTTATAATTTTACATAAGCTAAATACTGCTAAATTAACTGGTAGACTGACATTTAGTGATAACAAACACTCTGGCGTTAGCATAGACGCCCGGGAGCTGTCACCGTGCACTTTGGCCGCCGTTTGACAGAAGCCGTTCAGTTGTCCACTCTGCAAGATCTAATTTGAAGGTAAAATTGTAAAAACACATTTCGCTGAAACATATGACCCCAACGCACTTAACGTAACGTAAGTTTTTATACTACTAGGTTGGGTTGTGTTTACATGAAATTGTGGGGCAACTAAGTACAGAGGTTCCAGAGATAGTAGATTCATGCATTAAATACAATGTTGATGCTTCATACGTAATTTCAGACCAACACTGGTTGCAGCTAATACGGGAGAGAAATGCTGCAGAAAAGTGTTGATCACGCTATTTAATTACTTTAACATCATTCATTGACATCATTATGTATTACAAATATATATTATATTTTACATTAAAGTTGCAACACTTTTATTTAAAGCCAAATGAACACTGAAAATGTGGAGAAAACATGTTTGAAAGCTCGGAAAATCAATTATGTTCATGTACTGTGCAAAGAAAGTTGATCCAGCCTTCAATTCTTTCTTTTTTCCTTTGCTTCCAAGTAGCCTTGTTATTGTCTTAAGTGAGCAATTGTTCTCCAGGCTCTGTGAAGGTCCTCAAAAACATTTATTTTTATTTTGGCTGTTTTTTTCAGTAATTTTCAGTCCAGTACTTGTACCAGAACATTCTCAATTGATTATGTTTTTTGTTTTGTTTTTTGTTTTTAAGACTGTTGACACTGACCTGTGAATCATTCAAGGATGAAAAAGACGACTGACTCAAGAGATAAATTAGCCTTCTGTCTACACAGAAAACATGGCAAAAAAACAGCTCTGAATTGATCTTCAGCCACTTTTTCCACAAAATCGCATACTTTGTTCACATTTCTGTTGTTTCATCTTTGAAAAACATGAACAATAAATCAGTTATTTCTCTGATGGAGGGATGAATCCTCCCCAGAGCCTGGATCTCAACATTATTGTAGCAGCAAAGAATTGTAAGAAAAGGCAGCCAACATCTGAAGAGGAGCTTTGGGATGTCCTTCAAGAAGCCTGGAGAACTATAACTTTCAAGCTTTGTTCATCTTAATTTGTCTGGACATGTTTTCCTCACCATGAAGCGTAACATTTCCTAGCTTTTGTTATGTCTCTTTATGTCCAATGAAGGGAAAACATTTCATGGAACAAAAATATGTATCAAATGATAATTTATTAAATGCATATTAAATGTGTTGAACTTGTTTTAGAAAGATGCCAACTGAACTTGTTAATCGTAGCCAAATAGGAGTTCAAAGGTCGGTGTTTGCAGCATTGTCGGTTGCGTTTCTTCGTCGGGGCGGTTTTTACTGATTCACCACTGGGAAAGTCCGCCTTCACGGGGTGATTCACAGTCAATCAGAGCAGCGCCAACAAAAGCAGCCACTGCAGAATATGCTGAGCTGGTTAGCATCCAAACACTTTTGGTGGTATTCCTGTGGAGATACGAGGAGTTTTCCACTCAGCTCTACATTCTGCTACCTAAAAAAGAGCATCTCACAAACTGTTTGTAACTTTTCTGGATGGAAGAGTTAGTTACAGTTGTTATTTTTACTTTAGAACACATTTGTAGACATCAGACATGCATAGTATTTTAATAGTAGCCACTATCCTCTAAAGTCTTGACTAAACATGAGCAAAGCATCTTACAAGGATCTTAAAATGGGTTCGGAGGCATTTTTCTTGTGGATTTTTACTAAATGCTCTAACCCTGTCGAGCAGCCATGATTTGCATTTAGATTAGATTGTTTAAATTCGTCCCTGTGTCATTTTAGTGTGAAGAAATGCGTGCAATCACATTCATTACAGATACGAAACACCCTTTAGACTAAACTGAAGCGGATCAGCCACCAGATGATAATTCAGGTCAATGTCAACAGCAAAGAGGGCTTTAAAACGCGGCCCTTCTCCTCCAAGAGGGAGCATCTTGGAACTCTCCTTCACCTGAAGTGAGGAAGGATCCAGGCTGACTTTGCACGCCTGCAGAGGAAGACAATATGATGGAAGATGTGGGAGAAAGAGCTGAGCGATTCTTCAGCCAGCGGCCAGGCTTTCCAAGTCTTCTGCTGCCGAGGAAGAGATTTGAGGAGATTAACAAACTAGCATTAGCTCTGATACAAGCAGGGGATTGAATTAATTAAGGAGTTCGCCGGGCTGCGGTGTGCTCACGTGGTGCAGCATTGAAATGTAACCCCCATCCTCCCCCAAAAAAGATTGGAACTTGTCCAGCTCAGCCGGGGATTTTCTCTATTTTTACCTTCTTCCTTGTTCCAGTCAAGCTCTTGCGAATGTGGGGGATAAATACAATCAAAACAAAAGTGTTTGTTGTTCGGAGGCTGTTGAGAAACTAGTTTACATATTTCCCCTGAAATGTCCTCAATGTATTTTCAGTAATGGCCTCATTTATAGCGGTGGTGGCTGAAAATGTGGAGAGAATCTCTGAAATCAGAAATAACAGAAATGTGTCTTGATCACCAGATCATGACTGAGGAGGCTTTTGACGTGGTGGTGGTGGGCTCCTGTATGACTGACCTGGTCAGGTGAGTGTTTAACTTTAACTACAACATCAGTGTTAGTGTGTGGAAAACAACACGTGTCGGCACACCGCATGCAGGCTGGAATTGCGAGGAGCCTCATCAGAAATCCTCCTGCTGAATTTACTTCTGTTTTTTCCACTAAAAGTGGAAACAGTCACTGAATCAAGCCAAGTGAGTGCTTTCTCATCACCACACATAACAGATTCTGAGAGTTTCCAGTTGTATCTGAAGAAGAATGTCCACCTCCTGTTAAAAGAAAAAAATCAATTTACAAAGAAATGCAATTATTTCCAAAAGTGTGCAATGAACTCATCAAAAACTTAAAGTCACACAATTTTTTTTGTGGTTATATGCTTGCTCATCTTGAATTTAATTGCAGCAACAGATCTCAAAAAGTTGGGACAGTTGCAGCCAAACTCTGTAAAATTGAGTTGTAATAAAAGAAAAGTTCTGAGAGCTGCGTTTACGTTTTAAAGCAGCATGTGCTCCCAAGTGAAATCTTTCCCTGGGAAAGCATTGCTTATTTCATTAAGACAATGATAAACCACTTCTGGACCTTTTCCAACAGCATGGCTTCCAGCTGCTGGACTAGCAGTTTTTCTCTTTAGTTTCAGAAGTTACCAGACTCTTAAAAGAAGAGAGGATGCTATATAGAGGGAAACATGGACCTGCCCCAGTCATTTTAGCTCTGTTTCCGTCATAAAATGTCAGACAATGTCATATTTCTTGATTTAAAAAATGACACATAGCAAACATTGTTTTTATGTCTTTTATGAATAAATCTTGCATTCAGGTTTTTAATTATTTAATAAGTTCCCATTTTTGTGGACCTGAGATGTGTGTTTGGAGCATTATCATTCTGATGATTATACAGCCATCACACAAATCAGATGTTCCTTCTAATGTAGTGAGTCTATTCTAATAAAAATGCAAGCAGATGCAGATTCAGATCAGCTTAAAATGTATTTCCCTTAATTATTATTAACCTCCACCACAACAAGCGTCCCTTCCCGGCCTGGATTGTATTTAGACGTGCAGCTCTGTGGAAAATTCAGCATATAGACAGAAGGGAGTTTTCCATAATGGCTCAAAATGGACTGCTGAGTTCTGCCTACGCGAAAGTAGAGGAAGTGGTTTCAAGTTAGACAATGCTGCTGCCTGTAAAGTGTGCTACAAAATGCTACAAGCACGGCGGGCGTGTTCAATTCTAATTGAATCCTTTTTGCTAAATCACCGCATGTGCAGTTGATATTTGGAGCTGCTCCTCTCAGGATGTAAACCAGAAATGACTGGCCGAATATGATGGGAACATCTGACGTTGAGACCAACTCAGATTTGAAAGATTGAAAGTGTGCAGATGCTCTGGTAAAAAACGGCTTCCTATGAAAATGTCAGCGTTGCATCATCCCCGTACGTGGGGAGGTTTGTTGAGCCAAGAAAGGATCCATTCCCACAAATCATTAGTCATCAGCTGCAGAATCATCTGGTAGTTGAAAACAATTTATCATCCTCCTTTTGTGAGGCGTGACACAATCTCCAAAGACGCGTAAATTAGCTTTAAAGTCAGAGAACCAGCCAGCTCAACCTTTGAGGCTGTGCAGCAGTTGTCGCGTTCCAGAAAGCAGAGATCTCCATAAAAGATCCACGCTAGCGGGCCGTGAGAGGATTTTTGTGGCACTCATCAGAAACACATGCCCTCTCCTACCGGCTTTATCAGGAGGAAGTGTTTATTTAGTCGCTCGTTAGAAATCTAACCAGTGACGTTCTGCTTTGAAGAAAAGGAGTTGTCAATTAAAGCTTTAATGAGTTTTACAGAAAATGGCCTGTTGTTTTGGAGGGGTGGGGGCTTTTTTGGGTGGAGGTCAGAGTGCGGATAGGGGGAAAACATTTGCAGCCCTTCAAAGTGACACGCGTGGCTTTGAAGTACGAAATGCAGTCAGCGTTTGTTTGGCAGTACAGCAGAGGCACACACTCACAGGCCTTCCCTTTAAGCATCCGAATGTAAAAAAACCAGCGCTGTTTAGCTGTAGTAATCAGCCAAAGGTGTGTCATTTGGTGGTTATTCCTACCATCTGCAAAGAGGAGGTAAAGATCTGTTCACCCGCTGGCAAAGCAATACAGTGCCCCCTACTGCTCCAGCTCTCCGAAACTAATGATGTTGTTCCAAGTTATGAAATGGAATCCTACATAAAACAGAACAATCTAAATGTTTTTACGAGGGTTTATTTCAAGCGGGGCCCCCCCCAAAGTGCGGTACCCACATTACATAATGATTATATCTGCGAAATGTATTTTTAGAGGAAACTCGGAGCCTTTGATGATCACAGCAGTCACATGATGAGCTGCTCAGCGGCGGACTGAATGGGAAGATGAGATTCCCTGGTGAAGGGATTCAGTGTTGAAAAGGAAGTTATTTCACATCAACAATACTGATGGGTAACAAAACATTTATGTGAGACAGGAGCCGTTTCCTGAGGGGTTGAAATTTGACTTCGTACAAAGTTGTCCTCAGAATTAATGTCATTAATTATCCTTCCAGTTTATCAGATAATTGTTCATTCTGTTCCTGTTACCAGATTATGACTAAAATGAATCAATCTTTCAATTTAGCTTGTTAAGAGGAGATATTGGAAAGTAATTTCTTCATATTCTGGAAGGCAAAGGTCAATTAAATGTGATGGCAATCCATAAATTAACAGTGATTAGACAAAGGTAGGTGGTTAGGAAGTGTTCAGGTAATTATTCGTGATTATTTCTTCAGATATTATTATATATGTTATTCACATATTATTGTTTCAATAAATTCAAAATAATAAAGGTGCTTTAAATTATTGCAGAAATTCTACCTGCTTGTAAAATAGAAAGAAACAAGGGGCTTTTCTGAAGACTTGCTTTTTTGTAAATTTGTTAACCATCCTTTGCATTTTCAATAAGCGGTCTTGAAGATTCCCATGGCAACGTTTCAGGCCATTAACCAATTCAGACATTAGCCGGTTTGATAAGTGGCTTGTTATATTTCATGGTATAACCCTTTTTTTGCCAGAAAGTGTAAAATGGCAAATCTCAGGCTGCTCTGATGCAATAACTCACAAACACACAAAAACACCCACACGTGCACCTCCTGCTGACAAAGCAGTTCACTATGTCCATGTATGGTGTTTTTTTGCCCTCTCACTTTTCTCTGGAAGGCCCCTTCACCTTGACCTGGTTTCCTGGAACAGCAATACGGATCTTTATGGACGAGGGCAATTACATAAAATAGATTAAAGCAATCTCATCTCAGTGGTTCACTGGCTCATAAAAAAAAGAAGAAAAACACTTGTCTGCCTGACAATATGAACAGAAAGCCGTTGCACTTTATTGTACTTTAAGCATCCAGAATGCATCCTCACCTCTCACTAGTTTTACAAAACATCAACACATGGGAAGTGTGAGTGTTTTATGTTAAATCCACTGTATGTGGAACTGAAAAGACAATCTCTCAGTTTCTGGGAAACAACTTTTCTGTTTTGTTTGCATCCATGTCTACTTCCTTATGTTTCTCACCAACAACTGAAGCATGGCTTTAACGGGGACGCAGGAGAGGGAAATGAGAGCCAGCCTCAAAGCAAACACTTCACGTCATTGAACACCTGCTTTGGCCTTTTGGTTCCGTGGGAGAAAACGCACTGAGGTTGCACTTTAGCACATAACTGCCCTGTTTGCTTGGTGCACTCACCACAGACAACAATAGCCAAGTGTCTCTCAGGGCTTGACGAGGCGTGGGTGGGTTTATCTAAGAATTTGGAAGTCTGTTTTTCTTACCTGACTCTGATCCAGCCTCAGGTGGCTGTCAGCCAAAGGTTTAGTCATTATGTTAAAAACTTTATCATGACACCGTTTCTTCAAAGCAAAACCAGCTTACCCAAAAACCTCCACAACAGCCAATTTAGTACAATCAGACTATATGCTGAGGACACAACGGTTCTCTCCTCACAGAAAGTGCTGGTTGAATAGTGACATATGCAAGAAATATGCATATTTCATCTTCCTCAGATTAAAACAAATGTATCTAAATATTGGAACATGTAGTCTTATGGCAATGGCATGCGCCTTGTTAATGCAAATAAAATGTTGACATTTAATATTTTTATATTTAAGTCCACTTTTTAAAATGGCTATTGGGTTGAATAAATGCACCCTACAACTTGTAAGATTAAGTTTTGAGGTGGATGCTATGTCTCATCAAAGTGTTGTAGATAAGGGTGTTTTTACATGGGGAACCTTTGTTCTCTATCCTGTTAGCCACTTTGCAGCCTCACAGACCAACATCCTGTTATAGCTCCAGATATTTTAGTATTTTCACACAGCGGCTCGGGAAAAAAAAGCAGCATTTTCAACAACAAGCTGCTCAGTTACTGGAAATCCTGGGATTGAGGCAGCTTACTGTAACAGCACACCTGCCACGAACACGCTCACACGCAAGCATTGCGAAGGGCAACAACAGGGTGAAAAACAAGTTTATGACAGCATTTGCCGCCCGCAAACCCTCTGGCTCGGGCCCAGCACTGCCCAGGGCCAAACCACAGAGCCCTGACATCCAGCATGAGGCTGTCCTTTGTCTCACCCTGATGTTACTCACTACCAACCCCGATTTCAGTTGGTGGATTCGGTCAACCGAGTGCTCCTCCCTAGGACAACCACCTGTTGCTTCTCAGTGTCGAGAGAGGGTATGACTTGACCAACCCCGATGAGTCAGGAACTACTGCTGTGGCCGTTGTCAAGTCGAGACATCTGTGAGATTTGCTGGTTGCATCACTTGCAAATTTAGAGATGCTTGCCTCAGCCTATCTCCCTAAATGGTTTGGTAGAAACACAACTCATTTTGGCCATTTCTGACTCGGTTTGCTGTCCGTTCTAATCATGTGTCCAAGGAGAAAATGGGAGAAAGTGCTTCACTCCTCCAGTCGTTTCAGCAATGTTTACATTCTTCTGACCGCTCTGTTAGAGACCTTCACTTGATCAAAGGATGCAATCACCAGTAGACTCCTTTCAAACCATCCTTTCAAACCATTTTTTGAGATATTTCACAATACGATAAATTGGGAAGGATTTTGGCCCAGAGGTTTATCTTCATATTTTGGTTCTCATAGTGCAGAATAAAGCATTTTTTGTATATTAATGGACATTTTTATCTCTACCAAAATCTAGTCATTGCATTGAGGAGTGGAAGAATGTGGTATTTTCCATTCCTTAGCTGAGAATGTTTCTGTGAGTATATGATCTTAAGTGTTGCGTCCAAAAACATGTTGTTTTTTTCCCGTCAGCCAGGCACCCAGGTTGCCCAAAGCAGGAGAAACCATCCATGGTCATAGGTTCTTCATTGGCTTTGGAGGGAAAGGGGCCAACCAGTGCATCCAAGCTGCCCGAATGGGAGTCAAAACCACAATGATCTGCAAGGTATGTTCCGCCGTCGGGTTTGGATTGAAGTTTGGAATCTATGATTCACATAACTATTTTTTCTTAAAAAAACAGCTGCTTTCACTTTTTCAACCTTTGGCTTGTCCGTTTTCTTCTCAGCAGAAAAACGATCATCTGCCATCGCACACCAACTAGTTTACAAACGCCAGGAAACCTTTTAGCTTCGTTCACGCATCAGTCATTCCAAAACATCAACTCTCCATGCATCATTTTCTCTTGATCAATACCATAGCGCATGCATACGCCTACTCACGCTTGCGCGCCTTCAAACAAGCCTATTCCCATGTCATACAACCCCGAGTCTCAAATCAGTAAGCTCAGCGTGGCCTTTCAACCTGAACACTAAAGCACCAGAGCTCCACCTCTGTCAGAACAAAGAGGCCCGATCGATAACAACCTAGTGCGGGAAGAGCTCTCCGGGCATGGGGAGAACCCAAAAATAGACACCCGGGCTTGTTCGAAAGCATCCGATGCGAAAGGCCACTCTTCAAAGAGAAAGGGGCCAAGCCGCCCATACCATCCCAGCCCACTATCACAGGCTGCTACAACTGCCCGCATTTTGGCACTTTTTTTTGGAAAGCGTGGGTTCGAAGTAGACGCCTTGGAGCAAGGTGGGGACCCCTTCCTCAACCCAAAGTAGCTCCAAACATGGACATCCCAGAGCGGATTAGGGGAAGAGGGGAAGGAGGGAAAGAAAACGATTGCGAGGTGGGCATGAAGAGGCGTGAAGGCGGGGTTAGCGTGTCTTCAAGGCTTGGCGCAGCTGGTCGTGTGTTTGCGCGTGTGTGCATCTGTTGGCTTTGTGTGTTGGTCTTTGCACATTTTCGGCGGCGGCACCATGCCAGTATGCTGGCAGGGCCCGCGAAACGCAACCCAACTGAGATTTGAGCATACCACTTTTCAAAAGTTGCCGCTAACCAAGTCTGACCCCGCTTGACACTCCCTTTGTTGGAATCGTTTTGCCTTCAATCTTTTTTAGGTTGGTAAAGACTTCTTTGGAGACAATTACATCCAGAACTTCAAGGACAACGATGTGCACACAGGTAAGATGCTTTGTTTTGTTTTCTCTTTTTTGCTCCAACAGCAATTTGCAGCAGAAAGATCACATTCAAAGAAAATCTTTTTATAGTCGGTTTCATCAGGTCAGCATTAGTTACTTGAGGCTTTTGGGTACACGGGGAAGTCTCTTTTTATAGACAATTACTGTCAGACCATTTGTTGAAAAGCAGTTTTACCAAGTGAATTGCATCCTGTTTATAACCAAATGCACTCAAAGGAAGTAGGACTTGCTATGTTGAAACTGAGAGTGTATATAAATGCATATTTTAGCAAAAAAGACCAATAATAGACGGTCTAAACACATACCTTCATAGGTTTTTTTTCTCTATTTCAGAGTTTGTGAGGCAAACCTCGGAGGCAGCCACAGGAGCTGCTTCCATCACCGTCAATGATGCAGGTAAATGGATGGGCCAGTAAACTACGCTTCCCTGCTGAGATCCAAAAAGCTATTTGAGTGGTGGAAATGATTTCATGCACGCACAGCCAAGACTACCAGTGGGCTATCAGTACACCCATTTTTTACTACACACACATATACAAGACTACCAAGCATTCACCTTTGGGTAACCATAGCTCAGGAGGCTGTGATGACTGTAATCATAGTCAGATACACATGCACCAGACCATGCAGAAAATCCACAGATGGATCCAAGTCTTGAATTTGCAACTTTTTTCTCCTGCTATTGACATGAAGTTGAACTTTAGTTACTTCTGTCAACATTTACTTTACAGCTGACACTTTTATCTAAATCGACATGCAAAAAATGAAGAAAAAAAAGCTATTTTTTTTAAAAGACCTTGTTTTCTGTATCAGACCCAGTTCTTTAGTCTAACACTGTTTGTACTAAGAATTTTCCCTTGTAAAAAACTTTTTACTGTAAAATTATGAGCTTTTTGGATCGTATATTTCCCCTCGAAAAAGATAATATATGAAATGTATATTAAGAAATTGGGTCAGACTCAAGACATGCATCAAACTTACAAAGGAAAAAGCATGCACGCATTATACATATCCGGAAATCTATCATGTGTCATATGAAGTAAACCAACAACCGTGGCTGAAGAGTCTTTTAAAAGCTTCGAATGGCAAAGTTCAAACTAAGGAAGTTACAGTTCTACTCTCCCATTTGCCATAAAGCTGCTGTTGTGCCCTAAAACAGCTCTTTTGATATTTACGGGCAGGCGAAAACGCCATCGTGATTGTGGCTGGTGCCAACATGCTGCTGGGCAAAGACGAGCTACAGGAAGTTCTTCCTGCCATTAGAAGAGCAAAAGTACTGGTGTGTCAGCTGGAGATCAACTCACAGACGTCCTTCCAGGCTCTGCAAATGGCTCGTGAGAACAAAGGTCAGTCAGAGTCCCGGCACTTTGTGTCCAGTATGTGTGAATGTTTAGGGACCACTGGAAAATGGGTTTAAAATAATCCAAACGGCACTGTTTTATGAGGCCGAGCAGATTGTTCACCCTTCATGCTAATCAGGTGTGATTACTTTGGTCAGTCAAGAAGATTCTCATAGCTTGCCATTGTTATTGGTTTTATATGCAAGACCTTTTCTACACAGTTTTAGGACATTCTTCCCATGCTTACTAGAAAGGTGTGAATATGAAACAAAGGCCGTGGATTCATGGTTGAACCCAAAATAGTCCTGAAACAGCCCAAAAAAACTTCTTGAACCATTCATGCGGTATAATCCAGTTCTCTGCTGACCATCTGTGTTCTCAGTATGTTTCAAAGCCTCACAGTTTTGGGTATATACGCTGCTTCGGTGTTAATCCTCATTCACAACCCAGGCGAGCCTCTTCCTTGGGCCTCAGGACCATACATGTTTGAATGGAGGGCTTACACAATTGAACGTATTCATTTGATCTACAAAGAATGACAGACAAAAGCTACATTTGTCAGATATGTAGACTGTCACCATGACCATATTTGGACACAGAGGGGACCATTTGGATGAGAGGGTGGAGCTGGATAGTGGTACTTCAAACCTGATTGGACAAAAGCATCCATAGCCGTATATATCTGTCCCAGTTTGGGATTATTTACCAAATGTCCACCAACAGAAATTAGATATTCTTTATGAAGACTTTATATCAATGCATGAATTTGGTCAATCAGAGAGCTAAGACATCAATAAATCAAGAAGAATAAGCAAAACAATGATATTTTTCATGGATATATTTCACATTAAATCTCCCAAATGCTGTTTTGTTTCGGACAGAAATCTGGCCATGTCAACACAATATTTTTACAATACCAGATCTGTGGGGGCTCACATGTGAAAGCCTCTTTACTCAACCAGTCTAGTCCCTTTTGGCGCGTTTGCAACACATACTTTGATGGAGGGGTGGCTGTCTGAACAGAAGGGCTTACTTTTCCCTCACAGATGGGCCATCCTACAAATGTCCATCTCAAGGATAGCCATATCCTCATAAGGATGTTAAACAGTCTGACCTAAGAATATTAGGTGTTTGCCACACAGCAGGATTTATGGAACATTCACCAGTGTAGCTTCTAGGCTTAAGAGGTATAATTTTTTTTGTTTTTTGGTTGTTTTTTTTGTTTCTGCAGTCCAAAAAAAGCACTTCCTTCACCAATAAGGCCTCAATCTGGACAGCGACCCCTCGTTGAGTCCCACCTTAGTTTCATAACCACGTTACTGAGCTAATCGTGCTATAATTAGCAGCCCTCCACGTCACTGGAGACGTCTGAGGAGCCTCTCGCCTCTGTCATCGGGGCCTGTCGTCCATAATGGCTCGCTGCTGGCTGCCAGAGCCACGCAGACGCAGCCATAGCCGTGTTGCAGATGGGATGCCCAGATGGCCTCTCCGAGCGCCGCCCTCGTTCTCGGAGCCCCCCTCACCGCGCCGACCACGCCGCGGCGCCCGCTTGGCAAAGACGCCACCTCCACGCTGCCACGCTAGAGCGTTGCGTAAATGGAGCTCTCCGGAGGGGCCGGGTGTTAATGGGTTTACCGACGGAGACTTAATGACGCGGGGGTGAAGCGACGCTCGGATTACGCAAATGTCACCATCCAGCAACACATACCGCGGACGCCAGATCTTAGAAAAAGTCTTGATAACCTATGAAGAAAAGTTTACCCTTCGCGTATGCAGTTACGTGAGGAAAAAAGCTTTTGCACGCATCATTTACTGCCATCTAACATTTAATATTGAGAAGCTAATGGAATTGAATTAGCTCTCGAGAAGTGCGGAAATGCTGGGAAGATGTGCAGTTTCACTTTTTCTCTCACCCTTTCCGTTCTCACCCCTTCTTCCTCCTCCTCTTCCTTGTCTAAGCAATAAGCTGTTATTATATTTCTCACCAGATGCAATTAGAGCTTCTTAAAGCCCCTTTTGCATACTCAGGGATGACTCACTTTCTTTTGTGTGTCAGTGTGTGCGTGCGTGTAAGTCAGTCTCGCTGTTTTTCACTCTTGCCCCTTGTTTTCCGTCCACCTTTCTTCCCAAATCGACCACATCAACAAACAGCTGTGTTTTTTAATGCTTCTCCGGCTCATGTGCGACCAGACTTTGAACCTGAGAGTGAAAAAAAAAGCCCCGCGTCATGACACACACAAACGCGCACGTGCTCGGCTGCCAGACATGACTCAGTGTGCACACATCCCAGAAATTGCCACATCTGTCCCAGCAGCTGTGTGTGTGAGTGTGTATGTTTGTGTGTGTGCGGGTTTTGCTAACACCTGGGCAGGTACAGCTCCAATCATCAGAGAGGCAGATTCCTTCATGCATGAGTGCATCGGGGATTTCACTGTGAGAATATTGATGAGATTCCCTCCTCAGCTGCCCTCCACTTGCCTAGTACATGTAAACCTAATGAGTATTGACCTCTGTGTTTGACATCAGCTTTTCTGTTCGGGGCAGCAAATATTAATCGGATTATCGACCCGAGCAAGTCAACAGCAGGAGAAATCCGTTTTACATGAATCTCTTTGTTCTCCTCAGAGTTCGCTCACTGCTGTAAATTTGTGTAAAAAAGTTAGAAAATCTTCTATAATTAAAGCACTCACCACATAAAAAATGTTCATTTCAGGCAAGTGGTACTTAAAATTGTCTTCTTACCAGTGGAAAAGTGGATTATCTGAAATGTCAGCAGTAATAGGGATTGTAGTGCTGCAGGAACCTTTAGTGCTAATAAGAGCACCACATAATGAATCTGCTCCAGACGTCATACATTTGCTACCTCTGGATATAAAACCGTATAATGTAGTTACATTTCCACACAGATTCAAGACTACGGTTTAAATAATCATCATGAAAATATACCTGGTTGATATTTGGGACCATTTTTTTCAGCCCAATAAGGCAAAGATTCAGACCTGAAGTGTCCAAACTGCCAGTAACGTAGTGGCTTTAAGATGGAATATTCCACCATGGCAACAATATGACACACTTTGCTTTGGAAGAAGATAAAACGTGCTGCGTCTAAAGTGCAGGTGATCACATAATAAATCACATCCGATCAGGTTCACGACTATTTCATTCATCCCAACCGCAAAATGACTAAATTGCTGCCATGAGGACTTATGGTGTTGATGTGTCACCAAAGTTGGAAATGACATCCACTCACGTGATGGTGAATCTGTGAACACGATAGTTCCCTATTCATAATCAATTGATGTTATTGCGCAAGCTCCACTGCTGAGCTAATTTAGATTAGAGGATGCCTCATGTGGGGCTCGTATAAACAAATGACAGAAGACAACATATTGATGTGAGGACTTCAGATATCATAAAGCAAACAGAGAGCAGCTGAACCAGCATCTGTCACTGCAAATATTTCCCCATTGATTTCTCTGGGCTGAGGAGGTAAGAGATTGGTAGTACGTAAAAAAGAAAAGATTGAATTCTCACCGTTGACAACTGCACTGACTTCCATTGGCGTGCATTTGTGCAGCATTGTCTGTCTCTTAAACCCTTTAAGGACCGATGCATTATATGCTTTTTTTTTTTTTTTTATCCCTTTCAGAGCTGGAGTGACAGTTACATTCTTTCACGCACTGCATCGGGCTCAATTGTATAAAGATCATATAAAAGAACTGATGTTTGAAGAGGAAACTAAATATGTCTTTGAAGTTTCTTTTAATTCACATAAAGGAAGACCCATTCAGGAAGGACGATTCACCAGTCAATCTACATTCAAACCCCCACTCGCGTTCATGAGCGCTGGGTTGTGACTCAAAGAATGAAATCCTGAATACTATTAGCTGATTTAAGCTTCCTCCAAAGGGTTTCTACGCTCAGGACAGACTACAGGACAGACTCAGAGCACAGTTGCTCTTCCTCTGAATCAAAAGAATTTGAGATTGTTTTGTCATCTGGTCAAAAAGGTTCTGGATAGAAACTAAAGGAAGGTGTTATAGGTATGGAAATAGAGAACTTCAGGTAGATTCAGGACCCCGTGGAAGAATTATTTGTGCTTCTATAGGGAGGGTTTTTCCATTTTTTTGCTCATGGGCTTATCATTATTATTATTATTATTTTTTAAATGTTTGTTTATCTTGTAATCATCTTTTTACTCATTGATTGCACTTATAATGTTTGTTGTACAGCACCTTGGGCAGATGTAGCTGTTGTTAAATGTGCTAAATAAATAAAGTCGACATTGACATTGACATTTAGAAGTCGCAAATAAAGGTGCACGCATCACCGCCACAATCCCAACAGCTAAAAAAAATTGGCTTAAAGTCGACTGACAGCAATTTATTCTGACATTTCACAGAATATACTGAAAGTGGAAATACAAACACTGATTTAAATGCATGTTGTGTCAACCTCCTGTCTGCAAAGCTGGATGTGCACAAATGGTCATGAGTTCTTTGGTAGCAATGAAGAGTCACAGGAATCACCTTTATATTTCACCCCCTAAAATAAAATCTGTAAAAAAAAAGAGAAAGGTTTGTATCACCCGGCAACCCTTTGGATTTGCTGGAACTGGTGGTTGGTGAGGAGGATTACAAAGTCAGTTTGACAGAAAAATCTAAGTCAGTTACACCTGAAATGTGTTTATGTGGTAGCTATACAAATATAGAGGTTCTCACCAAAATATGATGTAGTTCAGTGGTAGATATTTTAATGCTGCCTTTAAAACATCAAACTTATTCCGAAAAGCATCTTCTGACACAGAAATGGCCATGGCTTGCCTATCCAAAATGATGGAAACCGAGGTTTAATTCAGTCAACCAAAGCTGGAAAGAGCCCGGTGTCACAGGAATACAGGAATACGGAACAAGTGCGCTGAAAAACAGACAGACATTATTTCCACTTTTACTCGCGAGCGGGCCAACATCCACCTCAAAGCGCCAGGTGGCCAAAGCCCTGCGCAAACCCACGCAGCTGCTCTCTGACGTGCCCACGCAAACACACACACACACACACACGCAGCGGCATGACACACACACACACTCCGGCGCAACAGACTTTGATGTCACCGCCGCCGATATGTACATCTCCCTCAGACACTCACACTCTCGCAAAGGCTTTATTTTGTACACAGAGATATCGGAATTAATCGCCTCGTCAAGCTGGGCTTATCCTCACACATACACCCCAAATCGCGGCATTAGATGCATTAATGCTCGCCGCTCATGAATATGCATCAGACGGTGATGATTTGCAACACATACAGAGGATTACTTCTGACACGCTCTCGCTCTCGTGCTCCTCAACGCCCAGAGAGGGTCACAACTCATCACACCCACACACTGACACGCATATACGCACACAAACTACTGTAAAAACCTGCAAAAAACGCTGCAGGCGCTGAGGTCGTTTCATCTTTTTTTTTTTTTTTTTTGTGGTCCTTCTTCCCTGAGAATGCTAATTTAATTGTTGAAAAGGGGGGTCTTTTTATAGAACCTTATGCTCTTGAGCTTTGCTTGCCAGAGCTAAAACTCCCAGTGGTAGCCCGCTCGCCTTTGTTCCCGCGTGTGAGGCACAATTAAGGTGTCGCCAGATCTCTGCGGCGAGGTTCAGAAATGAGACAGGAATTGTTGAAAGAACTGTAAAGATTGTTCAAATCTGCAAAGAGAGGCTGACAGCTGTCACTCGGCGCAGCAGTGAGAACAATTACGCGTCTCAGAGTTCCTTTAATGGCTGAACGTTTCCCTGTTTTCTGCAGCTCATCCTGTTTTCTGTTGCAGTGAAGACCATCTTCAACCCGGCACCAGCCATCCCTGACTTGGATTCCGGTTTCTACAAAGTCTCTGATGTGTTCTGCTGTAATGAGTCTGAGGTGATGATTCACACAAACACACACACGCACACAGTTAATAGTTCACAGCATTCATCGCAGCAGCCTAAATGCTTCCTCACACAACAACTTTGTGTTTTTCTCAGAGTTCCAGGCTTCAGGAAACAGACTAGTAGAGGTGGAAGAAAATGCACATGTGCAGTTTACAGTGAAAGTGGTTGCAGATTTATTTCTATTTATTTATATGAAGAGAAAATAAATAATTTCAAAGTAACTTTAAGAAAAATGCATTTCTCAGTTTAACAAACTCATCTGTGTGTTACCCAAAGTGCTTTATAGGGCTGAACTAATTTAAAAGACATTTAAAGCAAGATGTGAAGTCACATTTAAAGTGGCTTGAGATACACACTAAAAAATAACAATAAAAGTGTATTTCAGTGAATGTATATATTAATAACTTTATTAGAACTAAGCATTCTACAGGTTTTGTCTTTGTGTCCACTCTTAATAATGTAACACCTTTAGTTTCTATTTAAAATGATACAGTCAATTTTAATAATTCCCTGATAAGTATGTCTCATAAAATTCCTAAAAAACAGCTATTAGATTTCCCCAATAGCTTATGTTTATGTAAGCGTGTGTGTAAGTGAAGACATGTTTGTTTGTGATGCTAAACACAAGTGGAGTAAATAATCCTTGTCTTTTTTGTGTTTTTTTTTGTTAGTTTTAATCATAACACATAACTGACCGTATCAGAACAGATTTATGGATCATTAACGTAGAGGAACCAAACTGGAGATCATTAGTATTCTTTGCAAATTTAAGATCTGAATATAATTTATTTCTTAATCTCTTTTTGTTTTCTGAGTCATATCACACCAAGGACCCTCAAAAAGCTGAATTCTTACATATGGCCTGATCTCCCAGGCAGTAAGGTCAATATTTAAGGTTTTATGGGTATAACCCTTTTAAAGAAATCCACCAGGGTTTGTTTGTCCTTCTGCTCTCTAGGAGATTAAAGCATTGAATATTCCTTATCTTGAAAAACAAACCTTGCCTACACATGCTTCTTACAGTGCACAGGCAAAAGAGATTTTGATATAGAAACTTCTCAAAACTGACATAATCTCAGAAATCTCTGGGTAAACAACTCAAAGGTACTCAAAAAAATGCACTAGTCGGATTAAGATTTATTTGATTACCGCTAACTTCCCACACACTGGCAGCTTCTGCTCTGCTCTGGACTTAAATGTGGCGCTTGCTTACAACTGTTGGCTGTAATCGGCTTATGTTAGAGCAGATAAACAATGCATTCCTTTCCACTTTTGCTCTCGCGTTATTGGCCAATGGTGAGCAGCCACAGATCCACATCCGCACATCCCGGGTCGTGGACCCCGCCGCCCCCCTTTAACCCTTTAGCCCTCATCCATCCATCAGTACAAAGTCTGTACAGAGAAAACGGTGCTCCTCCCTTTTACAGTAAAAAACCGTGTGGCGGCACCCGGCTGTCAGGTGCTGACGGATGAGTGGCGGGGGGGGGCAGGGACAGATGGGAAATGGAGTGAAAACATGCCGGCAGATGTGCTGAGTCAGCCGCTTGCCTCGGGGGATACGGGGATGAGAGTGTGCCTGGGAGCCTTTACGTGACGTGGGGCCGTCGCCAGGTGTGCCGAGATGAAAAGGAGAGTCGAAGAAAAAAGCGCCACACGTCTGCTCGGCCTTTTGACGGGTGTCAGGTCACGGGATTTATCAATCACGCAGCATGCAGAGGTTAAAGGAGCACAGAAACATACCACCCAAAGACAGGTTTTAGCACGGTGCTGACACTTTATTCAAGCTGAGGTGAAACTTAAAGAGTCAAACTAAATGCAGCGTCCGATGTGCACTGAAGCAAAGATGAGGTGTTTGTGCTAAATGATGTGCCAGAAAATGTGAGATAGTATAGGAAGTAGTAAAAATCCTGTGCAAAAATCAATAATAATTTCTTAGGAAAGTATAGAAATAGCTTACTTTCAATGCTAAAAACAAAGAAGACACCTGTTTGCTTATTTTCCGGCTACTTAGCAATGAAAACCGTTTTTCTGTTATTTATTTTAAATCTAAAAATGTATTAACAAAGCTCCATGACGCATGACGTGAAGATGCCTACAGCACAGGTGAGAGCAGCATGTGTGAGACTGAACATCCACTTGGCATTAGGAGAAAACAGGAATTCCTTGTGTTTGTTTTTCTTAACAAACATAGGACAGCGCATCTCTGTGGTTTCTAGATTTAAGTCGCCAGGCTCAGCATTTACTCGGGCCGTATCAGCCAGCACTTCCTTAAGCCCTTTTCACACATGAGCACCAGAGAATGCCTGGAAAATTAAGTGTGGATTTTCTCTACAGTTGCTCATTCACATGTGCACTTCGCAGCGTGAGATTCTCCATGGGAGACAACCAGAAATACTTCAGAGTGCCGTCTGATTGCGCAAACAGGAGCTGGAGGAGATGGATAGGATGGATGGGGCTCCCTCCTGACAGTTTCTGTGTTGATATTAACACCGTGTTTACTTTAATGTGTCCACCACAGGTGGCTTTTGACATATTCTGGGGTTATTAGCAGGGCCAGCCTTATAATCGTCCCAAGAACTCCAGAGCAAAAATGATGTATTCTGGTGTACACACCCCACCCAGAAGTAGTCTGGAAAAGATCAGGGCTTAAGTGTGCTTCTTCTTAAGGTCTCGAGCCACCCATCATCTATTTGTATTTTGTGCTCAAGTTCCCAGACTTCTTTTGTTGTAACGTTGAGCAATAATTTGATGGGGTCATGAGGAGTTTGTATTTGGACATTGTCTGGTTTTTCTTTTACTCACTTTCAGTCCGGTCCTTGCTAAGCCATTTAACACAAGTCCATGCATCATTAAAACAACATCTCTATTGGATGAAAAGTATGTGATGCGTGATGCGTTTGGCCCGCCGGCTCATCCAGGACCAAAACCTCATCAGACATTATCTCCACGGGAAAAATGAGAGAAGAAGGTTCAGGCGATGTTGAAGATAAAGGTGCTCAGGCAGAATTTTGAACTTCAGCTCCTTAGAATTATACAGATGTTTTATCCAGTTTTTTTCTCTTATTATTGCACATGTTTGAACAAATACTATTCTCACAACATCTAAAGAATACTAGGGTAGCTCAGGACTGTTTTATTCAACGTCAATTTACGCAAACCAGAAGCCAGTGTTTTGCACGATAAAATTTTAACAAACAAACCAGATCTGAGAAGAAAAAGGACATTTTGACATATCACAAAAACAACGGCACGCATAAACTCACACGCTCTTTGAAACAAACCCACATTGTTAGCAATTTCATAGCATATACGCGTTAAAAAAAAAGGTGCTCTCACACGTATGCTGAGCACACACACACACACACACACACACCTTCTCACACACACACATGCAGCACGGATCCGTAATGCTACTCGTATTTGTACACGCTCGCACACAGGGGGAGGCAGATTGATTCCCTGCCCTGGTGTGAAGCTGATGACTAACAAAACGGCTCTTTTTCTCTCTTTTGGCACCTGAATGCATCGGGGTGGCTGCGGGCTCTAAAAGCGCAGATGCACACCAGTGTGTGTTTTTTTTTTTACCTCCCTAGGTCATTGTTCACTTTCATAGATCACCGGAAAGGAGAAGGGGGGGGCCATAGTCTGTTCAATGCTCATGTCAGCCGTGTCTTAACCCTCTTGGCACACAAGTCAAAGTGTGTACGTGTGTGTGTGTGTGTGTGTGTGTGTGTGGTCTCTCGACGTGCCATGCTCACACTCAGAGGTGGGGGGGGGGGTGAAAGGGAGCTTTAAGGATGACAAAGTGCAGGCGCTCTTTGATCCTCAGCCCACATGCAACGCTGAAGTGCTTTACAGTGAAGGGAAACATCTTTGATGTCCACCTGAGGACCACCGGCACCAAAAAAAAAGGATCCGTGCACGGATCGCACGCCTTAACGAGAGCGTGATAAGGGGGAAAAGATGTTTCTGTTTCACTGGCGCGTAAAAGGTCAGTAGTTTAAAACTGTAAAAACCAGCAGATTGAGATGAATTTGAGATGACACGTTTGCGTTCAAGGGCTCAAAGGTTTTTCTTCATTCTAAGATCACAAAGGTGCATTTTGTAATTGGACTTGGTTTTGTTTTTAGTCAGTGCTCATCTTTCATATCGCAATATTGCATTTATTTGAAAAAAAAGTGTCAAGAAAAAATGTCAAGTTATGTTTGTTTTTTTTCCAAATGAAGGCCAGACAATCAGTTTAGTTATTTGTTAATAAATGTAAAGTTATTCAAAAAACCAAAGGCCACTTTCTGTCTTTAAAACTTTGACTTGATCCTTAAACGTGAAAAAGACACTTTGTCCAAGATGGAAAGATGATCAGAAAGTAAAATATCTGCAGAGAAAGTCCATTTAACAAGGATAATATAACACAGAGTCAAATCAAACCAGTTACAAAATATCTCTCTGTGCATAATGTAGATATTGAGACACTTTTGTGAACGTGTGTGTGTGTGTGAGTGTATGTGGGACTGTGGTAAAATCCCCAGCCCTTTATGGATTTTAAATAAACAAAAGCAACACAATGCAATAATTTCAGAGCATTTTATTAGCATATTGTCAAAAAACCTCTGATAGTTTATCAGTTTATCAGAACATAATTATTTTTAGAATATTGCTCAAATGTGAGTCATGTTGCTTTGTAGAACAGAAATAATGCTATTGTTCCCTTCCTGTAGGGATAAAACCCAATTAGAGCAGAAATCTAGAGTTAATTAAGGATGATGATTTTGAGATAGGCAGCAGTTTAAGTAAGCAGCAACAAAACAACACACATATATTGTGTACTGATAAAAGAAATACAAATCTACAAACAGACAAACATGAGCAGATTAGGTTTTATTTGTGTATCAGTGTATCATATCATTATATTTTCAGTATTTTAAGCTTTTAAGTTGTGCCCAAAGCTTGGAGTTGTCACATTTGCTCTTTGTGAGTCATCAATTTCCTTTTTTATGCTTTAGTATTTAACAGGTCAGTAGAAACCGGCTTAGTGAACAACATGATTGTGTGCAACGACTGAACTAAAAATGGACAAAAGGGGTCAATGACCAAGATAAAACATTGAAAATGATCTCTCTGCAAACAAATGCTGCTGTGCTGTTTACAGTCAGGGTCCCTAATATAAGACGAGGCGGACAATGAGGACGTTCATGTAAAGAGCGGCAACAGTGAGGATCTTCTGAGCTCCCACTGAGCAGAAAACAACTCGTTTTCGTCAGGAATTCCTGCGGCTCGGAGCAGAACTGCCACAGCTCTGAGTCTCCTTTTGAGACTCGACTATCAGCTGTTGAGTCCTGCCTCGTCACGGTTGAGTCATCCTGGAGCCTGGGTGAAGTCAGAGCGTCTTCTCTTTGAGAATGTGCGGCCTGCAGACCGCTGAGGGATCCTGCAGAGCCCTCAGACTGAGTGTGCTTTTATGAGTCTGTCTGACCACTGTCGGTGTGTAATTAAGAGCTGACTCACAGCGGAGCTGTTAACACACAACAGTTAGGGGAAAAAAAACAGGCTGCAAATTAGAGATCTGTGCACATAAATGGTCGCGATATATTTAACTGCGTTCATTAAGATGACAAAACTTCTTTTTTTTTTAAAATAAAGCAGCAGAAGCTGAAGCTTTGACTTCCATGCATGTGGTGTTGGGGACTTTCCATTATCCAGTTTTTATTTACTCCACACCACTTTTGGCTTTTCCTCTATCTTTAATTGTAAATACTAACCTCTGATTAAAGAGGCTCGCTGATTTATTTCTATATCTATACAGGCGGAGCTGCTGACCGGCAGTCCGGTCAGTAACGTGGACGAGGCGCACGGCGCCGCCCAGGAGCTGCTGCAGCGCGGCTGCGGCGCAGTCATCATCACTTTGGGACCCCAAGGCTGCGTGGTGCTCACGGCAAAGGCGTCAACCGCAACGCACGTTCCAGCTCCCGTCGTCACACCGGTGGACACCACGGTAAAAATTACACAAATACCTAAAGACCTAATTTTTTTACCTCACATATGATCCAGTTCCTTTTTAACATTTTGATAATTAGTTAGTATTCAGAAATTAATCAACTAATCAACTAATTTACGGGTTAAAGAAGACATGGTCACCAACCTGGTTAAGGGATGCATGTGCTTTCTCTGAAACTTAAAAGGTTCAATTTCGAATTGCAAAGTCGCAGTTTGTGGCTGTAAAACTGAATCTTAAACCTCAATAATAAACACAATTCGAACATTTTTAACTATTTATTTACTCCAATACCAAAAAAAGCTGCAGGAAATCAAACTAAAAGTACAATAAAATGACTTGAAAACCTCAGAAAGCAGCATTACAATGTAAATGCTGGATGAATGCTAAAAGAAGGTGTTGCAACTAATTAGGGTAATTGGCAACATGTCAGCCACATTATTGAAATAAAAAGCCACTTGGAGGTAAAAGAAAACAACAACAACAAAAACAAACACAAACACAAAAATAAAACAGAGAAAGATTCAGCAATCTGAAAAAAACTTTTGGAACTATTTCAGAAAAAAATACTTGTCAATGTGATATTGGCAAGACTTTGAATTTTCAGAGGCTGAAAATAAGTATGGATCTCCCCGATCTTTCAGCTCTGAGGCAGCTCAGACAACACAGACACAGAGCGGGAAACCGTTGGAAACTGTCAGACAAATCGGAAATTCCTCTTTGAGATCATGGACAGTGCCCCCCGGTCTAAAGACAGAGAGGGGAAGAAATCATCTTCCACACAATTGAAATGGGGGATGAGTTAGTGCCCATAGAACTGTAAACCTGCACATCTGGAACAGGATTACAGATGCTGAGGTGTATAAACAGACTCTGTGGTTATGTGCTCTCATAAGGATGAAACCTTTGCTAGGGAAGGTTTTGCATATATCAGCAAGACAATGTTAAACCACATCCTGCATTTAATACAACAGCAAGGCTTCAAAGAGGCCAGATGTTTGGACAAAATACAGTAAAAAAGACACCGGGCTGCTGGACAGCTAGAATCCTCTATTATACAGAAACATTTACAAAATTTTAGAACAAATTTCTGCCCTTTTGAGGACATAAGTGGAAGACCTGCGTTATTTCCTTTTCATTCCATTCATCAGATGTTTCTGTGAACATGGCGTCAGCAGTAAGTTTTCCTGTTTTGAATGTTTCCAAAGGTACTCTTGATTTTGGTGCCTTCTTAAACTGACTAAACCAATAGAACTTTCCCCATCAGTTAAAAAAAAAAAAAAAAAAAGTAGCCAGAAATCAAATGGAAATTGTAATTCAGCCCACCTGTTGGTTTGATATTGACTCTGGAAGGAACTCGCTCTCCTTCAGAGGAGTAACGGAGGAAATAGTCACCTTCTCCCTTTCATCACTGGCTGACTTAGTCCTGGTATTTTATTGGTGGAGATGCTGTGACCACCGCCCGCTTCCCCTAACTGATTCGGATCTTTAAAGGGGAGCTGAGTGCAGTGAGTCATTTCTCGCCGGCCCCTGTGGCGGGGGTTCGTCACATGGGGCCGGGCCTGATGTCGTCGTTTCCTGCCGCGGAGGCTTTTGTGGGCTGTGTTGAACCAGCCGAGCACGTCATCGCCAGCGCTCATCACCTCGTCACTGCAAACTGGAACAGGTTGAAATGTTTGTGCGATGGTTTACGAGCGTGAAACTTTCCCGGGGAACCTTTTTTTTGTGTGCAATCATTTCTAAGAGCCGTGTGATGTTTGTCCATGGGGGCCACATCAGAGCACAGATACTCACATACGATAAGGGGCAGGGTCTCTAAAACCTCAAAACTCTTTGGAAGAAAACACTTATTTAATTCTGAATTGTGATATTCAGATGTCTTTGAATATTTGGGTGCTATAGTTGCGACCGGTCCTAATTTATTCGTTATTGTTTAAGGGACTTTTAAAACTGAACTGTGCAGCGTAGACTCCGTTCTGGTCCATTCTGATCAGAGAGGACACACTCATTCACAATAAACACTTCAGCCAGCTCAGTTCAGCTCAATGCAAGGCAAGGCAAGTTTATTAGTATAGCACATTTCTTGTACAAGACAATTCAAAGTGCTTCACAGAGAATTTATAAGCAGAAAAACAAGAAAAGAAAATAATCAAAATTACACAGATGAAAAGTGAAGGGTGCAGACAAAATACATTCAATTTCCATAGGCACAATTAAACAGAAGCGTTTTCAACCTGGATTCAAACACTGTTAGAGTTGAAGCCAGTCTCACATCTTCAGGAAGACTGTTCCAGATTTTAAAAATCTTCACCTTGTTTGGTTCTGACTCTGGGCACCAGCAGGAGACCAGAACCTGAGGTTCTCAACAGTCCTTCATCACTGGCTTTACGGCCTGTTTCTTGTGTCCCAGCTGTCATCGGGGGGCAGGCGGGGTGCATCCTGGACCGGGCCACGCAGAGATAAACAGACACACTCACATTCACTCCGATTAGAAGCATCAATTAACCCAACATGCATGTTTCTGGAACATGCATACACAAGGAGAACATGCAAACGCCACATAAAATGGAGCCCAGGAATTCAAACCGGAGACGTTGCTTCTGGATTTATATTAGTAGAGAAAAAGTCATTTTTACAAATAAGACATAAAGCCGAAGAAAAAACATGTAGAAAGTTTGAGTGTAGCTGAGAGGAAGGTGTGGTGGAAAGGTGGGGTTGCTTTTGTTTTTGCAGTAACTTAACTGATGATTTCACACATGTTGGACTCACAACCAACACTTCAACATCCCCTCAGTGAAATTTCCAGAATTGCTTCATCTGTTTTTAACCGGCTCTGTAATCCCCCTTCCCTGTAACCGCTCTGTCTGTATGTGTAGCCTTAAAGCTGAGCAGAAAGCTGTCAGAGCTGTTCCTGCTGCCATGCCTCAATGGAAAAAGTACACTCTGCAGACCGGAAACACAGACTCACACACTGCAAACCATAAGCTGTACCAGAGAAATGAAAGAAGAATTCACAGGCGTCTTTATTTATTGATTTACTTTGTGCTGAACAATTCTCTCGATCAATTAAAGGGACTGTCTTTCTTTATTAGAGTAAAATAAGCTCAAATATTATGGGAGTGAAGTATTTATGATTGGGGTATCTGATCTCACAAGGTTAGAAAAAGACCAAAATACCCAGAGTTTAATCTTTGACTGTATATAATCATATAGAGACCAAAACGGTTATATGATCCTGTATAAAAACATGTTTTCTGAATATTTCCCAGTGTGAGAAATCTTCATGCAAATGTGAAAATTTTATGAAACATCTAATCATCATAAATGTAGCAGTGTAGAATAATCCAGTTTCCAGTGACCCGTTACAAAACCCGACGCTTGAACTTCAGGTCTGTTTTTTTCTCACTTGTTTTGGCGAAATCGTCATTCTCTCAACTAAAAAAAACAAACAAAAAAAGCAACACTTTTTTTTTCCTCTGGGTGTCGTGGACACTGCACAAAATCACTGAGGGCAGTTTCCAACAAATTTTGAGCCAACATGTTTTTATTTTGACACTATTGAGGAATGGGAAGTCCATTTGGAAGTGTGAAACAAAGGAGTTTGTGTTAGAGATGCACTATAAACGGCACCATCCTCAATAAATCAGGTCCCTTTTTCTTCCTTTCCCTCAAAAACCAGATGCATGGACACCCTTATTCAACGTCTTCTCTCTTTCCCCGTCACCCCCCAGGAGGACTCACCCTCCAAGCCCCCCTCTGTGGTGACTCACCCTTTGGGCTTGCACCAGTCAGCAGAACGCTGTGGTCGGAACTGCTGCATGTCCCCGCTGTAGCACACACACACATACACACACACACACACACACACAAACACACACACTTCTTCTGTTCTTTGATGGGCCCATAAATCCTCTTGTGTTTAACTGTTTTGGACATTGTAATTCCTCTTCCAGTAAGGCTCTCTCTGGTTTTTTACTGGAGAGGGGATAAAAAAAAAAAAGAAAGAAAGAAAACAACAGGTTGTTACCACTTCGCCTGAGCTTGTTCTGGTAACTCCGGCCTCTTGCTCTCGGTTGTGATACTTTTCTGTTAATGGTCTTTTTTTTTTTTTTCCCCTGGCAGAAACGGTTTGAAAGTCGGCTGGCTGTAAAGTGTCATCTTTGAACGTCATCGTTCCGATTCACCTGCTATTTCTGACTCATTTCTTACCAACGCAGCTTTTAAAATGTTCCTAGCTCCAGCTCGCCACAGATGGAATATATATTATTAATGAATGCTTAATTAGGCGCTAATGTGACTGCAAAAGCATTCCACTTGCTTTTGACAGTAACCATTTCATCATCACCTCTCTTTCTGCATCTGTCTGAGTAACACACTCATAACACACTTTACACAGCGGGAGTAATTATGGCCTGAGTCAGGGCCATGAATCTGGATGAATAAGAAAACAAATCATCCACTGTGGGTCTCCCCCGTCTCTCCTCCTTCCCTCGTTTGTGTCTTTTTTTTGTCTTAAATTGAACGCAGGCTGCTCCGTGTGGACAGTCGGTTGAAACGTAGACACACACACACACACACACGTGCACAGTTGCCTGTTGGGCCCGGCGTAACTTGGGTGGCCTCTGTTTTTCGAATGCTCTGGGAGGTCCGAGAGGTAGACATTTGTGTCTAAACCAGACATTACAGCAGCCCAGTGGGTCTGGACGGGGGCAAATTGTTCCCATTCTTTTCCATTGAGAGGAGACGTGGAAGAAGCCATTCCTTCCTGGAAGCTGGAGGTGAGGGGAATACCTCCTCGGCTCCGCATTCCTCAGCACCAACAGGCCGGGGGGTCGGCGTGACACGAGGAGAAAAACGGCCACATCACCGCGATTTATCTATGGACCCAGAAGTTCGACCGCCTCTCAGTTATGCCAGAGTTATTCACAAAGCACTTTGGATGAAAGAGGACTGAGGTCCTGAGCGGTCGAGTTGATCGTGTCTTTGATCAGCCAGTCCTCCATGACTTGAGTATCACCGGAAGTTTCCAGGCGTGGAAGCCGCTGAGTCATCGCTGCCCCCCCCCCCCGGTTGGTCTCCGTTCTCCCCGGGGAGCCTTTCGTCATCAGGGGCAGCGGGCTCCATCTGCCAACCCAGAATGGGAGTCAGGATCGCAGCAGGAGAGCTCCAGAGGGCCCAGCCATCCCTGACAGATCTGCATTTTCTATAAGTTTTTTCGCTGGTTTTTCGCCCATTTTCACTTTCCATAGATCTCTTGTCAATCAAATTGTGTGGGCGCCTCTTTTGTCTGGGAGCTTCTGGTGATGGACTCGTGTTCCTGCGCGCTCCTTTGTTTGCGGCCGTGGCAGCTATTTCGGCTTGTTTGAACTATTCAGCTTTTCATCTATTATGCCTCCGTAAAAAAAAAAGCGCAGAAGGAGATGATTTCCCCGGAGTTTTGTCTGTTGCTTTGATTTCGTTCAATTGTCGAGGGTATTCCGGGGAACTGTTGAACTTTCGCTTGTGAGAATATGAGCAGCAGGCACGGTCTCTCCATTTACCGGTTTTTAAATGAATAAACTTCTCTGTGAGGCGTCATCAGCAGGTGACATCTGACATGACCCTAATGAACAGAGCGCTGGTTGCTATCTGAAAAAGAGCCTCAGTTATCCTTTCATGTCTGTAAGTAGCGGTTTATTCTCATCTTATTTGTCATCATAAAAAAGTGATACATTTCAACTGTGATCCTATCATTAAAGTGATTTAGAAACTGTTCGTTTCAACCCAAAAGACTAAGTTAAATGCTTGGGTATCAGTTTCTAAGTAGGTTTTACGTGCCAATAAGGGGGCGGCTTATTGTTATGTACTGCAAGTGGTACAAGTTCTGTACTCTTTGAAACCCGAGACACCTTTAAAATCCTATTCAAGTGTGTAATTTTTTTTTAAACCGACTATCTGGACACTGATTTGAGTCGGCGTGGAGAAAACGTCTCGACTGAGAGAAACTGACTCGGCATGAAAACCTGTCTGACCCGTAGGTGCTCTGCAGGCCGTCCCCAGTGGTCAGCGGTGGTGTTGCAGGCTGGAACTTCTCAACTGTAATAGAGTCAGATGTTCCTCTCAAAGTCAGTATAGGCAAAAGTGTTCTCATGTTCAAAGCCACACACTCAGCCGATCCCACTCGCCGTCAACACCTAGATGGGAAATTCAGCAGCAATACACCAGCAATTGACCCCGCCTTAGTTCATATGAGGAAATACTCCACAAAAGGATTCAGGTATTTTCCTCCTGTAACCTATTCCTCAATGTGAAAAAGCGAACCCCCGGAGGATGACTCCGGATGGTCGGCACTGGTTCATTAACCAGCCATCGTCTCGGTTTAGTGAATTAGCGTCATCTCAGAACACACACACTCTCTCCCCAAACTCTGACATTTGCGTCCGACGGCGGCGAAAGAGCAGACATTATTTTTGGAAAAGGCCCAATCGTATTGCCCCATCCTTTGGGGACTGCCTACACCTTTTCGGGTTAATTACACACGCGCCGCAGCATAGTTTATGCCTGATAATGGACTCAGTGTGTCTTCACCCACAAACCGGAGGGTTTTTTCCCCTTCGGAGCCGAGCTTTATTGATGCCTCTGGTCAGCAGCTCCGAACACAGAAAGCTGGTCAGTTCACAGAGGAGCAGGTTCTGGATACTGTGGATAAAAAAGCATTTTGCCTCCACACATGAGGCAACTTAGAACTGAAATGACCACAGTACTTTTGACCTTACATAATTACACTTAAGCACAGAACTGTACCTGGACTAGATTCTGAAGATTCCTGAGAAGAAGCAGGACATTATAGGCTCATTCATGACCGGATCATCCTGTCATTTTTAAACAAACTGTATGAAACAGGTACGCCGAAGCGCAATGAGATTTTCTGGTTGCATGGCAGCCATACCCCAAAAAACAAAAAACAAAGCATGAATAAATAATCGTAAAGGAGCTCCTGGTGACTGTGAGCACAACAAACTGTAAAAAAGCTAATATTACAGCTATATGCTGCACAATTTCTGTAGTTTCACTCGTTTTTTTGACTGATTTGTCCCCAAAATCAGTTTTTCATCCCTCGTAAGTGTCTGGATAACGAGCAAGAAGTTCAGTGCTTGCTTTGTTAATCTGCTAAAGTTCTCCGAGGTATGTGCCTGCACGATTCCCGACTTGAGTGGGATCTCAGGAAGGGGAGGAGGCGGAGGAATAGGCGGCGGAGGTCAAGGCGGCGCGGACGGGGGGGTGACCCGCCGGAGCATCAGCGCTCATCCACGCCGAGCGCTTGTGTCACTTGATTGACAGCTCTTCAGATCTAACCTTCATCAAAGTGTGTCGAGGGCAGCGGCGGCGGGCGGAGGGGGGACGCGCTTGTCAACCTCGTTGAGCCTCATTCGCCCGATCCGGTAGCGTCACATGCCAGTCTCAGAGGAGGAGACGCGGTTATCTGGACACAGGAAGGCCGGACGCTGGCTCACAGGGTCCAGTTAGCTGAAGGTTAGACTGGTCTGTGAGTACTTCTAAAGTACGTACAGACTGGACGTCTGTTCCGGCTGTTAGTCAAGCCTGTAATCAGTATTTTATTCAACAAAGCGTACAAAGCTGTGTTTTTTTGTACTTTTTTTTAAACCTGCAGTGGATCAGGCTCAGCCAGAAGAGAGCAACTCATTTTCACATAATTCACATTCACATTTGTTATTATATCAAGCTTTCAGTGTTATCCTAAAACATTTATCCCAGGTCCAGACTGATTGATTTCAAATCTGAATTATTTGGTCTGGAGACATGAATTCAACTATGATTATAACCTTAGACAAAAATGAATTCATTTTGATTTTAATTGTTTGATACAGTTCTTTAAAACCACCTGATGTTCAAGGTATTTATAAAATGTATAATGGGAAATGCAGTTGATGCAGTTTAAATAAAAAGAGAAAAAAAACAGAAAGGCTTCCTTTCAGGTTCAGGCTTTTGGGCAGATGGATGAAGTTCTTCCACGTTGAGAAGCTGCTCATGACTGAGGCGTTACACCACAGGTTTTTTTGTCTGCTCTCATTTTCCAATGAACAGAAACCAGTTTCTGCCTATCCCAGGTGTGGCACAGGAAAAAAAGAGGGAGGTGGCTGGTTTGGCAGCCAATTACCATCACACCAACAGATGATTTGGAAAGAGAACAAAAGATAAAAACCCTACGGTTAAAATGATGGTTTTCCATCTTCGTGAATTAGACGGCTTAAACCAATCACCTCGTCTGGCCCCCCTCATCGCCTCCAGAGCGATATGTTGGCCTGGAGATGTGCCAGAGCCAAACCGGTAGGGCCGCGTCGCCAGAACCGGCGTTCCAAAGCGCAGACATAAACACAGCGAGGATTTAAACACGGAAATCCAGCCGGCCTGTGAAACCTTTCGGGTCTGATCTCACTTTTTCCAGCATCTCTACAGTGGCCGGCCCCAGAGAGAGAGAGGGGGGGGAGGGGTGTCATAATTCCCTGTGAAATGTCAAATAAACAGGTCTTTTCTTACAATGGAGCTTGTTGGAACCCGCCTGTCAGAGGACCTGAACCTCTCACCCCGACTGGGGCCGATGGGAGGATTTTTTACTATCTGCCCCATGCCCCTGAATCATCTGCACACAACCATCACCGGGACAAAAGGGCTGCTTTGAGCTCCCGGGCTGAGAGAGGTGGTGGTGGTGGGGGGGGGGGGGGGGGGGGGGGTTATAGAGGTGCTCAGAGAAGAGAGTGCAGTGAACTCTCTTTAGAGCCGAGGTGGTGAGTAATGGAGCAGGCCTGTGAGAACCAGCATCGGGGGGCTGTTTGTGGTTAAACATGAGCGTGTCCCTACATACCACGGTGCCTTTTCCCATCAGCGCACCACCCACCCTCCCAACCTCCCCCCCCCCCCCCGGGCGTAGACAGCACATTCCAGCTTTATCAATAGATGAGGAAGAAGAAAAAGAGGATTTATGCGCTTTGAGTGGAGCTGCTGGCAGTTTAGGTCAAACCAGAAAGTGTGTCTCAGCCCACAGAAAAACAGTTAACCCCCCCCCCCACATCGTTTGGTGTTTTTGTCAATCGTCTATTTTGAAAACAAGATGTGCTGTCATCCTCTCGGGTGCACTGTTTTGATTCTTCCTGGTTGTAAATGATTCCTTTTCAAAGTAACCGATGCTGCGGAACATTCATGCTGATTTGAAAGATTTCTCCCTCCGTGAAAACCATCACCAGGTTTTGACTGATTTACTTCCACGCCGCAAAAAGGCGTCTTTAAACTATTTCGGGCTCCTTAAAGGAGAACAGGAGGCACTCCGATGTCACAGCACCCCCTGCTGAAGCCGGCGGGCTCTTCTCAGCGTGCTGAACGGGAGTGATGTGGTAAAAAAGGATGCAGCTACATATGAAGGTGTGATTGTTTCTCCTCAGGGGGCTGGAGACAGCTTTATCGGAGCGCTGGCGTTTTACATGGCCCGGCACCCCGCCATGCCTCTGGAGGAGATGGCCGGCAGAGCCAATCGGGTGGCGGCGCTGAGCGTGGGAGCGGCCGGCACGCAGACATCGTTCCCGTTCAGACGGGACCTCCCCGACGAACTGTTCTGAGAGAACCGAAGACTCAACGCACAAGTGTCCTTTGAACTGCTTTAGACCAATCACACATTGTTATTTGGACAACAGATCATACTGGTCGGTAAATCAGTTATGCTCTACAGGATGTAATGGATGTTTATTTTTACAGAGTTACCCCAAAGAAACAACTTACAAATAACTAAAGCATGTTTTGGATGTGTTATCAGCAGTCATGCAGACGTATAATCCTCACGGTGCCCATGAAGTCTGTTGAATAAAGAGTGGACCATCGATGCCGCGGATGTGCATCATCCTTAGCTGCTGCTTTTTTTTCCTTTATTGATCCATGAAAATCCTCTGAAACCACCAGCCGGCATTGACCGCCCAACACTTTGTGTACTCCGTGACAACAGAGAGTCTGTTCAAACCTCGCAGGTAGACGTTGTCCGCGTGCGTCAGATGGATTTGATCTTCCTCTTCTCAAAGAAAAGGACGTGCTTGTTCACTGTGAAGACAGGAAGCAGACAGAGGGCAGATCAGAAGACGCTCCGCTGTGAGTCTGAGCCCAACATGTCAGCGTGTGTGTGCAGCTGCCTGAGCCAGCTGGGCTGGTTTTGGGCTTTTTAGCCCATTTGGGTTCAGCCTGATGCAGCCTCAGGTACTCAGTCTGCAGCCGGCTTTCAGCCGCCGGCGCCACCATAAAGAGGTCTGAGTAAATTATACAAAGGGAAGATTTTCTTTCTCTAAATGTCAAACATGTAGAAAATTAGAGTCCTCAATTATTATTTTACTGAATAATAATAAAAAAATAGTTTTTGAATGAATTTTGGGATATTTGTGAAAATTACTTCTTATTTTCTGGGTTTTAATTGAAAATCAGAATGTTTCCTCCCAATGACTGGTGGGATAGGCTCCAGCCCCAAAAATAAACTCTTTGTGTTGATGTATTTACATCAGTAATCCTTCAATGATTTATTCATCTAGGTTCAATCTGGTAGTAAAAACACATTTGTAAATTGGGTTATTATCACTTAGACTGCCTAAAATGTATTATTATTGGACAATTGGTCCAATGTGAAATCTGACAGTACTGCTCTGACTAACTACTTACCATAAATAAACATATAACCTACTAAACAGTGCTCAACTCAGGTGAAGCCCCTTGTTAAGGACTGGGCCTTTTAGCTGAATATTAAATATGATGAGTGGTTTTGGACAGTTTACTGCTATTTCCTAATCTGTACCATTATCAGTTATGATCATGACACATGTCTTTTGCTCAAAAAAGGATGTACATGGGTTTTCTCACTTAAACCATCTCCTAAAATGGACTGAATAGCTGCTCTAACATAAAAGAGGCTGGGGAGAGATGAGGAAAAAGTAGACCCGTCAGAGTGATGAATCTTGGTGGTAAGCTGAAGTTTCATTAAAACAAGAACGCAGTCCAGCTTTGTGTGCCGACTACATTCTTCCCGACCCATTCTGACCATCACAACGCACCAAACGGATCGTGTTTGCGCAGCACCAGTTTCTCTCGGAGGCGGTTCCTCTTTGTGTTGAAGAAGTAGCCCGTTCCAGCGGCGCTCACCATCTGCACCAGGAGGGTCCTGGAGGAGGACAGAACAGCCGAAAACCCACCCTCAAATCAGTGCTGATAGAACTAATACAGTGCTGAGAGACAGTTATCCTCCCCTCATTTATTTATTTAGTTATTTCTTGTAAAACAGGAAACAGAACTGAACCAAATATGAATATTGATAGCGTATTTGGCAAACAGGATTTGTAACAGTCCAACTAGCTTGTCAATATTTTATTGTTCAACCCAGTCTGAACCTGCTTAGACAAGCTTTCTGTCCTTTCATTTAGTAATATTCAGGAATATTTTTCCAGGCTTCTTGAATGTAATCTCAAAGAATCAGCTTCTCTAAAAATGCTAATTTACCAGGACTGATCATAAAATGGATCAAACAAGCAGCCAAAGCAGTTCAGAATCCTGGAGAGCTATTTCCCCAAGATAACTTTAAAATATTACAAGAAAATCTTGACCTTTGGCAGTAAAAAAATAAAGAAACTGGGGATTGGTTGAGACTTTTTTGCAACGCCGTGTGTTCACTTCACTTACTTGGATTTTGCTTTCGCCACTGAAAAAGAGCAAAGAAAATATGTTTGAATTATTAAGTTTTACAGAGAAGTAGCATTCCTACATGAGTATTTTACACTGTGGTGCTTCTATTTCCATCAAACACATTTTAGATCTGCCAATGACACATTCTTCTCTGTATCCATACAAACACACAAACATATGTATATTTATTTATAAAATACTAGCTGTATTAGCTGTAGACTCATACAAATGTCGAAATGAGAGCTTGTTTGTGTTTGTTGAAGCTATGCTTGTCGTTAACTAATGCACACACAAGACTATGTTTTTAGGACTACTCCTCCAACAGAAATACAAGTTTACTCATGAAAGACTGAAAAAAATCGGTTAATTTTTATGTTATTGGAAAACGCTCCGACAGATCCTTGTGTGTGTAGCATTAGCATAATGGCTAAGCTAAGGCTATTTCAGTGTATTAATAGAATGGCGGTGTATATACAGTCTTCATTAACTACACAGACTATGGGAATTAGATACTCACAGTTCACGGTGGTAAGAAACATTGTGAGGACTGTGAATTACAAATTTAAACACTTTATTGGATCATAACTAGTATCCAAACCAGGTCACATTGAGCACTTGCTCGACCGATGCAGGGGTTTAAAGCACTTCCGGGTCCTCTTAAAGGTACATTACGTTTACAGATAAGCTTGTCAATACTGTCAAGCTTAAACAGGTTCAGATTATTTTACGAATATTAGAAACTCTTATAATAATATGTAATTATTTATTATGATTATTTTTGATAAATTCTGATTGTTGATTGATTCTGTACTTATGCTATGTGCACAGTTACTGTTAGACTGAGCCACTGACTGCCCCTGTCTCATCGCACATGGACAGGAGAAAAGTTGAGTTATTGACCAATGTTTCTCCAACAGAGACTAACTTTCTCTGTCAGAGATCATTATACATTTCATGCAGACTCAGTTTATGGTGGCGTAGATCCCAGAAACTCTAATGGATATTTTGTCTTTTGAATCTTAACTATTGAGCTCAAAGAGAGTTTATTCCGTTTTCTTATTTATTCTTCTGTACATAATATTTATATATGATCGTAGAGGATATAAGATTTTTTTTTAACCTATAATTTTATATTAACAAAGCTTTTTGTCATTGTTCTAAGGCCAAATTTGGCTCTCATAGCCCAGTTTGCCCTGACACCCATTATGCTCCAAAGTAAAATGAAAAGCCCTAACATGGGTTATAGCAGGCGCTGCAAGGTTAGCTGTAGATCTGTGAGTGGCTTTCACCCAGTTCCAGTGCCATCATTCCAGGCTTAATGTGGGAAAAATCAAACCCCTGATATGGCAGTTAGAATAAAAGAGATTAACTGCGCAGTGAGAAATGGACAAATACCTAAGAAATAATTTTTCATGCCCAGCAAAATTGTTATTTATAAAGATTCTTTAGTCTAATTTCTGTGAGCTAATGGGTCTTTAAAAGTCTTTAGGTTTTTTCCTTGCTCTTCATCAATCAAGTCTACCATCTATTAGTTTTCATCTTGTGCAGTCAAAGTCGGGCTTCTTGGCTGAAAATGAAATGATAAAATAGTTAACGACACAACGACATATGTAGAAACATATGGGAGACTTATCCTTATCATTTACATCTAGTCAAAATAAATTTCATAACATCCTGAGGAAGATTTTGAAGAGATCTGCTTGGGAAAAGATGAGAAGCGAATAATAAAACTCCCAGAATAGTGTCTGTTTGTAGGTTCATTCATTGTTGTCCTTGTGCTTAGAACATTTGTTGGTTGTGTGTGTCATACACTCAAGTGTCCATTAAGGTCTGTACTTACATGGTTTTATTTATTCTATGGCTAATTACACCTGCTGAACAGACCCTCATGTTAGGAGCTCTCTTTCTTATGCAAACAAGACCTGCTTCCTTTCTATTAGGGGCCAGAGCCTTCTCCCTGTAATTACTCTACTGAATAATATTGATAATAATGCTGATAACAATAAAGACATTTCTTTGTGTAATCCTAAAAATAATCACAAAGTTCTTTCAAGAAGAATGAGGTAAAGTTGGATGGATGTTCATAAAAAAAAACATAATGTAATATCAGATCAATTCATCAGATGTTGACAGAGGATCTTTTAAAGAGGAAAGTTTTGAATAGAAATTTGAAGGTTGCCTCAATGGTCCTCTAACTTGCAAGGAGGACGCTATCTGCAGAGCTCATTTATGAGCAAGTTACCGACCACATTGCGGTTGAAAGTATTTGGGGGCATTTAAGGCTTTGAAGGGTTTTGAAACAACTGCCACCAACAGAGGAAACCACTTTTATCTGCATATAATCAAGAAGAGAGCAGAGAAAAACACATAGATCTTGTAAGTTAGCACCACAAAGGAAATACCTCTTTATTCTGATGAGCTTTACACCGGAAAAGAAAGACTAAATCAGATAATGGATCTATTTTTCTGTGTGATGTTGCTAAAAACCGGAAACATTTGAGCAAACAGGAAATAACTGGGGATACAGAACAGAATGATCACTGTTGTTTTGGGCCATTCAGAATTTAATGGCAAGCAGTGAGAATTTGGAAGGTTAGTATAAAAGCGATCATGGCCGCAAAGCTGGCCAAATGCTAAACAAATAGGCAGTAAGGATTGAGCCCGGTCGAAAGTGCCTTTTGCCTATTAATAGGTTTAAATGGGAATTAAGGATGTTGGAAGAGCAAAAAGATTTGATCTGCATCTCTGTCTGAATGCATTAGTGTTGTGGAGAAAATACACAGATGATTTAAGCAGCTATATTGAGAGAAAAAATGAAAAGAAAAGGTCTGTTATTAAATCCATTTAGAGTACATGAAATGGCATGATGTTTTTTTCTTGAACCAGATTCCCAACGTGGGCTTCAGTAGCTGCAGGTTAAGAAACTCATTTTACCTCAACTTGTTCAATTTAGTTGTTTTGAATCAAAGTCATTATGAAAAAAAGCTGACAATGAGCCTAGCTGTTGGTCAGTGCGTCTACAGCCCCAGGCGAACAGCTCAGCCATCGTGAATAGGCTGTAAGGAACCAGATAAAGAACAATCAGGAATGTCCCCAGTGTTCAGTGAAAGGCTATCTGTCACAGGAAGATAAATGAGTCTGATATAAAAAATCCTGCCACGGAAATTCCCCCGAAATACTCACAGTCTTGTAACTTAATATCTTCATTTATTTCTTTTCATACCACCAAAACAGTGGTGGAATGCTCAAAAGCTGAAGCATTCCCCCCCCCCTAAAAGTTTCACTCTTGTGATGATTCACCTCTCCTTGTGAAACACGCCTCAAACAGTTATGCTTCTTTAAACACCAAATGTGAAGAAGAAGAATGTGAAGAAGGCAGAAAAGTGGTATTTGAAGACATTATTTCACAAGCAGACACAACTTCCTGAGAAAGTGAAGGTTCGTGTCATCTTTTGGACAAAAGGTCAGAGACGTACAGTTTAACAGCCCCTTTTCCCATGTCTGCACACCTCTGCTCACAGCAGCTAGTCCAGTGAACAGCCAAAGTTTTGAAAACCTGCATATGAGAAGATGATCTGACTTAACTAAGATATGCAGCATGTCCAATTTGTAACACACCTGCCATTTGAAATTCTTATATATACTATTCTTTATATATTCTCTATATTCTTTATATATACATCCACATATTTGAGTACATATGTTGCTATGTGTGGGAAAATAAACTAAACTGACATAAAAAATCCTATCAAACTATTTTTTTTTTTCTCCTCTGGGCTTCTCTATAATACGTTTTTGCTGGTGATCTCTGTGAGAAGATGGATGGCCAACTGTAGAAAACAGGACAGGTGTTTGAACTTGAGAGAAACTAGAAAAAATAGCATTACATATAAGACACTTATGTGATGTTTTTACTCACATGAAATACAGAGCAAGCAAGTCTCTGAGAAAGTTTCTGTTTTTTACATAATTTGGACGGTGTATGAATGTGATTGTGAGGATTCCCAGAACCAATTGACCCGGTCGCAGACAGCAGGGAGGAGCAAGGCAGACAGGATGAAACAGACCCCCAGATCAGGTCCAAGCATCCGTTCATCCGTTTTCTATACCCACTTATTCCCTGTGAGGTCGCAGTGGGGCCTGGAGCCTATCAAAGCAGGTCTGATGGAGGGATGAATTCTCCTGGGAGGATATAACTCAACATTAATGACCATTATTACATCTGTGATCTACCAAGTCCTGCATCTGTGTCCCAGCCTCTTGGCTCTGCTGTGGTTTAGAATGGAGACAAAAATGGGTTAAAAGTTCTCATTGAAGACCAAAACAAACTTTTTAATTACTTTGCATTCATTTGGCAGATGCTTTTGACAAAAATATCAAGTTTTGCCAAAAAATAATTTCAAAAGCGCACTTTACTTTGAAATAACGAACATTTACAGCTACAATAAAAAGACCATTTAATAGCTTAGTTTTGGCCTATTTCAAATCAAGCTTACAATTCTAAGACAAGGGCCTGTTTCTAAACTCAAAGATACCCTTTCAAACTTCTCTTTATTCTCCATCAGTATGGAAATGGGTAATTTAGGTGTCGTCCATCAGTGCTGTGCAGGTTACATAAAAGTGAAATCTCCACTCTTGAATGAGCCTGCATTCATACCTGTTCCCCTGTTTTCAGCCTCTCTAGATTAGAATAACAGCAGAAGGATCTAATAGATAAAGGAGGGGAAGCGGTGACATAGAGGGTCAGAAATGGGAGGGGGGGTGTGTGTGCTGGGGCGATGAACATCCGTGCAGTGAAGTGGGAGACAGAATGAGGAGCTCACGTCCGGAGCGGCAGTGGAGAGAGCTGAGTGGGAGGGGAGGTGGTGGAGGAGGAGGAGGAGGAGAGCTGAAGCTGGAGTTTGTGGTCTCAGCCTCCTTCTCAGAATTATTCCCTGTGTGACGCAGGCTCCTCCACACACATCCTGACAGCTGCTCCCTGCCCGGTTACAGCGCCGCTCGGCCCGTCCAATAACATTCATGTCGATTTCCGCTTTAATGTGTGACTTTCCCCCCCTGGGTTTACCAATACAGCTGCGTTTAGCCTCATTAGCACATGTTCGCTTATTGCTTCTCATCTCTGTCTAATCTATGAGCCTATGGGACCACGCTCGCAGATTCACTGGGGCTTCCTTTCGAATGAGCGCTGGAGACGATAAGCGTTTTTGTCTGTTTCCCTTTTTCTCCAAAACGAGGCCAAGCAAAGCACAAAAAACACTGGAAACTTGAAAGGTAGCTGACAAGCACTGCGATTGATTGCTCAGACATTTTAAACTCAATTTTCTTAATGTTTTTTTTTTCTGTGCACAATAGCCATAAAGTATAGCTCTAATTCTCTTTTCAGAAATCCGGGAGTTTGAAATTCAAAGTGCTGAGTGAGAGATTGATTTCAGTCTCAGCGCTTTGAAAGGAAAATCACCCGTTTTCAAGAGAACTTTCGTCCATTGACTTGGGTGCCTTTTTTAAGCATCAGTGATTCACTCCAGAAACTGTTGGATTGTATCAGCTGTACTCTCACAACGCGCTTGTGTTATATTTAAAATGCAGTGTAGCAACGCTCACGTAAACTTGAGTCAGCATCAGGTGAACCCACTGTTGAAGCGGTCAGTTGATCTTTTCTGCCTTTTCCATTGTGTTTCTCCGAGTTGAGCAACGACAAAAGCACATGATGACTGAGTGTGTGTTTACCGCAGCTGATTGCTCCCAACTCAGGCTGATGAGTTATTAATAATTTTGAGTAACACCCACACGGCTCCATGAACACAGAAAACAAGCCCCGGCTCACTGTCAAAACAACTGTTTGCTGCTCATTTGACCCACCATCCTTATCCCAGTAGGTGACAATATGACTCACACACACAGAGTCAGAGGCACCAAGCACCACACACTGGTTCACAACTCTCTGACTTGCGTCAGCACAATGTCCTGATAGCAATTATATAAAAGGAAATACTGAATAACAGGGGGTGATGCCTTTTTTTCATTTTCTCCCCATCTCAATTTCCACCATCTTCAATGAAGCTTATATTATGTGTGTTTCCACCAATGTAAAACCAAAGTGTTAAATGTTTGTAGCTTGATAGATTACTTAAACTTTAGTGTATTTGTTCTGTTTTATTGAGGCTAAGTACAGCCTTAGTATCAGTAATGGTCCATTTATGGGTTTTCAGGCTGAATACAAAAAAGAGGAAAGTTAAAAAAAAGTTTGTTCAAGGTCTTCTGGTGCTGTAGTAAAAAAGAACAAAATTGCTTGTGTGTAAGTTCGTTATCACACAGGTCTGGTTGGGTTTCTTTAACCCCAACAGCAGACATCTTGGACGGAAGGATCCAAAAGGTTTCTGCAGTATCACATATGACACACTGGCAAAAACACTTTTCAATTCTTTAGACAGCTTCAGACCACCACCGACAAAAATATGGTTTGTGGGCTCCCAGAACAGGAAGAACAATGCACAGCCTGACTATGTGAGTCTGTGAGTCTCAGCTGAGGGCATAAGAAACATTTACCTGTAGATCTTCTTCAATTCTTCTACTGAAGAAGTGTAGCAAAAATGATATTTGAATATTTTGGATTGAACATAAAAGATTATCACAGTTCCGTTATAGATTATTTGAACTAAGACAGAAATACAGAGCTTTTCCAAAACAGAGAAATGCAGTAATGGCTCCATACGGTCAGGAATTGTTTGTGTCAGCAGTTCTGTGAGGGTTAAAGACCCAGACAGCGTTCTCATTCTGGTGGTCCCAGAATCAGCACCACGGACAGCAGTGATGACACACTACAGACCAAAATGTTCCAGCTGATTTAAATGTTTCATCCAGCTTGCCTTGTTGTGAGTCACACGCCTGCAGAAGCATAAAGTCACAATAATTTGACTCCCTGCTGGGCAAAAGAACTGCGGGAAAGAAAAAAAAAAACGCTGATCCGACAAGGAAAAAACAGCGACTTCACTTAAATGATAATGTCGAGCTAATGGAGAATAACCACCACTGGGTATGATTCTTTTTGACAGCACCTTGTAATGAACAGAGGCTCTAGGACACGATCTGTGGGTAGGAGGATTCTTTAGCCACAATCTTTTTTATTTAGCCTAACCTAGCACAGGGGGGGAGTCTTATGTGTTGTATTGAAAGGGCAAAAAAGTTTAGCATCATGCTGTCACCATCTTGATCACCTTTAAAATGAGAATCAAGAAGAAAAACAGGTATGGATCTGACTAATCTCATTGAGGTAATGGTATTATTCTCAGAGAATTTCACATGAAGCTATTCATAGCCTTTTATTTTGCTCAACATTGGATCAACAGAGTTACAAAATCAACCTGAAAATGCTGACTGAGGACATTTTAATAAAAATTCAGATTCAAACTAATATTTTCACCAAGACAGAGATAATTACAATTATCTAAAGGGCTCCGAGACGGGGTTTTATTTCAAAATGGTGTTTATTTTTGTTTTGGACTGAGAATCTAATAGGATATGGTTGAAAATATGTCTTCAACAATTTTGAAGTGTTTTTTTTTTTTCACTTATAGAATATGGTTTTACATTTTAGAGCCATGTCTAAAGTGGAATGCAATTTCTCTTACCCACAAAACAAGCACAAACATCACATTCAGTCTCTAATTCATTATCAGAGCGGCTGTTCCAGAAACAGCTCCACAATCACATCACACTCCACTCTTGTCTGGGTTCTCTCTGGAGCTTTTGAGGCAACTTGTCTGTTTCTGTATGTCTTCATCTAGCTGTCCACTGTTATTGGGGAAAACATGGGAACATCTCCCAGGGTGGATTTTTTTTGCTTTCAGCATGACCCAGTTTTGACTGTTCTTGTTCAGAGAGGCAATCTAAGCGCATGCTAACATGACACCACAAATCAGATGTTTTCTTTGGGTTTTTTTGTGTGAATCCACTCAGAATATTATCTAATAGTCATAGTAAGCGTGCCATTCTTAATTGCAACACATTTGTCCTGTCGTCGCTCACGGTGAGCATCTCTGGCATTTTATTCAATACGTCTTTTGAAGTCATAGAGGGGAGCTGGTAAAGGCAAAAAACAAACAGCAGAATGGTCTGAATTGTTTCCCCACCTGCGTAAATGGAGGCAATTGAGTCAGATATGATGTCACTGGCTGATGTGCATCAGGTTGCTATGGTAACTCCAATCTCGGGATAATGAGGACTTCAGATTGGATTTCCACACTGGCACCAGGCATGTGAGTGTGGGTCTAGAGCCCCCGGTCGAAAAAAATAATGGAGATTTAAAAGGTTAGAAATGGCTACATTGAGGCCGATGTTTGAGTGTTAAACCACATTAAATTATCTTCATTCTAACTGCTCAGAATGATGTGAGGTGTAAACTTTTCGCTTGTGTGGGACATCATTTCCTCTTGGCACCGAAGGTGTCAGTTCCTGCTCCGCTATATTCAGCTCAGTCCTAAATTTAGACCCCTTCTTGATGAGACCACAATAGCCCCCGCTACCTTACAGAGTCCAAATGATGACCGCAGAGTTGTCAGCAGTAATGTTATAAAACAGGCAGCCAGTGTGTCCTCCTCCCATCTGTTCTCTCTCCTCTGTCTCTATTTCGCTGTGTTCCATGACGCAGAGCCTGAGTGGGAGTGGACAAACCTTCTGCTCCCTGAGAGGACTGAGTGGGCCGCCGCCATCCGCTGTGTACGCAGCAGAGATGGAGGCAGAGATGGAGGTACACGGCAGAGGAGAGGGAGGGGGGGAGAGAGGGGGAAAGACTTTTGAAGAAAAGTGAGTGAAAAGTGAGAGTGACGGGTACATAAAAGGTGAATAATAGGGATGAATGGGGAGATGGGAGAGAACAGGAAGTGATAGCCCAGACCTGTTTTTTTTTTTTAAGGATGGAGCTCTTGATGAAATACAGAGATGAAAGAGTCTAATATAAAGGAAATGAATACAGGAAACAAGGGCAAGACACAAACAGGAAAGGAAAAAAGGATCGTAAAGATAAATTTAAGAATAAGAATGACATGGGACAAAATGTCTGGAAAAATGTTTTGAGGATAAATGGATCTTAAATCATTTGTTTAAAATGAGCAGTTTATTTGAAAATATGTCAAATAAAATGTTAAAAGGGGGCGCAGGAGGGGTGCTGGAGCTTATCCCAGTTGACACAGGGTCACACAGAGACAAACAACCACACCCCATATTCACTCCTAGGGGCTATTTAGACTCTTCAATTAACCTAACATGCATGTTTTTTAACTGTTTTGAAGCCTGAGTACCACAATGCATAAAAACTCCACACAGAAAGGCCCCCTGGCCCTCCGGGAATTGAACCGGCAACTCTCTTTCTGAGAGATGCTGTGCTAACCTGAAATTTAGACTCTTACAAGTTATAAATCAGAAAAAAATATTTTTGTGCCAAGAATCAAGAAATAAATGTATCTTTGTATTATCTAGAACATTGCTGTATTGCTTTTTTCATGTTAATATTTCCAAGGATTTTGTTGTTGTTTTGCTGACAATATAACAATTCAAAACACATGCCCATGAATCAGTAAACCTCTCGATGACCTCCGTCTATTTTCTGATCATTCTTTTTCCTCTTTCCTTTCTGCTGCTCATCTTTAGTAACTCACCCCCCCACCCATGATCCATTGATGGCTATTTTACAATTTGGCTAAATGTAGCTCTGATGTAACAAGTGACACCTTCCGTTTCCATGCTTCCGGTCGCTAGGCAACCTCAGCAATTATGGCAATGCCAAGAGAGGGAAGAGAGAGGAAGTAGCGCTCTCTGGCCCCCTGCTTTTGTTCATCTTGGCCGGGGCCGGTCCGGCTTCATCCGTCATCTAAGTGCAGAGCCTCCATACCAGGCCAGTGATGAAGGCCAGCGTAGCACGCTGCGCTCCCCATTGCTCTCATTAAATCAGCTCTCTTTCCTGCTCTGCTGTTGTCTGCCACGGACATCCACAACAACCAGCTCAGAGCTTGCACCAAAACTCTCTGCTGCCCTCTTTTGTTCCTTAACAGGCCGGTTCTGAAGATCTGATTCTGTTGAGCTGCGCTTTATCCAATGACTAATAATTACCTCTGTTTCTACAGCTCTCTTAAAACACTGATTATAAAGTGATTCACACTGTGCTGAAAATTCAAATCAAGCATAAGTGAATGTAATTTTCAAGTACCTTTTTTTTTGGTTTTCTTCTTAAAATCAACCCGCTTTTAAAAAGTTGGTTAACTTTCACTTTTAAAAGAATATTTTACCAAATATCTGTCAGCTACCATAGTTCTGTTGTATTGCTGACCAAATTCAACACTCATTAAATAACAATAAGTCTGTTCCTGTTGTTGTTTCTCCTCCCAGGAGTAGGATTAGGCAGATATAAATAAATTCTTGGGATCATATCTAAACAAAAAAATGAAAATGCCAGTTAATTAGATTGTAACTAAAGTGAATTAGGTTTCAGCTTTGAAGAGACTTGAAATTCAATTTGTTGTAATTGGATGCTGTACAAATAAAACTGAACTGAACTGAAATGAACTGAGAAATGATATTTTTGTATCTTTAATCAGATGTAAAAATAGGAAAATCAGCCCTTTAAGACTTTATGAGCACTTTATAAGTCACTTAAAGCCTTTTCAGACTGTCAGTCTGCTCTAATAAAATCCAGTTTTTGGAACTGAAGCATACAGATGTGCAGTGATCTCCTCAGAGGAGTTTTTTTATCCCCAGGTTGTGACATCACAGCTTCAGACATACTTCAGAAAACAATTTAATAATCTTCCGGGCAAAGCTTGAGCTGTAACCCCAGTTCCACTCACCAATGTAATTAGTGTTCATTTATAAAATGACACATTTGTCCAAATTGAAAACTGTGTCGTTCAATAAAGAAATTAAATAACAGCTATGTCCTAATTTTCCATTCCCTGGTTTTTCTTTTCAAATTAATCAAATTAAATGGTAGTTTTCCCAGGTAAACACAGACTCTCTGACAAGCAGTCTGAGGGTTTTATATGTATATGTATGTATATGGACACAAACATCTACTCTACTGATGTGGTCAGCGAGTGAATACACATTAATCTGACCTTTAGGGCATACATCAAGCATGATTTCCAAGAATGAGGAGGTGTATTTTCCAATCTCAGCCCACTTGTTCCGCCTGTATGAACGTGACCGGAATAATACTCATATGGAAACATGCTACAGAGGTGAATGTTTTCCAAGAAAAGCATAGTGAGGCAGTGACCGAATGGAAATTATAACACATTTTCATTTGAATTCTCACAGCTGGAGAGATGTTTCTGGGGATGTGTCATTTCATTGAACCCTTCCATCCGCGACTCACTCAAACTAAGTAGCCAATTTAACTAGAATAAAATGCACTATTTCTGTAAGATGGGGTGTTTTTTCTTCCTCGGTGATGTCATGCTACAAAGAACAAAACAGCTTAAGAAACAAAACCCAGTTGTGGTCAGGTCTGCTATCTTTAGCAAGAGTATGTGCATCAGCTGCTGAACCCACAAATTAGATCATTGTTTTCCTTTACAGTCATTAGAAATCTCCGTTAGAGTCTGAAATCATCTCTTTATTTATTCTTATGATAGCATCATGCCTTTTTGTCACTTATTCATGAGCTACCCCGCTAATAAAAGTCACAATATGTTTGGTTTGTATTTGTTAGCTTAAATACAGGAAAATGATTGTATGTATTGTTGTATTTGACCCATTTTATTGATGACACAATGCCTAACTGATCCTTTACCATTTTAATACACAATATGTAATCATGTACTAAATACAGCTCAACATGTATCTGTTATTCTAAATTGGATTTATTCTCTACGTATCAAAATGATTTATTGAGTTCAGTTAAATAATAGCTTGCGGTTGTTAAACTTTGGAAAATATGTATGAGTACAGAGAAGAGCTGGATTTTTTTTCAAATAAATCATCAATAGAATTACCGCTACTTGAAACCACGCATTGCTTCGTTTGGCTGTGAGGAAAAAGCAGCTCTTGTTTACACTCGACAGCCATTCTTCCTGTTATGGACCGCAGCCAGAGCCCGAGTGCGCTGTTGTGTAAAGACCTGTGAGCACCTGAAACTGAGACAGGTATTGCGTAAGCAGGCCTGTGCTTTGAAATTAAAACCAAATAACACTGCGAAGTGAAAATAGAAAGCCTGGAAGACTAAAAGTAGCCCCTCCACCACAGATGGCCCCTACGCTTTCCGCCAGTAGGTCAGTGGGTGAGGATGGAGTGGAGGCGAGAGGAGAGGCTGTGGCCGTGTGCCGCTATCCAGGGGAGAGCGTGGGCGAAGCGGGCAGCGGGAAAGAGGAAGACAAGGACTTCTAAGGCCAAGTGGGCCGATGTTTGTGGCGAAGGCTGCTAAAAACAGACACGATGACGTGCAGAGGTCAGCCGGCTGATTTGTCACCAGCTATTTCGGCACTGTAAAACAAGTGATGAGGGATAGGGGAAAAAAAGTGTTGACATCACAGGTTTGTGCTAACATCGCTTCTTGCCCCCACATTTTTTTGTTATTGTGCAATCCTTAAAGCCGAGAAATCGGATACCATTTCCTGGACATCTGACGGCACCATATTAGGTAAGCACTGGGTGAAAGTTGCTAAATGCTGAAGTTACTCTGCCTCTGGTAAGTGTAGCACCAAGATATTCAATGTGGAAGTGTGTTTCACATTATCCTTAAACAGGAATCTCTCTGAACCATGAACAATTTCGCATTCAGATCAATTCTAAACTAAATCACTTAATCATTAAATGGATAACTTCTCTGACACACAGTGGAATCACTAAGACTCAAAACTACAGCAGAGGAAGCACAGAAAATGATTATGTCACCATCAACGCTATGCGACCTATGCACTTTCGTTTTGTGTCACAGACGATTTAAACATCTCACACCCTAAGCACACACACTTTAGAGCAGGAAGAGCACGCTCAGCTTTCACCCATCATACGGATGTGCAGTAACAGCAAGCTGCCAGCAGAGGGCAAGAGAGAGCCCTGCTGACTTCTGTGGTAAACAGGGGAAGTTCAAAGTTATGGAGGCAAAAACAAAATGCCCTTCTGTAAATCAGGAAATTACTTCTTAGGATTAACAAGTGGTAGGACCCCTGGTGGCTTGGGAACAGGAGGGACGTTTACAAATCGAATGTGAACTGTTTGAATTTAAATTTGAACAATCTAATTAATTGTAACCTCTCAATTCATTATCAAACATGCAGGGTCATCGAGTGTGTCACAGTATCTGAAGTGAATGTTTTTTTGAGATCCAAAATGTTGAAAGCAGCTGTTAGGAGGCAGCAAATAAATGCCTGAAGAACTTCAGGAGCAGAAACACTAAATCAATCCATAAAACAACATTAAAAGCGGGAAACAGGAGGACCATGTACAATGAAGAAGAAACTAGAAAACAAGGATGAGCGATAAGAAGAAGAATCCGGCAAGACCGGAGAAAAATGAGAGGACCATAATGAGGAAGAGACAACAGCTGTGATTAAATGAACAGGAGATAGGTGTGGAAGCGGAGCTGAGAACCAGTCTGAAGAGTAATGACCGGCCCTAATCACAGGACTGAAGCTGTGGCCTGTGTAAGAAAATTAAGAGCATAGACCCTGAAGACTACTTTACATGAAGAGAGCAAAAAACTCAAAAACCAACAGGACATTCCACAAAGATCTCACTCACCAACCTCCAGGTACAGTTCCACTGATTAAAAAATCAGGGGAAGTAAGGAGATGTGAATCAAACTCACAACAAAACAGAAATTCTTTATTCGTGCTGAAAAAGACTTTCTATATGACAAATAATCCAAACATATCCACAACCTATCGAAACAAATAATCTCATGATGATTTAACTCTGAGAACCCTTCACTTAACACCTAAACCCCAAACAGACCTAACTCACTATTTCTTTGCACTTTAGCTGGAGTACTTATACTCTGACCTTGTGAATAGATTTAGAACTTTATATTCCCCCATAAACCTTCAAAATTAATTTTTTCTCGTTAGTAAATCTCATTTATAGCATCTGTTACATTTTTTGGTGTTCATGTAACTTTAAACTACTTGAAGACCAGTGACTGTTATGGTGACCTCCTTTTAACCACACGAACATTCAGTAGAAAGCCAAACATTCCTCACATAACTGTGTCAGATCATGGTGGGATAATCAGGTTTGCTGTTAAAATTCAGATTTTGAAGTAGAAGGGATGTGCATCTCGAATGAAAATATTATATTGATGGGTATCTTATCAACAGTTCAGTGAAGAAGTGTCTTAACTTGCATAAATATTCTGTATGCATCCCTGAGAGACTTTAAGACCTGCAGAGGACAGAAAGTGTTAAAACTTAAGTGTTTTATAGAGATGATATGAGATTCTAAACTATGATGTATTATTCAAAGATTATAAGCTGTAAGGGCTAAACCAAAGGCTTTCTTCGGATGTTGCCTGCTTTTTGTTCTGTCAGATGATCCCACACCGCTTCAGTAAAGTTGAAGGCCAGATTCCGGGGAGGATTCATTCCTCCATCAGATCTGCTGCCACCGATTTTTAGTCCACTTCTTGTGTTTTGCATGGCTCAGACTTTTCTCCCTGTTTCCCTTCCTCAAGAATGGCCTCTCTTTCTCTCTTTTTAGAGAACAGCTTTAATGGACATTTGGACAGCCTAAAGGACCATTGCTCAGTATCCATTTAAAATACCATAATAATAAAAATCTTGGAAGCAAAACCCAAAAGAAATAAGGGTGGTTTTCAGACTTGCATTGCCTGGTGCATTGACCTGAAGCCAAAAGGCCCTCCTGTGGAAAGAATGTAATTGCTGCCCTCTTGTGGCTAAAAATATATAAAACCTGGAATCCAATGACTACTAAGTTTACCACTTTTTTCACTTTATAAAGCATAACATAAAATAAGAAGTCCCTTTTCCCATGTGCATTACCTGGAACATTTTATCTTAATCGAGTAAAGGCTTGGAGTTGTTACATGAGTCCTGGGTGTAGTTGACTGCTTGGTTATATTCAGCTACAAATTGGATTTCCATTGAGCTTGACCTGGAACCAAGCCACAGGTTGCCTGGAAAGTTTACCAGGTCAATGACCTGGGGACTTAAGTGAGAAAGCCTCTCTCTCCTACACACACACATACACATTTTGACACACACACAAACACACTCATAATCGAGTGAGTCAGAGGCCTTTAAAGGCACAGCAGGCTGTTTATTTCTACACCAAAGTCAGCAACTGAGTCTTTGGAAGATTCAAAGATAAATAACTGAGTGAGTAACTTGAGAATACAAAAATATTTTCCTGCAAGATAAACTGGTTTATCACAACTGACACGGAGGCTAGCGTTAAAAGCCATGACAGTTTAATGAAAGAAAATGAAAGTGACAGCAATTCATGGCAATGAAGCAGCATTTTAAGAGAACATTTTCCTATCATTAAAAAAATGCACGGAAATTTTTCTAAAAAGCTGTTTTGCAACACCAACACGCAGCATTTGCTCGTGTGTATCGACATCCTAGAGCACAAGGAGGCTGCAAAGGATGACATCACTGAAACTGGATGCTCCACTTACACCAATTACACCTGACATGCTCACCCTCTTCCCATCTCTGGCTCTCCGACAAAAGGTTGGGATGCTGGGGATTGTTTCCCATGAAACTGCAGCCCTTGCAGTTGTTTCACTGATACAGAGCGTTCGCTCCGGCTAGAAAAAAACAAGCACATTAACGGGCTCCACAAAAAAGATGATTGGTAGCAATAAATGTTGCCACACTTTTGGTTTCACATTGAAGTAATGACTCAAGCTGATTTATGCTGACATTGCAACCCAAAGTTATCCGCATATCTGAATGTTTACTGCACCTATTTTCTAGTAGAGTAGCTAGAGATCATTTTATGTCACAACTGGACTTTACACCTAAATTAGTTAAATCTGGACAGAAAATATAAATAAGATAAAAATTAGCCAAATATATGGCAAGTTTGGTATATTTGGATTGCCCTGACATGCCAGATGAAAAGATAATTTTGCTACTTGATACTTTACTGCAAATGTGCCCTTATGAACCAAATCAGGAGTTTACACAAAAAACATGTAATAGCAGTTAGGATAACCTTGTGGAAATGTTCCAATTTAAGAATATTTCTGTTACATTTTATTTTATTTTTTTGCAGCATATCATAAATGACAGCAGCCTGAGACGGTTCTTCTGCCAAGACTGAATTTAGGAAGCCCGGATCCTGGTCAATGTCGATGTAAATCTGTCTGTAAAAGTTTGAGTAACTTTATAACAAACAAACCAATCACATATCTGCAGAGATGAACATGTCAGTAGAAAGCAAATAGCTGGAACCACATTTTTAGTGCAAACAGATGACTAAGCCTTGTCCCAATCTTTGTTTCTTCACTGTCATAGCAGGACTAGCACAGATGTAACTGATTAACTAATTGTGCCTCAGTTTCCATTGTGTCCCGGCAGTACTAGTCAAACATTAAGAGATAATAACATTAATTTTTCATTCAATGACAGGTCAACATATATTTCCAAACTGTTTAAATCAGCGTCATAAAGTTGATCATATTAAGTTAAGTCAGAGTAACAAAATGGGTTAAAACTGTTTACAGTGTACACTGAAGGGTCAAAATAGTGCTAGAAAATTCTGCTGTTAAAACATATTTCTGTCAATTTCACTGGGTGATGGTAGTTCTCATACTGTATTTCTAAATTGCTGCTGCCTGGACATGCTCAACATAAGGCCTCGGTATTGCAGACTCAGGTTTATGCACTAGATTTATTCTAGTCCTAGAATTGTTTGATGGTATGCTGCACTGTAGAGGGTCAGATTAGCAAATCTTTTCCAATACAGTACACTTACAGTACAGTAGTACAGTACGAACTTATCATTTCTTCTTATCATTTCAATGGAGTACTATGTGTTTTGTGTTGTTACCATGTTGTCATACATAACTCTTGACAGTTCACTTTGTGATTTGTATTTTGGCAAAAATGATTATCATTTCTAAAATTAGTATCAATATAATACTTTAGGAATGGACTGTTTGAGTAGTGGAAGTGCCAGCTGGGAAGCAGCAGTGTGGCTTTAACTCTCAGCCCTCCTCCTCGTGAGAGTAATGACGTATCCCCACGGCTCAGCCAATCAGCGAGCGGGAGGCTCGGGCCGGAGGAGAAAGCCTTCGTATGTTCGTGTGACCGATGGGCATTTGCCTGTGTGTATGTGTGTGAGTGTGCGTGTGTGCTCGTCTGAGTGCGAACAAGTTGACATTATTTTTTATTTTTTAACATCTTCCATTGAAAGTCTTAAGAGTTAGCCAAGCCGAAAAAAAAAGCCAGAGAAAAAGATAAACAAAAAAAAAGACTTTTAGCTACAACCGCTAATGAACTCGAAGAAAACAAGTTTGCTCCAGGCAGCTTGTGAAAACAAGCCGCATCTACGCAGTTTAACGAAACTCAGTTTTTTCCACATCTTCAGCGACCCCGTTCAAGCTGGAGTCGAGGCTTCGTGGCCGGGGACGGACTAGCTGGTCGTAGCCGGGGTCGGTGGCTCGGTTTTTTGGGGAGAAAAGTGTGCCTTCTTCATGTCCGCTAATGAAGTTGTAGTTAGCGTCATTTAGACAGTCACGCTAAAGTCGCTTATTGGAGAGGGGGGGGGGGGGAGCCTCAGGCTGCTCAGTTAAGATGTTAAAGACGCTGACGAAGAAGCTGAGAAGACATTCCCTCAATGAGATACACCCCTTCCAGCTGAAGGTAAGTGGGACTCGGTCGCTGGTTGTCAGCTCGGGTACAGTGTTGTAAAAGAGCCCCGAACAGCTGGGAGGCACATTAATGTGTGTGTGTGTGTGTGTGTGTGTAAGTGTGTGTGTGTGAGGGCAGCGTGCTTCCACTTCTGTCTCGTGACAAAAGCAGCTAAAAGTGTTCCTCTTGTAAACTCGTCAATAAGAAGTCCATTAAGGCTCTTCCACCTCCACACACCGTGGGGTGGTTCCCCACACCGGGCCGTCTCCTCTGGAGAAATCCCCCCGGGTTGCCCTGCTCTGTAAGCGGACGCTGTTGGGAGATTTGTGTCCCCAGAAGCACCCATTCATTACCACGCTAGAAGGAAACTACTCTTTGGGGCTTTGCATGACGTTGCCAGATGTTTACAAAAAAGGATCCACGTTGCTACCAGGGGCCACTTTTCCCACTTGTGTTTTAACCCAGAAAACAACTCCAAAACACTACAGCCAGTGGCCATCCCAGCTGCAGGTATTAAAGTAGAAGTAGGTCAAAACTATTTGCTCCTAAATGGGGAAACCTCCAGAATGAGTCCTCTGAAATGGAATACTTCACAGGTTTTATTTTCCACCGTGGCCGAAAAAGAACTGCAGTCCATCTGTTTGTTGTTTGAGATGGTAAATCAAGATAATAAGTGTGACCACACTCATTTGCTTCAGCTGTCGTGTCAGAGAAAAGACACATTAGTGCTCATTTCATCAACTCTTTGATAGCTTTTTGTGTCGACGCATACAGGGAGGAGATACACGGAGACTAAGGGAAAAACAAACATTTCGGAGTCCCTATGGTTGCAGGCTGTAATTGTCCCATCATCTACAATTTTCCACAACAGAGCCCACAGACATGCTCCTCAATTGTTGCTGCTCAGTTTGCATAATGCCCCTTTTTGGTGAGTCGAAGGGTGAATTGTATCCTGCATGGGTCACTAACTTGCTCAATTCACAACACTATTGTGCGTCAACCGAGTGCACAGTCGCATGGCAGCCATTTTGTGCCAAAGCGCCCCCCTTCAAAGGCCCTGCCAGGGGCACAGGGGAAAGTGTGCCATCCCTATTGTTTACTGTTGTTTATGTTTGTGTTTCCCTGCTTGGTGGTAGAGACCTTTCTTCTCAGAGTTGTTACTGTGATGACAAGGGTTAGTTGTGAGCAGTTCTGATCCACGAAATCTCTTTAAGGCCATAAAAGCTGTTGTTCATTTAGTTTAGGGCTGTGTTTGGAAAATATTAGACCCAGCATTCAACCTGCTCCAGAACCTGCTGCAGTCCTTGAAGAAACATGTATCAGAAGTGCTATTGAGCTTGAATTGTGTGTTTATCAAAACCGTGTTCTCATAGCATTAGAATTATTTTCTCCAAACCTTATATAAAGTGTCAGAACTAAAAAACCTCAGCATTATATTTAAAAAAAAGTTTGGGGCTGGTGGAGTAAAAACAAACACTGGTGTGGAGGATTGGAGAAATTAAAGCGTGATCATGTAGGAAAATGAAATTACCACCAAAATCAAGTTCTTCCCATCCTGCTTCCGCTTCAGGACCACATTGAAGCTGTTTTTCCAGTGATTTATCTTGAATTGAGCAGACTAGTTGCTACAGAAGGGGCCTGAATGGGGTTGCAGGGTTTACTTAGGAACTTGGCTGAGTGAAACGATCCAGAAGTACCTGATCTGTTCTAAGGGCTAATAAGCGGGATGAAATAGTCATTCCAGGGTAGTTGTCTTTGTTCAATCGTTGAGAATTTTTCCTCCCATGTGTTCTGTCATGAAAAAGAGTCTGGAAAAGATGATTGGTTGTTTTTTTTAACGATACAATCAGAACACTGGTTCTGGATCATTAAGCATGTTGCACATAGTTTAGTCTGCTTGTTTTTTTTTTAAACCCCGCCCTCAGCCCTTAACATCAAAGTTGGTACTGTCGTAGCGGCGGCTTTTCAGGCCTGGAGTAAGTACTTTGGCATTCAAAACTGAAAGAACTGGTTTTAAGTTTGACTCAGGTTCCTAAATGGCCCCAGTATCGTTCTCGAGGAAAAACTCCAGGATGCATTTTTAGGGCTGACACCGGTTTTGATATTTGTGAGGTAAAATTATATCTAAATATGCTTAAAATGTATCTGTCTTGTTTTTAAAACACAAGTTTTGGATACTTCACCTGTGTGCACGGATGGGACATCCATGTGATAGATTTACAAGTCCAGGAGCACGTTTCTAAACCAGCAATGAGGAATTACACATGGCTCTTTTTTTAATCTGCTGACCTGAGGTGAGGTGAGCTTGGTGGTGCACAGTTGTGATGCTCACTCTGAAAAGATGTCAGATACGTCTCCGGGCCAGCTGCTCACACAGAATCACAGTTGATCCGGCACACATCGATGGGCCACAACAGCTGGATTGTGTTGATTTGAGCCTGAAGATCAAGTGGAAAAATGACACATATGCTGTAAATGATTAGATCAGCACATTTACCCTGCTGGCTCTAGTGCACATTCTCTCCTCTGGCATTGACTCGCTTGAGGATCTCTTACTAAAACAAAGCTGTACAGAGACATTTTGTGCCGGCTTGCTTAGAAATATCTGTGTTGTTGTACTTTTACTGTCAAGAATGTGCTGTTTTGTTTGAATACTTAAAGAAAATGGCTTCAGTGGGGATTTCCAAGGATGGGAAAAAGCTTCAAGAGCTTTTAAAAACATTTAGCAAATGTATTTACTGAGCGGGCTGCGCTCCTAATGGCCAGTAAACTCTTATGTTTAAACATCATTTAAAGAGAGCGTGATGCACATCTGGAGTTGAAAGTTAGATTATAATCAATTCGGGGGCTTTACATTTAGGTTGGCCCGTTAATACAAGGAGATGTTGGGTTGTGGTTTGATTTAGTTTGGATTTGCACATGGCCCTGCTTTTCACCTGGACCACGGCTCATATTTGGGGTTGAAGTTTGTGCAGCGGTCAGAGTCACCGGCCAAGTCCAGAATGACAAATTCAGTTCAGATGAAATTGGACTAAAGGTCTCATGAGAGTTCTACTCCCAGGAGGTCGGAGTGGTCAGAACTGCTTAACAGGGAAGATCCAGTGTTGTGTGAGAAAAAAAGATTAAACCATGTCTGACCTTGTGTTGTGTGTTTAATGAGAGGGGGAATGGAGTGTGACAGTGTCCATGTCAGCGTGGAAGGACGAAGCAAAGCAGATATGTGTGTGAACTGGGTGGTGTGTGTACGCTCTGACATTGCCATTGATCCAGCTTAGCAAGCTGCTCAGTGATGCAAGGGACTGACAAGGATTTCATTCAACTGTTCTTGACACACAAACACACAACCCCTTTGTCTGTCTTCGGTGTACGCACAAAAGCAGTTTTCAACCAGTCTTCTTTTCACTTTGCTTCTTTATCTGAAGTGGCCTTAATAAGCTCAAATGTAAGATCAGGATAAAGGAAAGTGTTGGTATGAGTTTAGATTTCATATCTGAATCCTCTAATGAGCCTTTCACACAAGAATGGACACAATAAAATATTAGCTCGACCCCTGTGGAACATTGTCACACACGTTTTACAGGACTACTGTACGTGTTTGTCATGCTCTTTAGTTGGGTTGTCTTTGGTTCTTTAGGGAAGCTCAGCACCTTTGCATACCTGTGTTTGCAGTTCAGATGCTCCTCTCCAGTATACGCTCAATATTTGTGATGTCAAGTGTGAGGAGATTCCCGTGGATGATGTGGAAATAATAAAGTAAAACTTCACCTTCTGTGCTCAAATTGATGGTCATTTTTCAATGACATACTCTCGAGGGGTTCCCATTTTCCCAACATTTGTAATTGGTTGCCTGCCTCAACACACCTGAGTCAAATCAATGCACCATCAGCAGGTTTGTGCAGAGCTTAGTGATCTTTTGAATAGATCCGTTTAGTCTGAGTCATTTGTGTTGAAGCAGGAAAATAGTGGCCCTGGAGGACTGACCTGGGACACCTCTCCTACAGTATCTGGCCGTCATCACCTGGACTGAACAAACAGATGCAAACCTCTGGAGTGATTTATGTTTTTAGTGGAGTCATTTAACTCTGATGCCGTGAACAGCTTCTTAGGTCTTTAATAACCATGCGAGAGGACACATCTAGTATTTGGTCTGCATGAAGCAAGAAAAAAACGAACAAGTAATGAGATAACAAAGGAGGATATAACTGTAGAACTTGTAGTGTTCAACATGATGTGTTGAAATAAGTTTTTCACCTTTATCTGTGACATGAATGGTAAAATACTATGTGTTGGAAATTAAGCATCTTGAGATGAGTTATAATTCTTCACTTAAAATACTGCCAGAGAAACAAAAATTCAAATAATAACCAACATTCAATGGAAATCTGTGAGCCTGCTGAATATAAGCTGACTCAAAAGTTATTTTTAGATAAAATGCAGTAAAAACATCCATAATAGCCCTATTCTCAGAAAGTGGTGCTACTTCTGAATCCACCTCCATTACTCCTATCTAACATCAAGCCATGTCATGTGTCAGTGGGGCATAGTGCCAAAGCAGACAGTTTATCAGATGTGAGAGGAATGTGTGGAAAAGTTTTTGTTTTTTTGCTCCCTCTCACCCTAGTAACCCCTCGCATTGTGTGATATTAGATATGGTAACCGTCAAAAATGCAATGGTGTGAGATGATGCATCGAGAAGACGGTTTTGCTTTGCATAGATCAGTTTTCCTGATGATGCATTACCTGTTCATGTGGCTGTGATGTTGAAGAAAAATTGAACTATCTTGACAATTGCCAAGTTTATGTTCGACGACATAATGAACACAGTTTTGAATTTGTCAGTTTTCATTTGTTCACTGATCATCAGTGAGTGGGATCACCTCCACAGAAGCGGGGGCTTTGTCAGGTTTCTGCTCCGGAGGATTCAGATGTGTGTCAACACGATGGCAAAGAGGAAAGACCTCTGCAGTGAATAGAGCAGCAGTTGTTGCTGCCCAGCAGGGAGGGGTTACAGGGCCATTCCCAGACTGTTTGGAGGAAATCATTGTACTGAGAGAAATATAATTGACCAGTGGACATTTTTGCTGCTTATAAGTGGTTGGATCAGCAACTTTGTTCCATGCCCCACGTTCTCATTCATCTATTTAATTCGCTTATATCCTCATATGTTAAACTTTAGAGTTGAGAATGAAAGGTGTGCTTACTTTGACCTTTGACCAAAAGTGTGTTTGTGTGTCTGAAAACATTTAAAGCTATCAGGTCGGACGCAAACACACTTAAACGCTCAGTCAGTTGTTTTATGGGGCTTAACGTTCTGTAAGTACTATTGTGTAAATATGTGAGCCAGAGCGGTTTAGACCCTGAATCATGTTAATAAGACATGAATCCACATCCTACAATGAACAACTGCCTATGAGGCGATCCCTGGGGGGAAGGAAATGCCAAAACCTAACCGTCAGCTTAACGTCAGACAGTGGTTGCTCTGTGGAATCTTTTGGGTCAATGAAACCTAAAAAGAAGAGCTAATAAATTCTTAACTTACAATATGAAATATCCAGGAATTCACTTTATATTGCGCTGATTTTGGATTTAAAGCGATTTAAACCAATTTCTTTCTCTGATGAGACTATAATGAACCACAGGCGTCATTTCATAGTTAGCATCCTGCTGCATTCTGAAAACTTTTGATAAGAGAACAGATTTTTCATGGGTAGTATCCAGCAAGATTCACAACAGTTTAGAGTGCAGCCAAATCCCCGAGCCAAAATGAATTTCCTGAACACAGTCATCCCTCAGCATAGCCTAAGGAGCACCGTACCACCACAGCCGGGCCTGCTCATCCAGTCTCCCACTGCTCACGTGGCTTTGAAAAGCAAGATTTGTGCTCAAAACGTCTAAATATCCTTTTTGTCTTCAAAATGTATTCTTGGGCTTTGTACTTAAACAGTGTTCCCATAGTTATGTATCCTCATTATTCACTCAGATTATGCATAGGGCACATTATTGGACCAAAAGAACATAGGACATAGGAAGCAGATTAAGATGGAGTTTCCCCAAACTCTCTGTGAAACTAAAGACTGAATTTATTTTTGAAACCGTCTTTTTTGCGTATTGGGATTTGGAACCCTGGCCGCTTTCCCCCCATTTCACACTTTTTGAGGAGCTTCAGAAGGAAGAGAACGTGCGTGAGTGTGTTTGTGTGTGTTTTACAGACTGGATGGGAGGACACCATGTCTGCGTGGATGTGTGTAAGCACACACACACACACACACACACACACACACACACACAAACATGCACACACACATGCACAGGCACAGATGGCAGCTGCTCAGCGAAGCCTCTGAGTGGTAATTACTGAGTGTGAGGCGCATTACTTAACTCTTAGCGTTGCAGACTGCAGGGTTTCTGTATTGTTGTTGCTGCTTTTAAAGGAGGAATTGATTCTAAAGAGACAGACTCCTTTAGGTCGTGGGAAGAGAAAAATAAATGTACAGTTTTAGACAACAGGGGGGTTTAACCATGTGCCAGCAGTTTTTCTGTTTGTCGCTCAGAGACGTAGTTTTGTGGCTTGTTTTTCAGCAAACCATTGCACACAGATCAGACTTACAGATTTAGCTCAATGCACTTAAACTTTGGATGGACTTTAATATTTGCAAAAGAATCTGAACAGCAAAGTTTAAGTTGGCATTTCGTCTTTACATTTTTGTGGCTTTTCTTAGAATATTCTTGGTTTTTACTTAAAGTTGGTCACTTAAAGCTCAGATCTTTAGCTGATGGAGTCTCTTGAGACTCAAAAATGAAAACCTCTCAGGTTTGTCTGTAGGCTTAAGATGTGTAGAGCCACCATTGATTGCAAAGTGGGTGGAAAAGCACCGCTTTAGTATTGAAGTTGATCTGAAAGATCATAAATTATCTGGCAGTCAAACCTAAAGTTAAAGTTTAAATGGTTTCTCGAGGTCCAGGAACATTCTTCTCTGGTTGTGCGAACTCCCTTCGTTCATGGTCATAAACTGGCAAAATTAAAATGATTGTGGGTTTCCTTCAGTGCAAGAGCAACAGAAGGATATTTATTTTTTAAGAAAGTCTTAAGGACAAGATTCAGGGTTGTTTTTTTGCCAGATTTTATCAGAAGAAGCCTTGAAGTAAGAACATAGGCATTTTTATGTATTCATTTCAGTCATCTTGGTCATGTTCCTGAATAGAACACAACTGGACTCCTTTTATTTGGTTCTTTAAGACTTTTCACTTCAAGCCTGAAAGGGAAATATCAGGAAGGAAAGAATGTCTGGTGAAAGGTGGAACATCATTAGGAAGTTTCTCTCTATGTAAGCAGTGCAGTTCAAGTTCATGCCTGCCATTACATCCCTGATTTTGGCCGAATTCAATTACACCTAAAACAACTGCACCCTTTATCCAGAGTCAATGTGAGTTTGACTGAAAGAGACATGAAAGTAAGGGTAAATCTCCTCGTGGTATGTGTGAGCATAAGTAAAAGGGGAATCTTTTTTCCAGATTTCTTACCACGGCGGTGGAGAGGGAGTTGAGAGCGATGACTCAGAAGGCGAGAACCAGGAGCTTGCACAGATTGACAGAGGTATGCTGTCAGAATCCTCCAAGTAGTTTCTCTTCCAAACAATGGTTCACACGTTTCACAATCACGTGTCGCGAGTTAACAGGAAAACATCAGTGGATCAGAGGACTCAGTCCTTCTCCCCTTGACTTTTGCCGCTCACCTCCACAGAGAGACGGAGAAACTGTGGACTCACCCCTCTGGCCACCAGCCAGCAGCACAACCAGGGTCCCCTCTCTCCGGCCCGGTTGCGACGCCTCCGCCTCCTTCTAGACGCCAACTTGGACCGCCACTCGTCAGAGGAAGAGCTGGAGAGAATCAGCCGCGGCGACAACAAGAAGTGGATGTCTGCGCTCCCCCAGCGCCACGGCGACCACCACAGCAGCGCCTCCAGCGACGAGGAGGTGCGGGACCTGTGCGGCTGCAGGTCGCCGCCCGCCGCCGCCCGGCCCCTGGGCGAGCCGGGGGCCTGCCTGGCCGCCTCTCCCAGCCCGGTGCTGTTCAGCTCCAGCCCACCCCGGAGCCTCAAGGCACCCCCCATGAGGTTCCAGCTGCAGGTGGTGCAGCCGGTGGCGCGGCCCATCATCCTGACCCACTTCGACCAGGCGGCACCGTACAGGAAGCATCGGCACAGTTACGGCGGAGAGCCAGGGAGACCCAGTCTGGATCTGGAAAAAATGCAACAGGTTAGTACCAGCTGTGCAGGACAAAAGGCAGGAAATTGCATGTTTGCAGAGCTCTTAAAGACTATCACAGGTCATAATCCACGCCTGGAATTTATTTTCTAGCTTTAAACCATCCTCGGATGGGCTCCTGCTTGTTGCCAGGTTTGAACCATTTACAATACAAGTACAGGTGTCTGTGCATTACAGTCTGAAACAGAGAAACCCATCTTCTTTTGCTGGATTGTATTTATTTTGTGTTAAAAATGTACCTGCCAGCATGGCAAAAAAAACAAGCATTAAATGTAATTTGAGGAAGACTTTAAGACACGTAAGAGTTAGCTTTACTTTTGTTCTCGTTAACATCAGTTTGCAGTGGACACTCAGAGCCAAGAGCAGTTCGGAGGTCTGTGATGGATAACATGACAGTATTTTCATTCCTGATTTCAAGCCTAACAGCAAAACTAAACATAAACAAAGGAAGCAGCTTGATTTTCATCCTTTTTCTCACCAATAACTTGCATGATAACAAGAAAAACATGTGAAGAAACCAGAGGTAAAGATTGGTAGCTGTAGTTCAAATGTTAAAAAGTAATTTTTACACTTCTAAAGTCTAATTTTTTAAGTCTTTTGAAATCTAAATATACATAGAATAGTCTTGATTCCCACCCACATCTTAGATCAGAAATACAGTGTATAATTGAGATGTCTCTCATCACTTTAACCTGGGATTCAACTCAATTCTGGAAAGCAGGGAGACAGAATGATGTGATTCTGTTTCAGGACCTTAAAATTATGTCAGGAAATTGTGTGGTGACCATATCAAATAGCTAGATTCATTTTCTTTCTCCAAACACTCGAAAACCTCCACAGGATGTAATATCCTGCATAAATATCCATTTCACCCAGAGTTGAAGTTTATTTGTCAGTAATGGCAGTGCAGCTGTCACATGTAATTAGATATTTATCCAGGCAGTGGAACAATCATCGAGATAAAGAGCCAGAAACGGAGTGACGACCACCTTCCAAACTCCATCTCACATGGCCACACAAAATGCTCACACAATCAAACAAAGTCCTCCATTTCCATCGCTGGACGCTGGCCACCACGGTGGTCTGTCTGGACAGGGATGAAGGAGAGGGAGGCTGGGACGGCAGATGTCCGCCCTCATTTCTCACAAAGGCTGGTGAGCGAGGGGAAACGATTGAGGGGTGGAGGCAGAAGGAGAGGATTAAATAAACAACAGAAATTGACAGCCACTAATGAGTCATGGAGAAGCCGGTCCACTAATCATTAAAATCCAATAGACTTGTTGGCCCACACCGTTCATGGGAACGGGTGTGTGTCTGCGTGTGTACACGGGGGAGAAACTGCAGGTTTCAGGGGTCCATATGTCCATGAGGTTTTTAGAGGGGAAGAACAGATGATGAGAGACAGCGGGCAGCACTGAGAAGGCTGAAAAGAAGGAACAAGGAGGAGTGTGTGTGTGTGTGTGTGTGCATCCATCATTCTGCCTGTTTGTTTGTGCATGCTTGTGTACATCCTCGTGTATGTGTACGTGTGTTTTTGTCCTGCATCAGTGTGTTTCTGTATGTTTGAGAGTGTGTGTACACTCAGTGGAGTGGAATGGACGGTGCTGTAGGGAATACAAAAGGGGGCCTGCAGAGGTAGTAAGCACACCCAGCCGGAGTCTCCCATTAACCCTTTCGATGAACAGCCTCCACTTACAAAATCTGCCCCTGCTCCCACAGACTTCATGCAATATCATTCGCAGATGTTCTCCAGGAGGTTAAACCACAGAGAGAAGTTGTTAAAAATGCAATTTAAAGGTGTCAGAGGAGCCAAGGGAGTGATGTGTGAGAGGTGGAAGGAGAAAAAAAATGAAATCCCTTTACATTTTTGACAGTTGGTTAAATGTGAGAGTTTTTTGCATGGAGAAAGTCCATTGTAGTTTTGAGTCAGCCACCATCTCTTTACTTTCTTCCAAGCAGCCTGACTCTCTTTGAATCTTTCAAGGTTTTGAGCAAAAGTTCTCTGAAAGTCTTTCAAAGTTTTTCATTGAACACTGGGTGCTTCTTTACCTATGTACAGTCCAGTTTGTTTCCTAAACTCTACCTCTGATCTACGAATGATTAGAAATTAAAAGGCTGAGTCTGTATTTCTACACATAATAGATAACATAAAAAAACAGATTTTATTTTGTTGTATCTTTATTGAAATTGTACCTTCAGACACTTTGTTACTAACAGAATTTAAATTAAATGATGACACTGGATCAATTACCACGGAAAATGAATGACTGTCAGCTGTAGTACCCCACAGGGACCAGATGGCCTGGAGTTGTGTATGTTTGTTGTTCAGTTTCCCTGAAACGGAGGGTTAAAGGGTCAGCGAGTTGCTTTCTTTTACTGTCCGATAATCCCTGTTAATCCACGTCATGGATGAGGCTGCACCATTTGTTGATGTAATTACCTCAGCAGAGCAGCAGTTTGTGTAGCAGATGCTGTTCGTGGAATGCAACAAGACAAAATGTGATAAAAGCACAAGCAAGAAAACACTCATCGTTCAGGTGTTTAGAGAAATCTTCAATGCAGACCGCAGTTGGTCGGTAGGCTGTTAAAGCACCTCCTGTCCAATCAGAGGACTTACTAAAGCAGTGACTGTCGATATTTTCAGACCAACTTTAAAGCAGGCATGCATGTTCTTACATTTTTACTTTAGATTGAGAAGTGTATTTGTTGCATAAATCCATTTTATTTTTTCCATAAGTCCGTTGTTTTTCATTTTTTGCACATTTTCAAACATCAAACAGCAAATGAAATGCTTACTACTGTGTAGTTATGGCAGGTTGGAGGGGAATTTCCATCCTTTACAAAAATAATTATAAGTTGTAAGACTCCCTGTAAAAGGTGAAATGGTTGTGTGCTCACCTGTTGCACAGCACACAGTATTATCCCATAAAAAGGTTCAACTGCCACATGTCTGGGCCATAATATTAACCGTCTCTCTCCACACAGCCGTTTTATTAATTAGAATTGTTGGCTTCATTTCTTTTAATGAAGCCACTTGAGCTGCGTATTGATGACACAGGGACTGACCTGGTTTACATAAATAACCAAAGCCTTTACAGGGAGTCTGCTGCCAGAAAGTGACATATGTAGGATGAAGAAAAAGGACAAAATTATCCCTGCCAATTGTCTCGGAGCAAAGTGAATATCATATTGTTTAAGCGGCCTGCTCTCAGATGGACTTTTTGTGGCGATGATACAGAAAAGATGAGGGCTGGCAGGAGGTGAGCATGAGGCCAAGTGAACAGCAGCTTTCTCCCACATCACAACAGCAGGAGTCTTGTGTTTCCATTCTTTCCCTGTGCCGTTAGAAGCTGCCTCCCCTACTTGAGACAATTCAGTGATTGTGTGGTCCCTCCGCCCCCACCGTTTTTTTCTTTTTTCTCTGAGAATAGCAAAGCTGCGTGGATGTGGAGGGGAGTGGGAGACAGGATATTGCATAAGCTTCACTGACCAACTGTTTAGTTTAGTGAGACAGCTGGATTTGCCTCACTTCCTTCATCATCCTGATTCAGCCTCTTGTCACGTCATATATTGCGGTCGGAACAACAGGTTTGAGTTGCCTGAGTGTCGGATGGTGCTGAAACAGATGCACACACGCCTGGAGCAGGCTCCAAACACACAAAGCATCTACAGTGTGACACAACAGGCACTGTACAAGACTAAGTGCCCAATGGTACAAAAGAATGGAGACTTGGAACAATTTGTGAATGGTCAAATTCAGGCTGTGAGCAGCTTCTCAGTTTTTAATGTACAAAATTCTTGTTCTCCACAGAAAATGCTGCTGAAAAAGAACTGCGGAGGGAAGACGCGTACCATGAAGATCCGGGTGAGTTTATCTTCATCCAGATTATTCTCATTTAGATTTTTCTTTTTAATTTTATTTGCCCATTAGTACCTCGGGATGCAAGCTCTCTTCTTCAGGAGTGTAATGGTCATAATATGAGCAAAGGTTTACTTCTAAAACAAACAGACTTTAACTACATACAACCAACACGTTTATTCCCAGTACAACAGTTTTTTTTCAGGGGCAGGTCTTAAAACCATTAAAGAGAAAGTTAAGTGGGGAGTGTCTCTAAGTTAGCTCATTGCATATATAGGGCACATAAAAGATCAAAAGTGGCAAACTTTATTATCTGGAGAAACATCTCAAATGTTTGCACTGTTAAATCAGTTAAAGCTGTAATATCCCACCACAACTTCTGTCTTTTTAAACCAGAAAAACCATAATGAGTCTAAACGAATGTGGTCTAATGTAGAAAATGATTGCAGGGTAATAACAAAGCTGATAATGCAGGGATTTAGACCTTTGTTGTTTTTATGCTACTTTCAAAGATCATGTTCCTCTTTGTGGTGCTCAAAATGCCAAAACAGTTATAGTGTCTGAGTTGAAAGAGAGTTAAAAGCATGACCTGATGTAGGGTTGCTGCTGAAATGAGTACAGGAAACTCATGGAGGAACACAAACACTTGATATCCCTGATTTGTTGTCCTGACGGTCTCCTTTTAATGTCTAATGTTTGGAGTCTTGTAAAAGCCTCCAGAACCAAACAATTGATTTTGTTCTTCATCCATGAAGTAACTGATGAAACTGTGCTTTTAGTACAACGTTTGATGTTGTTTATTTCTTATTGACTTGAGTTAAAGTAACCTAAAAGCCAAACTGCTGATATAGTTTATAAAAGGAAACGGAAACAAAACCATTGTCAAACAATAGGTCATTTGGAAATATCACGGAAAGACAACTCCAAACTGTGAGATGAGATGAAATGAAAATACTTGTTGGGTGGATTTATTCTTTCTTTCCCTCTTCCTGGGCTTCAGCAGAGCCAGATGTTTGGTGTTTTTGTGGCACTTTGGTCCCTGGCTCTTATCACTCATCTGTGCAGATATGACTGACATGTCAATAACGCAAAGACTCCAAAAATACAATCTGGGCTGTCTTGTTTGTTTTTGCCTGAAGTGTGAAGCAATAGTTTAACTTTTCTTCATGGTTTTGCATCTAAAAAGAAAAAAAACAAGACCTTCCTGCGGTGCCGGCGGTCCAGGATCTGGGTGTTGGTTTCTGCAGCGATAAGGTCGCTCGGTCGCCCTGCGAACAGTCAGCCCCCGTCCTGTCGCCAGCACCTTGATCTCCATCCAACCGCATACTGGGACAGCATCTGGCCTCAGCATTTGTTCCCATGCCCTGCTAGCTGCAAAGCTGTTCACGAGACGCCTGGAAACCTGATAGCATCATCAAGTTATCTTGCAAATAGCTTAATCCTGGTGTATGAATTCAGTCTGAGGAGAAAGTGGAAAAATCCTGCTCTTGTCTTATTCGGGCTTATCTCACTTTGCAACGTTTAAAAGCCCGGCTCTTTGTGGTCAAGTAAGTGCACCGAATGACTTTATAATGACACAACTATTTCCCCACTATCGAGTCCTGATTGATCCACTAAGCAGCCACCAGCTCAGCGCTGGGCTGCGCGCGGCGCTTTCATTTGAGGGAAGCTGGTCGACGGGAGCGAGCCTCGGCATCTTGGCAGAGCAGCTCCCTCCAGAAGGATGCACAGTGTGGTGAGAGAAGTGACGTTATCATCACGTTGTGTGGGATAGTGTGAGTGGAACCTTATCACACACAACCGCTTGTGTGTGTACACACACACACACACCAACTGTGGCAGCATCTCATGTGCTGAAATACTCAATACAGGGCAAAGTCCCCGTCCAGCCCTCAGTCAATGTATTTTGCCTCCAAACTTTGAGTCTTAAGCAATAGCTTCAGGTTTTTCCAATAGTCCGGTAAAGTAATTTAAAAAATATATGCATGATCATCTATTTAGTTCCTCCTATGAAGAATGCTAAACATAACAAAGTTTGGCAAAAAAATAATAATAAACAACTTAAAGTGCGTCGTTAAAATATTTGAGGCAACTGTATATCTTGAGGACAAAAGAAAAGGAAGAGGATCTGAAGGTGGTGTTTTTAAAGAGGAAAAAGATCCTGTAAAAAGACCTGACACAGGACCTGAGAGTCATCTGGACCTTCTGCCAATCATCTGACAGAGAACTGAACAAAAGACAGTTGACATCCAAAGAAGATCTTTGGGATGTCTTCTTTTTAGGATGTCCTTTAAGAAGCCTAGAGAACTGTTCCATAGCTGGTTGAAGATGACGTGCAGGAGAATAAAAGTTCACACGGCAAATAAAGCTTAGTTGGAATGGAACAAAGTTTATATATACACATTTTTGGACACATTTCAGTTGTTCACTATTCTTTCTCTGTGCTCTCCTGAAAATAAATGAAGAAATCAGGATTGACTCAAGACCTTTGCAGAGCACTGTTTGCACTGAGGTTTGCACGCTGAGCAGAAATATGAGGAGAAAGAAACTGAGAATGACTTCCAAGTGAGTGGTGAGGAGAGGTAGAGCAGAGGAGGAGGTGGAGTGCTCGCAGTTCCCTTGTGGTGTATTTCCAGGGATGGAGTCATTTTCCATTTATAGCCTGGCCGGCTGTGATCTGTTTTGCTCCTCTGAAACGTACAAGTATTGCTCATTATCGTCTCCGCGCACCGGTGGAGCTGGTGGTGTTGTCCCCGTCAGTGACGTCTGCAGGCACTGGGTTTCTTCCAGTTAATAGATTTTTACTTGAAGTGAGTACACAGTGAGTCTTTGAGGCTTTGGGAGGCTTGTGTTGACTCGCCGCTCTTTGTGTCGCTCCACACTGGGCGCCACTCATCTCTCTCTCTCTCCCTCTTTATCTGCAAACTCTCCCTTTCCTGGACACGAACCAGAGCAGACACTAGATCTGATGGGGGGCCTTACATTTCAAGCATTCAAGCATGGGAGTAGTCGCAGGGGTTAGGGAGGTCGACGGTGGTTTGTGTGTGTGTGTGTGTGTGTCTTAGAGGAGGGGTCATGTGGAAGGAGTTGGAAAACAAAGATTTGGCTGCAGTTTCTGCTGCCGGGGCCTTTTCCCTCCAGGTTTCGGAGTTGAACAGGAGAGTGTGTGGAAGGTTTGCAGCAGTGGCGTCTGGTTTCAGCCACCATAAAGAGGTGACGGTGGGGAGGGCGGCGATTGATTACGGCTAGGGAAACGCTGCAGTTACGGAGAGGAAAAGAGGAAGCTGCAGCCTGTTCCTTTGGTTTTGATTGAGGTTAATTAGATGGGTGTGATGCGAAGATATTTTTGGTTTCAGCTGGACAAACAGGATGATAAAAAAGCTAACCATTTATCCAGAAGTTGGATGAGTAGATTAGCATACTTTGACTTAATTTCAGTCAAGGCAACTTCCCTCAAAAAGAATTAAAAGCAACCACAATCTGAATATATAAATATAGCAGCTATTTTCTAAACTCTTTCTACACGAAAGCAAGAAGAGAAACACTCTGGAGCGTCAGGAAGCAGATCTACCGCAGAGCTGGAGTTTAGTAGTGAGAAAAAATGTCCCACAAATTCTACAGATCAACAGAAGAAGTCCTTTGAAATACATAGATTATGGTGTCATGGAGACATGTTTGGATTAAAAATGGGAAACTTTACAGCCTCAGTGACCCAAACGCTGTGGTTGTGGGGCCATGTTTAGATATGTGGCTGTTTGGTGAAAAGAGCCGGTGTAAGCTTAAAATGTGCAGTGTTTATTTACTTTGCCTATTCTGCTGATTTCAGAGCTAAATGCAAACATTTTTCAGGTTCAAACTGACCACATCCACAACTTAACTTTCACTATGGAACCAAACTTTGCCAAGGTCTATTTTAGACATCTGTGGAGAGTTGAGACATATCTGGCTTCTCCTCAACCAACATATCCTCAGTCTGTGGGGCTTTTCCCTTCTTACAAGTGCCAGGAAGGCTTGGAGGATTCAAGGTCACTATCAGCCTGACCAAAAGTTTGAACCCAAATCTTAAATAGCATTTTGTCAGGACAACTTTTGATACACGTAAAACAAACCGACTCCTGTACAGTCCGGAAACCCGCTAACACTGATGGTTATCGACACGAGAAACTCAGATAAAACATTCCCGATGTTCCTGGAGATGTAATTCAGGCCTTGCTTTTTGTGCCTCTCTCTTGCTTTGGCTCTCTCATGTCTGTCCGCGGGACGCAGATGTGAACATTTATTGAGAGCCGTCCTGATGGACGACTTCCTCTCCTGCAAGTTGGACCGGCTCTCGGCTACCACATGGAGAAGTTCTTAGCCGAGGTCGCATCTTTCACGATTACCAGGACCTGTAACCGGACTGTGATGTTCCCCATGCGTCGCGCTGCCTGCCTGTAAATCAGCATTAGTGGATGAGACAGCTCTGACTTGTTTTGGGGATTCGTTGCTGAGTTACTGCGGCTCGTTTGTCAGTTATGGATCCCTACAGATGCCTCCTGAAGTCATAGCAACAACCTGTAACTCGGTACATGTTTTTTTTTTCTTCACCGGGGCCGCTCAGGTACGGTCTGGACTCGGCTGGTTGCGGCTCCTCACCGGCTCCGGCAGCCTCTGGAGAAAGTGCTGCCTCACTGCCAAATCCAACAGTCATTTCCTGCCCTTTCCTGTGGGGAGGGAAAACGACTCGGGCTAATTTTAGACGGGGGGCCCGTCGAGCCACAAGCAAGGGGGGGAGGAGGGTGTCTGTGAGTGGAAAAGCGTTTATCTCGCCGGACCTGCAGGGAGAGGGAAATCAAATGTGTGTGAGAATGTTCAGACCAGGGGCGGTTGTTTTCCAAGCCCCCCCCCCCCCAGAACGAGCTCCTCCGCCCGTTAGCCGTTGGCCTGACTGTTTTTTTGGTGTCTTTTGTGTCCTCAGAATCTGACCGGCAGCCGTCCCCCGCCCAGGTACACCTACGATCCCTCCATCTTCGCCTTCCGCTCCCTGAGCACGGCCCCCCCCTGCAGCCCCCTGACTCCCTCCGACGATCCTCCGTGCTCATAGGGGAAGACGCCGGCCTACGCCCGCCCCCCCCGCCCACCTCTTCATTCCCACACAGCTGCTTTTTTTTGTGGCTTTTGCAGCGAGATCAAAGAGTGACTGCTCTGAAACGGACCACTGGAGAGACTTGTGATTGGTGGTGGAGCTGTCGCTCTCTCAGGTAACCCCCCCCCCCACCCCCCCACCCCCACCCCGTCACTCCCATCATTGCTGAATGAAAACGGCTTAACACGACATTTCTGAGGACGCGCCGGGTGTCTTCAGGGGGTCCTGAAACGAACATGAACCGCGGACCAAGAAGGGACAATCCCCCCCTCCCTCCCTCCCATTGTCATGCCTCAATTCCACTTTTAGTTTGGACGAATATTCAAGGGAAATAAAGCATGTTAGACAATCAAATGGTTCCAGGGTTTCTTCCTCTAGACAAGGCCAGGTGAGTCTCGTGGTTTCTTGTAATCGTTAAGATGAGAAGGTGGTCACATTTATCTCCTCTGGACGTGTTGCTGAATATGCAGGTCGTGTGCTGTAAGTGGGAGCTGTGACACACATGTGTGACCCTAGTCGAGTCGTTGACCGTTGATGTCGCTTACTGAATATGACACGTGTAGTCCAGGTCAGAGTTGCTCACACTCTCTTTTCTTGCATGAATATCCAGGTTTTTGCAGAAAGAGCGATCTGTGAAAGGAAGTATGATAGTTTGCCGCACATCTGTTTGCTAAACTGTGCTGCGTTCTGCATAGCCTACTTGTAGTGTGCCATCCCCCCCCCCCTCCTCCCCATTATATTGTACCTCATTACTTTCTAGGTAGAAGAGGACCACTGGTCTAACTACAACATCCCAGTGTTGCTAAAGATCTCTTAATGCCTTGGAATGACATTCCTGTTGTATCAAATGAGACTTGAGGTACTTGTCAGGCCCCTCCGATAAGCTGACCAATCAATCGATCCAACACAAAGTCACCACTGTAACCGAGATTCCACCGAAGTGAATGTAACATTGTGACATGTTTCGTCCATTGTTGCGCAAAAATGAATCAATAAAAGCCCTGTGGCCTCTTGGTTTGATCATTTTATTTGGAGGGTGTGCAATATGGAATGGAAACATCTTGGATCAGTGTTTTGTTTTTTGTTTTTTTGCAGGAGATCGATGTCCAGGAGCTTGTGACATGTTTATTAACGGTTCTGTTATTTAACTGCGAAACGCAAAAAGAATGAAGAATAAACTTGTTGGACTGAGTGAAAGAAGGCAGGAAAATCACTGCTGAGTGACAGACAGGTGATTTAGAATAAACCGCGATAGGTCATTTATATTTAAGATAATGAACCATCACATCAGTTGCATTAAGTAAGAAACATGTTGCTCACAACACTGTTTGCAATGAAAGGAACAGAACTGGCTCAGGGTTTATCGTGTAAGTCTGCAGAGTGGAAGGACAGGACTTCACTTGTGTCAGAGGCTGGAGGATTGCTTTTTATCACTGATTAATAGGTTACAGCAAAGACTAAGAGACTCTTTGTCCCAGATCACACCCAGAGACACCAAGTGAGAAGGAGCTTAAGAGAGTGAAAACTTGTCAAAACAGAGTCTGTTGAGACTTTGGCTTAGTGGGGAAAAAAAAAAAAAAAAAAAGTGTCAACAATTCACATTATGAGCGGATCGTTTTATTCTAAATTTATACAACAAAATACAGTTTACATTTGTTATTGGTGTTGAGAGAGAAGGCGACGGGGGAGAGGGTGGGAAGTGTGGCGGCCGACCAGGAGGAGCTCCCAGAACACACACACACACACACACACACCAACCGCCGACTCGCTCATGGAGACAATCTTGTTAAAAAGAGAAGTTTGAGAAGGTCGGCCTGCGAGTGTGTCTGTGTGTGCGGAAAGGAACACACACACTCCATTTAGCTTGAGTCATTATCAGCTTACGTTTCATCCAGTAAGCCATCCAAGTGTCCAGATGGTCAGAAAAGCTGCTTCAATGCTCTCACTCTCATTCTCCCTCCCTTCTTTTGACAAAAATGTAGAAAAAAAAAAAAGGTTTTTGCCAGCAATACACTGAAGCCAAACAGGGGAGGGATGCGGATTGCACGTCACGTTGGTTTAACTGCAGGAGGAGCAGCCAAAGACCAGAGAGCTGACTCCAGATCAGCTGCAGCTCCTGCTCTGCCTCCTCCTATTTTCTGCTTGAATTCAAATAAAAGGATCAAATTCGAGCGGTCTCCGTTACTGTCGGGGGGGGAGGAGAGCCAGCAGAGTCCGGTCTCAGAGCTGAACCGCATGCAGGGGACGGGGTTAATGGTCAGCCGAGGCTTTAGAAGACCCAGGTGTCCCCTCTCAGTAGCCGTACTTGTCGTTGAGGTGAGTGCGGCCGTCTCCGGTCTGACCTGTGTGAGCAGAGGACGCGTTTGGGGACGCGTGGTGAGTCCTTTTTCATACCGGAGCTGCATACCACACAATCAACACAAGCACAGCCCCGTGCCGTTAAAGCCGACTCGGGGAAAAAACTCGGCCTGGCTCAGTTTCTGCTCCGATTCTTATCTGATCTCTCAGGCCCTTTGATCTGCATTCCTCAGAGAACAATGAAATTGTCATCATTTTGACCACATAAAATGGACCATGGGAACCTGCTTATTTCATCATGAAAATATTAGTTCTTTGCTGAACCGCTGAGCAATTTACACTCCAGTTTAAAAGCGTGTTTCTAAGGAATGGAATAAAAACAGCTCTTATTTATGAGAGGGTTAACGACGGCTGCCTAATGAGCTTGAGTGTGACTTAAGGACACGGTCAGCTGAGCGGCAGCCGGCGGGCTGTTTACCTGCAGGAGGAAGCCACACCGAATAATCGGGGTCATCCTCTGGGTACTGAGCGGACAGCTGCACGGGGGGCTGCGGACACCAACAGAGGACAACACACTTTAGACCCTGCGTCCACTCTGAGGCAGGACGCGGGTTCCTGCTCCCTACCCTGCTGGGGCCCATCACCCTCTTCTTCTTCTGGGGGCCTGCTGCGGGCTCTTTTCCACCCTCTGCCGCGGGCTCTGCACACACACAATGGTCCATCACAAATCATTACTTTAGGTCACATTTTAACCTCATTTTCAAACCCTAAACTTATCATAACTGCTGGGAAAATTTTAAAAAAATCTCCATTCTGTGACTTGATGTGAAACAGAGATTTTACAATATTTTTCTATAGCTGGTTTGCTTTTTACGTGTGACCGAATATTGTTTTTAAACTGAAATAAATACAGACTATATACACACACCTGGACTCCTGTGGGCTGCTGACTTGTTTCTCGGCACAGAAACCTGCTGCACCTCTTCAACTGGAAGGAAATGATAATCACAAAAACAACAAGTGTGAAACATTCTGCTCAGACTTGGAGACATGAGATAAATGTCTTTAAAAAGGAAGTTTGTAAATCTTGTTTGTCTTTAAATCATGTGCTTCAGTAGAAAGAGATACATTATCTTAAATGTCAGGAAACCTGAACAATAAAGAAAATGATCTGTTTGTGCGTCTATTTTCTCTTTGGTTTGGTGAGAAAATATTAAAATCATGTAACGACTGAGGCTGACAGACTGGGTTCTGCTTGGATGTGTTATTTACTGCCCTCTAGTGGCTTCACAGTGTCTCTGTGTGTGAAAAAACAGAACTCAGAGCAGCTTCCCTCAGGCGTAAACAGCCATTTCCTACCTTTGGGCCCCTCTGACCCATCTTCCAGACCCCCCAAATCTGGGCTTTTTCTAGATGTGGACGCATCACAGTCCTCAGTTCCAGGTTTTGGCTCAGTGGTGTCCTCTCCTCCACCATCGCCCTCCTTCTTCTCTGCTGCGTCCTCTTCCTCCTCCTCCTCCTCCTCTTCCTCCCCCCCAGGAAGTGCTTTCATGTTGAAGAGCTCGGCGGGGAGGTTTGGCCGCTTTGGGGGCAGCGTCTGTAGGAGGAGTCAGGAGTCAGTGGCGGGTGGCGAGGCAAAAAGACGACTTATTTCAGGTTTGTGGCGCACGGACCCCAATGGTTCCGGTTTTAAGCTTCAATTTCTTGCCTCCCTTCATGGCTCCGAACAGCGGTAAGGTCTTTTTAGGCTTCTCGGACTCCGAGCTGCCGCTGTGACAGAAAATTGATGGATTTATGAGAACTGAGATGAAGTTGCACATAACTCCAGATTAAAAAATGAATGTTTTTTTGGGAGAACTGTGTGTTGTGCTGCTGTGTGACCTGGGCTGTAGGGAGGGCATCTGGGCCGGTCGGGTCAGCTCCACCAGCCTCCGGAGCCTCTGGGCTTCCCGCCGCAGGTCGGCCACGTGCACGTGGAGCTTCCGGCGCTGCACGGCGTCCATGGCCGCCTCGCTCCTCACCGCCGTCATGAAGGCGTCCAGCGAGTCCTCGGCGGAGGAGCCCGAGGAGTCTGCGGCAGAGCGGGGGGTTACGCGCGCCCACAGGGAGGGGGGCGGGAGGTTTTAATGGTTCCCGGCGGGAGGCGGTGACTCACCTCGTTTCCCCGCGCTGAGCTTGGCCTGAGCCGCCGCCAGCTCCTTCTCCACCCCAGACAGTCTGCCCACCTGCAGAGCCACAAAACAAACACACCGGCTTGAAAAAAGTCCTGTTACTCACCTTTAGTCTGAATCTTGTTTAATGGGGATAAAAAGGTTATTTTTCTGCCATTGTTCAATAACTCCCCCCATGTTATTTTTGCTGGTGAAGTTTTTTCAGATAAGGGAAGAAGAGAGATAATTCCATTTCAAGGTCTGAGAATAAAACCAGTAAAAATGGAGCCGGATGAGTGCTATGCAAATACTATATAGGTAAGTAGGGTTGTCAAAGGTATCGATACTTAAAAAAGTATCGATATTAAAATGTTGTATCCGGATACGATACTCATTTTCAAAAGTATCGATACCACTGAAAATTTTAGTATTGTGACAACCCTATCGGTAAGTAAAGGAAATGAGACATCAGATTCGTCCCAGATGCATTTTTGTTTTTAATCAGTTCCAGCTCTGAGCAGCACAGATAGACTCATTACACCCAGTTGGAGTTTTTTTTTTACTTTTCAGTGTGTTCTGTGCTAAGGGCAGTCATCCACTGAAAAAAAAAAAAAAAAAAAAGACGACCGAACAGATTTAGTGCGACTCTCAGCCCAGCTGTGCAGAGCAGACTCCCGGAGTCCATTTCAGATTCAGAAAAAAATTAATCTTCTGAGACGTGACGATCAGAAATAGTGCCCGGAGCAGATTGCAGGGCACTTAAAAAGCTGTGGGGGTCGTCTGAGGGAAACCGCCCTGCTGGAGAGCGATAAGCCTCAAATGTGTGCAGGGGGTGTTCAGGTGTGCGTGAAAAGATGGGAAAAGCGAGCGTCTGACTTGGCTGGTCGGCTCTTTTAACAGACAGACTTTTCTGAGGCTGCGTTCAGGGACGTGCCCCGGTTGTGGGAAAAGCTGCGGCGCCGGATGTTTACCAGCGACTCGTAGGTCTCGGGCCGCTCCTCGATCTTCCCGGCCTTCTTCATGCGCTCCTGCCTCTTCTTCTCCACGGTGCCGGTCCGGTCCAGGAAGGTGTCGTCGTCGCTGTCGTAGTAGTCCTCGTCCTCCCAGTTCTTTTTCCTGCGTTTGCGCGACACTGAGAACAGAAAGCGCACGCGGCTTTCGCTACAGTGGACACGACGGCCCCCCCCCCCCTCAGACGCCGGCCCCCGGCCCTCACCTGCCTCCTGCCGCAGCACCCCCCTGGCCTCCAGCATGCGGCAGGCCTCCAGGCAGCACTGGACGGCCGCCTCCTTCTTCTTCCCCGTGTGGGTTACCTCGGCGACCAGCTGCCGGCCCTGGGCGTCGTCCACCGGCAGCCTGAAAGCAGAACCGTCAACCATGACCACACGCCCTCTGCGCTCTGACGGGGAAGAAGGAGCCGTTTCCGGCCACTCACTTTATCCGGCAGAGCCAGGCGCCGTGACTTTTGTCCTCATACTCAAACTCCAGCTCCTCCCCTGAGACACAGAGCAGAGCACCGGGTTTAGAGGGTCAGAGGAAATTCGAAAGCGGCCGGAAAAAGCCGGGCTTCACCTTCTCTGTCGTAGAATCCCTGCAGAGCCTTCTTCGGGTCTTTCAGGTACGCCGCTTCCTGGTCCTCCTGGAACTCGGTCGAAAAGGGGTTTTCTTCATTCTCGTCCTCCTCCGGAGCCGCATCCTCATCTGTGAGGCAGAATAAATGACAGGGGGGGTGAAGTCATGCTTAGCCTAAAGGGGAAAGCGGGTCTGAATACCTTCCCAGGACGGTGGAGCAGCTCACCCATCCCCCAGGTGCAGCCTGAGTCCGCACTGGACCTTTTCTTCTGGGCCTTGGTGTCCTCGCCCTCCCCCACCTCCTCCTTTTCCTCGTCAGAGAAGTCTCCCATCATCTTCCTCTCCAGCTCCGCTTTCTGTTTCCGGGCCCGTTCCCTCAGCTCCGTCACACTCAGTTCAGACTCCTCTTCCTCATCAAACTCTGGACCCTGAAGAAGAGAAAAGCATCCTCACATGCCTCTACTGCACCTTCATCCAGGTTCTATCTTTGAGCCAAACGTTTAAGAAGATCAAGCAGAGACAGATTTTTTTTTACTAATGTCAGTTGTTTTTGTTTTTGTCAAGTTGTTTTTCCTTTTCAAATTTTGCTTACCAGAAAGCAACATTTCAAGAATAATCCTATTTTCTAGACAAGCCTCTCAGTATTTGATCATAACATCAAATACAAGATTTCTGTTTGAGTTTGGAATCATTGTTTGTGGCTTGGATAGCGAACAGAGGATGTTCATGAACCCTCACATGGATTCACAATCAGTAGAGATTGGCTTTTTCTTAATCAACGTGATCTAACTCAATGAACTCCTGGACACAACTCACCTGCAGCACAAACAGTCTCGTGCTCCCTCCGAACTTCAGCACGTGCCCCACGCGCAGTCGGATGTAGGTTTTCGGCGGGATCTTGTTCTTGTTCACCACCGTGCCGTGCGTGCTGCCCAGGTCGTGGACGTAGAAGCCCCTCTCCTCCCCGGTGCAGCCCTCTGGCCCGGACTGTCCGGTCTGTCCGCGGTACTGGATGACCGCGTGGTACCGGGAGATGGACGGGTGCTCCAGGGCCACGTCACACACCGGTAACCGGCCCACCACGAAGTAGCTCCTGTCGGTCAGAGGCACCGTGTCCACTATGGCCCCGTTTTTGAGGATCTCCAAGGCGTAAGGGAGCTCTGACTGAGTGCAACCCCAGGGAGGCTCTGTGTACGGAATAGGGGGGAACTTTCCAGCCGCGGGTCCGATAAAAGGACGCACCTTCGGCTTCACTTCAACTTTGGGTTTCAATGGAGCGTCGGTTTGGCCCGTTTCCCCGTTTTCGTCTTCCTCGCAGGCTTTCTCTGAGGACTCGCCTTCACGGTTGTCACTAGAAGAAGAAACGTCGCCGGTTGTATCTTCAACGCGGGTTTTGTTTTGGTCGTCTACGTTTCCCGTTTCTGCTGGTGAGTTTTTCGACGGAACCGCGACGTTGCTGCGTTTGTTGACGGAAGGCGCCGTGAAAAGCGCAGGTTTCTTAAAAGGGTCCTCACTCCCTGTTTTAGAGATATCTTTCTCAGTTTGTTCGTTTCCATTTTCTGTAGCCGAACACCCGTCACTAGTCACTGTAGAGTTAATTTCTTCTTCTGTATTTTTCATGCTCATGTTTGTTGGTGGGGAGGCAGCCATGATTATTTAGTGTAACTGTTAAATATGCTCGGGTCTTTTAAACTGGTAAAGACGTACACAGATACCCAATAAATAATTAAATGTATAGGAGTAAAGTCATTTTTTTAGTTTTTTAAAATGCATCCACATATTGCTAGGATGTACATAAAATCTCAATAAAAATATTTATGCGGAACAAAATATGAAATCCAATGTCAGTGGGGATTCTTTTGCTACAAGGACCAAAACGGGAAGTTTCCGTTCAGCTTTCATTAAACATACAAGTGTAAGTGCCTGTGTATCCCTTAAGTTTCACAAGTTTCAGGGTAAATTGTTCTATTTCATCAATAGATTTATAGTTTAACTAGCCAAATGCACATAGTAGGAAGTTCGTAGCTTAGTTTCTGCTCCTTTCTAAGTTGTCTTTTAATGCTTTGTACGCTCGCTCAGCACCAAATTTCATTGAGACAGATGACATTTGATACGTTTTCTAGTCCTTCGACAAAAATATAACCTTTGTATCATTTAATTAAAATCTGAATTAAATTGATGTTCTTAATTCTGCAATTCGGTAAACAGAAAATACAAGAAATGTTTTTCGTTTTTGTCATTTTAGCTGTCTGATTTTGGATTATGCTTTACTACGGTCTCTTATCATTACATGTGTATACCACTAAAAGCTATTTGTTGAAGAATTGATCGCAAGCATCCCGGAAGTTTTGGCATAGTTATTTGTTCTTAAATCAAACAGGGATCGTTTTCAGTAAGTCCTGGCATATAAAAAGACATGGGGGTTTTAGCAGAACTTCAGGGAGAGCGAAATTATGCTTGTTAAAAGTTATTTTTTTAATGAGAAAAGTAACTCGAAAAGACAAGATTCTTGTTTGAGTATACTGCAGGATAAAGAAAATCTTTGTGATGACTGCCAATTGTGCACTCTTCCTTCTGATGATTTTAGGCTCAGGCTAAGGTCTGAAACTACTTTGTGCCTCGGCCATTATGATGCGTTACTGGGGTGAGATCCCCGGGCCTGCGGGGGCTCCCCCCAGTCGCAGCTCTTTCGACTTGCTCCAGCGAGAGTTTCGCTCCGTGGAGATGCAGGACCCTCCGCTGCACCAGCCCTCGGCCCAGCGTCCGCGGCCCACCACGATGCTGGACATCCCCTCCGAGCCGTGCAGCCTCACCATCCACACCGTCCAGCTCTGCCAGCACGCCCGCCGCCTCCGGGGCCTTCTGGCATCGGCCCAGGCACAGGGCTCTGCCTCCTCTGAGGCCGGCAGCCGAATGGAGGAGGCCGACGCCAACCTGCCCCTTCATCCTCCTACCCCACCCGCCATGCCGGACGATCTCCTACCTGCGGACAGCAAAGTCCCCATCCAGCCCTTTCAGCTGCGCCACAGCGACCCCGAAAGCGACTTCTATAAGTCAGTTTATCTTTATTAGCAGCCAGATTAAGGCAATTTGTGAAGTGGTGTATTTTTCTCTTCTAATCTGCTCCTGTGTCTCCGTCATCAGGGGCAAAGGGGAACCGGTCACTGAACTCAGCTGGCCCTCCTGCAGGCAGCTCCTCTACCAGTCTGTCGCGACGGTGCTGGCCCACGCCGGCTTCGAGTGCGCTCAGGAGAGCGTCCTGGAGACCCTGACCGACCTGGTCCACGAGCACTACCTGCGCGTCACCCGCCTGCTGCGGGTGGCGGTGGACCGGGAGGCCCGGCTGGGGGCCAGTCCCTTCCCAGACGTGGTGGAGCAGGTGTTCCACGAGGTGGGCATCGGCAGTGTGCTGGCTCTGCAACGCTTCTGGCAAGTCAGGATCAAGGACTATCATAGCTACATGCTGCAGGTGAGTGTCCTCACTGTCGATGATTTGAATACCCCTAATGGTCGATATTTACAATTTTGAAAACATTTAAAAAAAGCTCTAATAATCACTCATCACCACTAAGGATCATTGTTTTGCATTTTTGTACTTCAGGATTTACAAATCTCTCTCTTGCAGGTCTGTAAGGACCTATCAGAAGAATATGAGCGGCTGGTGAATCCAGAGAAGGCCCTGGAGGACTCCAAGCCCCCGCGGATAAAGGAGGAGCCGATGAGTGACATCTCCTTCCCCGTTAGTGAGGAGCCAGAGGCGGATTTGGCCTCCGGGGACCAGGCTTTGCCCATGGGGGTCCTCGGGGCTCACGCTGAGAGGTTGACGTCAGGCCTGGATGGCGACCATTCTCCGCATACTTCAGGTGGGACTACATTTATTAATAGCTTGGATTTCTGCACAGAAACTATGGATGCAAACTTAGACACAAAGTCCCAAATTCTCCACATTTTATTTCCAGTCGGTTTTTTACCACATGTAGAATAAAGTGCTTCCTCTGGAATGTGTTCAGATCTTTGGCTCAAAGTCAACACGAGATATAATCAAAACTTTTGAGCTTGGCGGGTCCACATCTGCTTATCTGACACACAGCAAAGTTTATGAAGCTCAGAGACCATTTTTTACTGTCTCCATGTATCCTTGAACTTTTATTTCTCAGCCTGTGAGGAACTCCAACTGTTTACATAAACACATTTATCCAACACATTTCTTTGCACTCTGCCCTTATGTTCATAAATATTTAAGAATGTTTAAGTCTTAACAGCCATTAGATCACATGAGGCTTGAAAGGGAAAATGTGTGCTCGCATCAGGTCGTCATGGGTTAAAGGAGATGTTGAATATGGAAATAGTTTGTGGGAGTAGGTTTGGTTTCCTGCATACAGATTTACAAACACAGCGTTTTGTTTTCCCATATTGAATACTAAGCTGAAGACGAGCCTCTTTGTCCTTACTGGTGTTATTTGACTCACTTCCCATAGAGTTGCCTAAATTTGTAACTCGGCAGTCACGGCCCCATCAGGTGCTTTAGGAGGTTTGCCAAAAATAACATCTCAGGGAGGCAGAGGAGCTCTGCCCCAATCAAAGACAACAAGTGAATTCAGCAAATGATAGGCTGCTGGTGGTAAACGAGGCCCCAGCAGGATCTCTTCCTTATTCTCTGAGATGATTTGCACACTCGCTGATGAAGCTTTTCACTCAGCCAGCAGTTCACCCGCCGCCGTGTGCTGCAAGTGGAAACCATTCTGAAAACCCGGCATGCCGGGGACATCCACTAGTGTCTAATCTGTTTTTAATGTGCATGTCAGCGGTTTTAAAGAAGAATTTTTTCAGCTGCCCCTTTTTTAATAACGAAGCTCCACACTGTCGTTGCTGGTTGGAGTGATTTAATGAGTTGTTTGTCTTTGTGGTCATCATGGAGGGAAAGAAGGGGGCCAGCCGGCCGGTTTGAGCCACAGCCATTTAAAGCTCTGATTTAATTTGGCCCTCACAAAATAGAAATGAAATGATTCAGAATATTTGCTCCATTCAGCAGGAGGCGGGGCCAACCACTCCCCGCTCTGGCTCCCGGTCAAAATGGAGCCCCAGGAGGGCGAGGACGGCCCCGGCGCCGGCCACCATCACCACCACGGGGTCCTGGGCGGAGACGTGTTCGAGGAGGGGGGGCCGATGTCCACCATGAGCGAGTCGGCGGGGGCCATGGCGCCCTCGCCGGGCGGGGCGGCGTCGGAGGGCAGCTACGCCTCGCACTCACCCGACTCCCTGATGGGAACCTCCCCCGTCTTCAACCAGAGGCCCAGAAAGAGGATGAAGAAGATGTGAAGACCAGGGACTTTACCCCCAGAAGAACGGAGGCAAAGAAAGTCAACATATGTACAGTAGAGACTGAACCGCAAAGTGTGGGGGGGGGATTTTGTAGCTTTTCCCGCTTCTTTTTTAGAATATACTTGCAAATAGCTATTTGTCCTGAAAATATTGATGGAGTTTATCATCACATAAATAAACATGTTTAAAGAGCGGATTATTTTCAAGCAGCGAATGTTGTTAACTAACTACACAAGGAGTCTGCTGCTTAATGAAGGGGACGAGCAGGAAACAAATAATTCAGTTAAATAGATAAATAATTCAGCAGAATTGTTGGTTTTCCCCGAAAAAAAAAAAGGCTCCACATGTACCAATTACTGCAAGCTCAATTCATTACCATTTAAAGACGCATCCTCCCCAGTGAAACGTGTTGCTCTCACGTGCCGCTGCATCTTATGAGGCGTTCCCACCTCGACCGGCTCCGGGTGCGGCTCACCACTCCGGAACCATCCACACACACCTGTCAAACCTGAAGCCGCTCCTCCGAATTAGCATCTGTTTCAGTAATGAGGAAAAGCTGCGAACGCAACACCAGAGGCAATTATGGGTTTGCTGTTTGCATCAGGAAGGCATCATCTATCCAACCTTAATGGCAAATTAATTATGCCATGCATAACTTTGTGCCCTGAATGCGCGCCTCTTTGAATGAAGTGATTTTCTCGGGGTGGGGGTTTTTTTTTTTTTTTCCCACCGTCGCAGCGGCTTTCGTCCATGTTTGTGGAAAGTGATGTTTCGGAGTGACGTGATCCAGGCTAGGAGCCACCGGAAAACTGCATTATCTTTCCGGTTGTAAGAAATTTATGAGAATCTGTGGTCGCACTTTGTGCCTAAAGGTGAAGTGAATCCAGTTTGTGAGTGCCACAGACCAAAAGCAGGTTAAAGCTGTATTTTGTATAAAGTGGATGTGGGCATACTGAGAATAAAAGGTAAGAGTCACTCATTTAAAAGCTGCTTCTTGAGTCAAAAGTATTCCCTCTCAGCAGCATTCCTTACGACAACATTGATGAATAATTATTGAGTTATTAAAATGGATCTCAGCATGTTATTATAAAGGGAGAATATGTTTTTAACAGCATCAACATCACTGCATTCAAAGTGACATGTAGGTTTCTTCATACCTTTGAATTTTACCATTCTACGTCTACCTAAGGTTGTGAACACTCAGCGGTTTTGGCCCATTTTAGGAACAATATCCTTCTCAATAAACAGGTTTCCTGTCTGGAAGAACACATTTATACTGTGTAGGTTATTATACTGTTTGATTGAGTGAAACCATTTTAAATCAATACAATTGTTTTTAAATTTGAAGAATTATTGCAGCACAGGATAAGAAGTACATGTTTGAGATGAATAATTCTTTGAAAAGAAGTAGATTTAATCTGCAGTTAGATGTACTGATGCTCAGATGAACCAACAGCATTTTTCATTTTGGGTACTAACTGAGTGAAGAGTTTTTTGGGACATAAGTCCAAAGAGCCTCTCATCAGGTCAGAAATAGTTTTTGCGTTGGAGGTGATTGGAGGAAGGTCTGTTGCATTCCTAATTTCTGGTCCTGCAGCATAAGGATGCAGAGCAGCAGAAGAGGCAGGTCCCTGAAGAGGGTTTTTTCTCTTTGGTCACAGCCCAGTCAAATCCCAGCAGGTGCCCGACCTTAAACCGGGCAGCCCCCCCCCCCCCCCCCCCCCCCCCAGTGTTTCTCTCTGGTCTTGGATGAATGCTGCTCATTCTTCTCAATTATGAACAGAGGCTTCCCTCCTGAGGAGTAGTTTAGAGAAGCAAAGGATCCTCGGAGACTCGACTACACAAGCTTTTGACAGAACCTCTGCTGACTCGGGCCTTTTTTCTGACAGCATCTCATTTTTGAACCTGCCTGATCTTTCAGTCTTTCACTTTCAATTCCACTTACCACTGATCTGTCAAACGGCAACTTCAGACATGATGTGCGTTTTCTGACCCTCTGATCAATCAATCTGAACGACGTCTCAGTCACATGAGGGCTTTAAAAAGTTTAACCATTTGCATTTATACTTTAAAATCCTGTTAAAAATAAGAAATTTTCCAGCAGCTCTCCGGCTTTTGAACTTCAGTCTGTTTTCAAAATTAATTTAGAGTCAGTAAGAGGAGTTTAATTGTACGAATAGGACAAATACACTCAATTTCTTCCAAACTTTAAATTCTCTTTGCTGCTTCTGCACTCAACAGAGAAAACACTGTGGAAGCTGAAAGTGAATTTCACACCAAAAACTCTTCGGCTGTCAGACAAACTAAGCCTAGCATCAATTTATGATGAACTGAAGAAAGTCGAACAGCGAAACTATGTAATGCACAAGTGGGCAGCCTCTTTTCTAAACCGACCAGATTTGAAAGCCTGCAATACCTTCGGATGTGTGGAAAAAGAAAAGAAAAGGTGCACTCACTCTCTCAATAAGTGGAGTGCTTTATTGGAGTCCTTATCCACTTTTCATCAAAAAGAGGATAGGTTGCTGCCAAGTGCACAAATGAACTGAAATTGCATCATGTATTGATCACTAAATACGAGAGTCTTTCTAAAGAGTGTGTGGAGCACTGAGGTGTGTGTAAAGGCATCAGCCATGATCTCAAAAAAGCAGCTGCTTCTGCTCATCAGTCCAGGAAGAGTTATGAGGCCAATCTTATTTGTTATTTGGACAGAAAGACAGACCGTCCACAAGAGGAAAACACCCAGGACAGCTGTCCAGTTCACCATAAGGTCACAGAGCTACAACTCAGACTCTAAAGGTCTCAGTTAGCTTGTCAAAGGTCAAAGGTCATGACAATACATTTAGAAAAAAACAGAAAAAGTTTGACTTGTTTGGAAGAGGAATAAAGTCTCCTTCTTTTTTAAAAGGAACGCGACTGTTCGGTGAGCTGCATCTGAAGACACCACAAGCAAATCTACTACAAAAAGCCTGAAAAAGAAAAGAATCAAGCTGCAGCCAGAATATAAAATACAAAAAAAGAAAACAACAAAGCAAAACGTATGGACCGTTGCAGGAGGTTTAAAGCCTGGAAAATCCAATCATTTTTATAGGTCACTTCTGTTACTAGTGGGAGTAAAACTGTGGCATTTTTCATTCCATGCTCAGGCAATGTGACCCCCCCACCCCCCCTTCAGTTTGTCAACAGCTCTTGAGTTGCTTTGCACTGTGGACAAGAGGGTGTAATTACAAAAATGTCAAGATTTTTTTTTCCATTTTCCTTCTTTCTTTCTTTTTTTTTTTAAACAGGGCGCGCTGAGAGCCAAAGAAAGGACTCAACACATGATTAATTACCTTGCCGTGTGCAAAGCCATTCATTTAACAACAAATTTAATCTTTCCCGTTGAGATGTGAGTTTGTGAGCAGAATGAGTCAGAGTCCTTCAGGGCACCGGTTTCTGAAGAATTAGAAAAAGACGACGGGGTGAGAATGATGGGAAACTAATGCCACGATGGAATTTCTCTCAGTCATTCTAATCGCATAGGAGATACTGTACTTGTGCGGTATGATGAATAATAAATAATGAGATGATGGTATCAACAGAAAGATGAATTGCCAGACATATGGGATGTGACGGGTACAAAGGGGTCCCGCGCCACTCGCGCCACGGTTTCAGCCCTATCACCGCGCCCCAGAGATGAGAGAATTGATTGCACTGCGTCAAGAGTCGCAGTTGGGATCAATCAATGGATATTTTCTCCTGGGTGACGTGGGAAAAATGAAAAATCAAGCAGGAGCTGCGGTGGACGCATCAAACTCAAAATCCATCTCTTAATTCATCATATGGTTCAATTATTTTTTGGGGAACAAGACCAAAAGGATCATTAAGAGAGAGATGAGTCAATCAAATAGAAAATCAATGGAATGTATGCAATACAGTTTGTGCTGGTGGGTACATTCGGTTCCAAATACAGATTTTAGATATATTCAAGTCTTTCCATTTCAAGTGACCCATCTAAAACTGAGCCAATCAAACATCAGGAATGAGTCTGAGGGATATTAATTGTAAAAAATACTCATTTTTAAAGCCCAAACCCAACCAAACAGCTGTTAAAAGCAAGAAAACAACACTATAAGTGTAATAAGCATTCAAAAAAAGAGCTTGCTTTAGTTTTATGTCTAACAGCTGTGTGTGATGCCGACAAGAAACCCCTCCAATCTTCAAAGTCAGGCTCTTTCTCCTGTTCGGTTAATAATCAGTCCTTAAATTTCACAAAAAGACACCTGCTGAGATCCTTTTACCCAAAATTTGAACCCTCGAGCCGTAAATGAAGCCACTCTTATCTGTGTTCAAAGTCTTATTAGCTCCCTGACCCATTTAACCATTATGAGCAATAGAAGATGCCAATGATGAATCAAACACGGCACTCACCAATGTTTGAAAGGCATTCGTTACATTAAACAAATTAAAACAATATTTCAAGCAACAATCACAGCGTCGTGGGAATCTAGTGTATTAAATTTGAGACCTGTGTCATATGAGACTTCAGTTAATGTCAACAGCCTGGCAGCTGCTTTGAAACCACTTATAGATGGCTCAGACATAGATAGATAGATAGATAGATAGATAGATAGATAGATTACTTAATCAGTCTCCGAAGGGAAATTTGGAATTATATGAACTGCTTGCATATCATAAAAAGGGCCTTACAGTCAGATTAAATCAAAGCCCTGGCTATCTTCACTTAACACGCATCAGTTAAGCCTATCAGGTGGTCCTTTAACACACATCTTTCTTCCATTGTGGTCCATTTACATATAGCTGTCATGTAAAGCAAAATAAAGTTTATATAAGAATGTCTGATTCCGTTTTTTTTAGGCATTTCTTCTCCTTGTAGCAGTTCCTCGTTCTACCACTGGGGGGCAGTGTAATGCAGCAGTGTGACTGCAGCTGGACTGGAAATCAGCCTCTTCAGGTGCAGGATTTTGCATTCTTCCACTCACCACAGAGACTGGGGCACTCCCAGACCCTCTGAGCATGCAGCATCTCCTACCACCCAAATGCTGCTGAGAAGTTATCAAGCACAAAAATAAATAAATAAATAAATGAAAAAAATAAAAAAGCTCAGGATCATTTTCTAGCCGTTACTGGTGTGTCTGGGTTTGTGCCCATTGAGCCTGGGAGGCGCTGGAACATCAAAGAAAACGTGAGCACGTTACACAATCAGTGGGATTTGCTCCTCTCAGTACGAGGTACACACATGCAGGGGGTGTCTATCTTTCAGGGTTTTTAGTCGTGGTGCTGGCAGTGGAATACTGAATCATTCCCCCTTTATGACTCCCGTTTTTATGACTAATTGCCTGTCAATCACGGCAATTCACAGCAAATTGTCGAGTTTTCTCTCACATGCTCTTAACGCGAGGATTAAAGTTACTGGATTGTGGGCTGGAAAACAACTGGAAGCCCACCAAAAAAAAAAAGCAGCAACATTTTTTCTAATTTCATGGCAGAACATGGCTGTGGTTAGCGTGGTCACACCGAGCCCTTAAAGCGATGATACTGATGTCATAAAAGCCCCTCAGCCCACCCAGCACCATCACCTGTACTGTACTCGCTCTGGTGCTCACACTCATTTAACTGACTCAACTTAATCATGCCTGAAATAGCAGTTCTCTGCAAGATGAGTAACATCCAGGGCTGAAATGTTGTGCGGGGCTCTGCATTCATCCTCAAATAATGCCTTTTTATTGTATTATGAGCATAAGGGTTTGCAGGGGAGGACACTCTTTGAGCAAAATCTCCAGTCAGATCAGGAAGTAAATAGTTGTTTACCATCCAAAGAGGGGGCCTTTTAACCAAAATACCACAGTCAGGCTCAAGGAGGAAAGGCTCCTCTTACAAGAGATGAAGACCCAGGAAAACATGATTAATTGGTATTTCAATAATCTGGTATGTCCATTTAAAAATCTCTTAGATTCTATTCCACTTAAAAAAT